AACGAAAAATCGGACTTGTAATCGAAAATTGTAAATTAGATACTGAAGTTTGAGCAGTAATGTAACATTTATGGTTTATGAATATTTATTTTTCGCTGTTTAAATAAAATGACTTTTGAGGAATTTTCAACACTTACGACTAAAAATTAGGCAGGCCTGAGATCTGAATTGTATGATTCGAATTAATCTGGAATAAATGATGAAAATTTACTCTGGGTGCAATTACGTAATCCAATTAACAAATTAAATGGAACATAAAAATAAGATTTTTTGTGGCGCCAACAGAGTCGAACTTATTGGCAGTGGTGGAATTTTTTGTGTGAGTGTGTCAAGTTAATATATATAATATGTGTATAAATTATTCGATTTAATATATATTTTTGTTTGGAATTTTTATTTTACTTCCCTGTTAAAATAGAGAAGCAGGAAATTACGCCTCATCAGGGCTCATGAAAACTCTTTTCCTAATGTTTAGTTAATTCGGACAATCATTTTTGGTTCCCAGTCATTTTTGTGACTCATACTTTATGTTGACAGCTTAAATCGTTTATACCAAGGCTGCCCAACCCGCGAGCCGCATGTGGCCCGCCGAACTGTTTTTTGCGGTTCGCCCTATAAAGTTTGTAAGCAGACTTTTTATGTTTTTACTATGTTATATATCAATATATAGGGTTAAGTACGTTTCTGATTTTGGTTTGATTATCCCTGATTAATTTCATTCTGATTGTTTTCTTACGTGTCTGCTTTGATCGTCTTTATCGCCAGCGTAAAATAAAGCGTAAAAACAATATCTTTGATACTGGTCCTGGGACTCATTGTCCTTTAATGTTTGTATTTTTTTTTATCAACTGTTTGAGTTAAATAAGATTTCGGAAATATCGTCACTGCGTATCCGTCAATAATTATGATAAAATTGTCTTAATGGCATTGCTGCACATTGGTCACGAATCAGTATATAGGCTATTCGCCCAGAAATCTTTGTAATGCTACTTCATTAAATATTTGTATTGGTGTTTCAAATTTTACGAAACGGCCCACTTAAACTTGATATTCCCGCAACAGTGGCGCACATTATGCACATTGTCCACGCCCCGTGTTACGAGATATTCGAATTGTGAACTGCTATTCTAATATTCGACTAGATATTCGAACAATTTGCCATCCCTACTCAGTAACCAGAAAACAGTAATTAAATTGATTGATTTGATGTTAATAAACTTGCCTTTTATTCATTATGTAAATTACCTACACCGAAATCAGGACTTAGCTGGTATTTATGTTTAAACGTTTGCGGCCCGCAACGAATTTCGTCACTTGAAAGTGGCCCGCGAGACGAAAAAGGTTGGGCAGGCCTGGTTTATAGCCATTTATTCGTGTTTTTATACTAAACTAGAGATTGGTGCGATGTCAACACGATTGAGTCTAATGCAGATGTTCCCAACCTTTAATAGCCCGTGGTCCCCTTCCGGACGTTATTAGCACTCATGGCTCCTTGTTTATCATTCCAGTGGTATTTTGATTGGTAGATTCCGAATCCCAATATGTTCGAACAATACATGCTCAACAAAGTGCAAAAAGCCTGTGAAATAACCTTATCAAACAATGAAACCTGGAAGTTTTCTTGTCAAGAGAAAATTAATATAAGTTTTGCGTCTAGCATGGTGCCCCCATCCAACTGCTCTGTGGCGCCCGGTTGGGTACCGTTGATCTCATGCTTTAGCCGATAGGTCTGATATAATACGTATGATATTATGTGGCCTAGAATAACAAATTCTACAATAATTGAAACGCTATATTCATACCTGGATCCAGTGGCGGCGCGTCAATAGAAATATTCGAAAAATACCTCAATATCGGTTGCACAGACTGTCTACACTAGCCATATTCTCCCGACATGGTTCATTTTTCGCTCGCAAAGCCTTTGCCCAACGTCGACGGGGCGACGCCGATTTTGCCCCGGTTGCTCATTGTATATCGTATTCTCTCTTTTATCTTACACTCGCCGCGTTTGTCTCGTTTTTTTTTCTGTTTCTTTTACTAAATCATCGGGGCCGATCGGGGCTAGCCCCGAAATTATGACGACACAATGCCGACGTTTCTTACAACAACGTGTTGACATATTCACGCATTCCTTCTCGTTCGTTAGTTGCTTGAAGAGTTGATAGTTTCCTCGCCTTCGTTTTTGTCGCTTGTTTCGCTATTTGAATCAGTTAGAGACCTTTAGTCCATTTGCTTTCGATTTTCCACATTCCTTTTGAGCTCCTCACTTCTTTCCGGCTTCGCATTTCTTAGCCTTAGACCTCATAATGAATAAGGTTGATGCACTACTTCGCACTCCGTTTTCGCAGATGCCGCTGGAACAAAAATTAGAGGTACAACGTCTTGGGCCTTATCAACCAAAAAATTGTTCATTGGAACAATCCCATGACGGAGGAAAGCGTCGGCGTACATTCTGCGCAGAAAGTTGGTATAAAAAACACGAATGGTTGTGTTACAGCGAGGACAAAAATGTACTTTTTTGTTTTTATTGCCTACTTTTTGCTACCGCCCGTGACTCACGTTGGTGTAAATTTGGTTTTAGAGATCTTAAACATCTTTCCGAGCGTGCCAGGGATCATCAATCTTCTATGGAGCATCTGGACAATGCAGTAAAATACCGAACATTCGGAAATGTTAATATTGCAGCACAGTTGGATGAAGGACGCGCGGTTTCTATTCGTCGGCACAACCGAAACGTCGAAAAAAAACGCCATGTTCTCGGTCGATTGATAGATGTTTTGAAGTTCATTGGTTGTCACGAGCTGTCCCTGAGTGGGCACGATGAACGGGCTGGCTCTTCTAATAGAGGGGTATTTTTGGATATGGTGGAATACACCGCATCCCTAGATACAGTATTGAGAGATCATCTTGATGCCGCAACTGTTTCGAAAGGGACATCTAAGGATATCCAAAATGATTTGCTCGACTCAATGTATAAAATTTATTTACAACATTTGGCTCTGGAAATTGAGAATTGCCAGTTCCTTTCGATTCAGTCTGACGAGACAACTGACATCACGTGCGTTTCCCAACTGGCTGTGATTTTTCGGTTTGTGAAAGATGGTAAACCTACCGAGAGATTTCACAGCTTTGTACCAATCGTTGATCGCACGGCTTGTGGGATATCGGCTGTACTGAAAGAAGTGTTACAGCCTTACAACGCGAAGTCAAAATTGATAGCTCAAACTTATGACGGCGCGGCAGTCATGAGTGGGTCGAAACATGGTGTTCAAGTTTATATAAAAGAAGATTTTCCTCATGCGCATTTTTTACATTGTTATGCACACCAATTTAACCTCGTTATTAAAAATATGTGTCTTGATACCCCTCTCGTCCGTATATTTTTTGCAAATGATTCGAGGTTTTCTTCATTTTTTTCCGTTTCGCCGAAGCGCTCTGACCTCCTTCGCCAGATATGTAGCCGCCGTCTCCCAGCTTGTGCACCAACACGTTGGAACTTCCAATCACGCGTGGTGCAGGGCGTGTCCGAAAAATAGGTCTGAGCTCATTGAGTGTTTCAATGGCATTCAGAGCTCTCCGGTTTGGGACGAACGCTCGATGAGGGAGGCGGCAGGTCTAAAGCGTCTGCTAGAAGATGGTGAGTTTTCCTTTTTCTCGCTTTTTTCTCCACAATATTCTATCACGTGGATGTATTATACGGCGCATTGCAGTCAAGGCTAATGGATGGAGCGTCTGTGCAGTCGTGTATTTCAGACTTCTGCGATGCTGTATCTCGTATCCGGGAAACAATAAAATACGACGACACATGGAGTGCTTCTTTACGCCGCGGGCAAACAACGCAGCGTTTGATTTTGTCTGCAAAGGAATGCTGTGACATTCTGGTGAATCAAATAGGCGATCGTCTGCGCACTGAACACCTTGCCGCGTTCTCTTTGATGAACCCCAAAAATTTTTCAAAATTTGCACGTCAATTTCCCATCCATTTGTTGGCTACTGTCTCCAAATTTTACCCCATGATAAACGTGGGTAAATTGGAAAATGAATTGCGATGTATATACACCAATCAAACTTTTTTGAACATCACATCAACTTGCGCGCTCTATGGGTTCCTCATAGATAACACTCTAGTAACTACCTTTGCGCCGTCTGCAAAATTTCTGGACATCATTTTGACGACGCCTATTTCTTCCGCCGACGCAGAGCGAACATTCAGCACGCTGAAGCGTATTAAAACGTATCTCAGAAACACAATGAAGCAAGATAGATTAAATTCCTTGGCTGTTTTATCCATTCACAGAGACGTTATATCTGGGATGCATGACTTTAATCAGTGCGTTATTGAGCATTTTGCTTCCAAGAAACCGCGGCGTGTTGCATATATGTTCAAGCAGTAGAAGTCTAGCAGCATATATATCTATGAGTGAGCGACGCATGTCCTTATCTTTGCATTACCTTTCCTTTCTTCATAGTAACGTTTTAAACCTTATTTTAGGTTTTGTCTGCTTTCCCGAAGTTTCTGTTAATATGTCATTGTATTTATCTGGGTAAATATTGCCTTTCCTTTTGAAAGAGGTTTCAAAATAAACTATGTCTATATTTAATAATTCCTTGACTTGGACCGGTTTTAAAGACACTTTCTTATCGTTAAAAATTGTCGCTTTTGCCGATTGGTTGTTACCGATGGAATGGTTTTTATACTCATAATATGATGGGAGAACTTACAGCGCTCATCCTGTCCCCGTAGATGGGGGTGACTTGGTCCCGCAGTAGCTTGCCCCGGTTGTCAAAATGACCACGCGCCGCCACTGCCTGGATCTCTCTCGACTTTTGGCAGCGTTTCATGACAATCGCAGTTCCTCATCGAAGATAGCAAAAGTTGAAAATGGAAATAGCCTATTGATTCTCGAGTCTAGCACGCAGTTTTTACTAGTGATTTACCCATCCCATAAACGAGTATCATAAACCAATTCGTGATTTAAAATGCAACCGACATATTTTTAAATTCTCAAAAACTTCTTTATTCAATAATTCGTTTGAACAAACTAACGAACAAACTATACAAATGTTAAAAAGCAATTAAATTTGCTAATGAATACTTGATATATTCAAAAAATTGGACAATATAAAACATTTCAATTAGCAAATTAATGGCATACTCATAATTTCTAAGGTACACAAAAATACACGACACAGTGAAAATAGTCGAATTCGATAGTAATACAATGATAAGTAGCATAGTTACGAAGGAGAACTTTTCAGTGACTCAACATATATGCTATTTATACACGAACGACTCAAGGTTTGAAAAGAAGACAGCTATAAGAAAGGGTCTATATCTTGTACAAGAATATAGCACCGCACAGAAACTATCTATTTTATCACTTTAGAAAACAACTTGATATTTTCTGTAAGTGGTTGATGAAAAGATCCAAGCTGAATTCGGCAATATCTGACATATTTGAAGTGTGGATTCACAGACTTGGTTAGCAGAGAAGGCGGTGACCTCATGACATGTGTGGCCGTAGGTAGTCGAGTTATTAGGGGGTGCAATTAAATATCCAGTCTTTCCTATCGCCAACAATATACTTTTAATAAAAAAATTTGAAAGGCTCGTTTGAACAGTGTGTAACCTTTTATTACAGGGTGCTTATGATTAAGCTTGGATAACCATGACTATATCCTAGCTCATAATGCACGGGGTGACCTTCGAAAAAAGAACCCAGGTCATTTGGAACGTATTCTAGAAAAAACATAACTTTTGTGCAAAGCATCTCAAATTACTGAAATTTTTTGGTACATGCATACACGAACAGAAGGTTAAGTGTTAATCATTTTTTTTTCATTTTGTTAAAATAGTAAAGGAATTTATGGGTTCTGTTTTTTGAGTCACCCTGTACAGTATGTATATAGCATGAAAATTATCAATTATTGAACATTCCTTTGAACAAGACGACAACAGCTGAAACATTATCTACAGCACCAGCAAGAATTGCAGCACGTACAAGTCTCTCACTAAGCAATGAGGCTACATTTGCATATCTTTCTATCATAACATTTTCATCTTTTCTTGGATCGTAGTCTCCTCCAGCACTATGATTATCATCACCAGAAAACATTGAAATATTTCCACTGTGCTGAATATTTTCGTCATCTGTTGACTGCTGTACTATCAACGAAGATGCACTTGATTGAATTTTTCCAATACTGCCGTTTGTTCTCGCCGTTGCCAACTGAAATATTTTAGAAAATTAATAGGGGAATATTTCTGTCGTTGGAATGTGGTATTAATTGGCTTCCATACTAGACTTGTATTTGTCACACTGGAACCTGGAACATAAGCCTGTGAAAAACAGAGTATTGTACATATCGTCTTGTGAAGTAGCTTTGGCTTGTTTATAATGCTACTACTACTGTTTATAACGCTAGTTCTACTTGTATATTTTCATTATTTTATGTGTATGGTCATATTATAAGGTAACAGTCCTAAACTGCTGTTATATTTGTGAAGGTTACTAGTCGCACGACTATGTCTTCAAACCGCAATACGCAGATGTCGCAATTTTTCATGACATAAGGAAATTATTGGATGGGGAAATATTAGACAAACCTTATCGCAAGGTCACAAAAAAACTTGAAATTTCACAAGCTGAATATTGTGTAGTAAATATTATCAAATTGCCCTGCCAAATAATAGCCAGATATCAGGTGAACTATTGAAATTATTTAATTTAATTTTACATCTTCTCCAACTTTCTCATCATCACTATCACTGTCTTGTGCTTTAACAAAAATAACTTCTTCAATTTCTTGTTCTTCTTCTGTTTCAACAATACTCGGTAATGTACTTGTCTGGTGTGTATCACTCAAGTCAGCACCTTTACGACCTGTAAATGTAAATTCATTAGCGACATATTTATATGTTTCCGCTCAGAACTAAGCTCTACACAAGCAACCACTGCTAGGTGAGGAGCTACTAAGTTGGGAAGAACTGGAATCTTTTCAGTTCGGCATGCATGGCAATTTATTACACCACGGATAAGGTGGTAGGCATGAGGTTGAATTTAGACTGTGATGCTTGATTAATACAATATATACAGAATTCAGTCACACACCATAGAGATATTTACACAAATCTTTTTCTATCCAGTATTTTATGGACTATAGGGTGCATTGGGTTATAAGGCACATGGTCAGTAATTCGCTTAGATTGGGGTTTTGTCCATAGATAAGGCGCACCGGACTATGAGGCGGGTACTGGTACTGGTTTTGAGTGTACGCAATAAAGCAGGGGTGTGCAAAGTGCGGCCCGCGAGGGAAAATTGTGTGGCCCGCGGAGAAGTGCCAATTTTGAATGGTGTGCAGCCAGCTAAACTAGTTTTTAATTTGGTTTGATCTGGTTCCCTTTGCGTTGTAAAGCTTATATTCGAGTCCAATTTATTATCTATGCCTATGACGTTACAACGTTCTAACAGCGAAGCGAACAACGCGATTCACAAAGCTGTCACTTGCCAAGCAGCAAACAATTGGAAAGAAAATGCGGAGCAGGCGCTAATGAATTTGTACGAACGGGCAATTCAAGATTAGGCAACTGGAAAGCAGTTTGAAAAAATATAATATTAAGAAATACAAAAGCTAAATGAGTTTTGGTTCCAGCCTATCAGTTGATTTTGTTTAAATCTAATATAGAATAACATTTGACAGCAAAGTATTTGGAAATGAATCTTTGTGTATTATACCAAAAAAATCTCAACTAAGATAACTTTACACATTTGAAAAAAGTCATGGCTTCAAATATGGCACTTATTGGCTACATATTTTTTTCTAAAATGGGCGTCATATCGAATTGCTAGCACTTCCACTTAAGCAAATTTGACTAAAAGTAGTCGGGAAAAGAATCCAGCAGCAAATTTCTCACTGAATTCGTTTAAATTGGGTGTGACAATATATTTGAATTACAGTTTTGAGAAATTTATGCGTTTTCGGCAAGGACCCCTGATGATGACGACATGAGATCAATAACAAAAAGACACTATTTTGTGCCTGCAACTAATAGAAAGCTTATGTTAAATGAAGGCGTGGCCCGCAGTTTTACCCAGTTATTGATATTTGGCCCGCCTGCGAAAAAGGTTGCTCACCCCTGCAATAAAGCAGTACCTGATCCGTACACTAGATGCACCGGTTTATAAGACGGGACTATCGATTTTGGAGAAAAATGGGATTTGAAGCGTGTCTCATGGTCCTTGGAACACGATACACAACAACTGAATGATGGCAGAATGGAATTTCGATTTTTATAGTATAGTATTTTTTGTATGACCCCGCAAATTTCAAGTGCTGAAAGAAGACTATTAATTCTTAAATGAAAATATTCTAAAAATTAAAATTTTACCATATTGAATATAACCAATTTCAAATAAATTTGAATATTTCATTTTTATATTTCATTTTGGACATCCTGGGCTCACATGAATTTAAAACTAGCGCCCATGTGCAGGATAATCGTGTGTTGTAAGGATAAGATTTACATATTTATCCCGGGGAAGAGGAAAGCCAATAGGAAAGCTTAATCATATGGCGAACCACGGCCTCTCGTCCGCTTATCAGTCCACGGTATTAGTTACCAGGTTATGGGATTAGATAGTCAGTTATTTGTTTTCAGATGGTGGAAAAGCCATAGCCCATAACCGACCAGCGGTTACTTGAACCACCTTACAGTGGCGAGGAGTCCAGTTAATTCCTCTCGCACATAATTAACCCTGCATAAGATTCAAACCTCGAACCCACACTTGGTAATCATAGGTGCGATGGTGAGCGTATTCCTAAGGCAATGCGCCACATCGCCTAGCTGTGTAACAAACAACCGCTGCTACATTTTCTTATATTAAGTTTCATTGAAAACATCACCTGGTGTTTCAACATAATATTAAACACATTTAACAGACAACTCTCGTACCTGAACGATAATGACCATGGATGACAGGAATGATGGGAGTTGGTCCTGGACTAAGTGCTGTTGAAATATCAGATGGAATAGAGTGAAGTAAAATAGAAAAAACATCATTTTGATTCAAGACATCCCACAGACTATTTGTTGCAATGACTAACATTTGTGCATCCTTTGTAATTCGAGTTACAGCAGTATGTGGTGTAGCGATCATACACGTTCTGATAGATGGGTCTCCGTGGTTTCCTGATTGAAAGTAAATATGTCGTGAAGAGGAGAATATTCAGTGGATATGAAGGTCAGATGTTGTTATAAGTTTGGCCTGAGAACACTGAGTTTTCTGAAAAGATCAGCAGAAAAGCACGATGGATGAGGTCAAGCACGGTGGAATAAAACTTGTTCTCCCTTAGCGAAAAGGAATCAGCCAAATTTTTATGTCTCACAAGAAAAAAACAAACGAAATAGCTTTCAAGTAATGAAAATTTGAAAGAAGATTGTAAAAAACGATCTACCTCCTATGTGTAAAAAAGCCGCATTACAACTTGAAATAGCATGTTCATAATAAAATAGCTTGATGTATAATATTATGACTAGCACTTCATTTTTAAAAATTGAAAGTTCCATGAAAAAAAGAAGTGAAGTTGATTTTCAGACTTCTTGAAAACCTTTTTTTGGAATAGCATTGATTTAAAAATTTTCCTTAAGACAAAATTACATCAGTGCATTTTTGCTGTGTATTTCCTTTGCTTATTAGGTATTGAAAAAATGAGAATCACTATTTACCAATATCTAAAAATGACTAATAGCTACCTACCTAATCCTCTTGTAGTTTCCATTACACCATTAATTCTTGCATGTTTTTCACTGGAGTTGATTGTTCCTCCCATCTTAACAACTCGTTCTTTTTCCTTTTCATTGTTTAAGTTATCCAGTTGAGATAGTTTATACGGCTTCTTCTTCTGATACAAAATTGCCTGCACGTTCCCTGTGATTATGAAGATTTTTGATTCAAACAAATACCATTATTACTTTCTAACAAAATCCAAAATGATGGCGTAATCATATGTTCGCTTTGTATCTTCAAAATGTGATCAACAATCAACATACCAGCATTCGAAATAAATATTTTGCCATATTTTGAATTTTTTCTTGATCCATTATCTGATTCATTTGTGTTCCTTTTACTACTTCCACTTTGTGATCCATCACCTGAATATAAAAACGAAATAAGTTTCATGGATTCAAAATTATATGTATAATGTTTATTTACTAGGATAGACAACGAAAATGAAATACAATTGTTAAATAAAAAACAAATAAAGCCACTGGCTAGATGTCTGTCTAGAGTGAGTCCACAGGTTCAAATCTAGTCAGAATAAACTTATGTTTAAATGAGTATAAAAATTTTATCCTAATAATGTGGTTTCATTGTTACCAGCTAGGTATGTAGCTATCAGGATCCAGTCTATTTGAAGTTTTTTTGATATGTGATAGTAATATAGTACTGGAAATATGTAAGCAATATTTGATACAGTCTCTCCAGTATACCTTTTTCATCTATGTTTCCACTGTTTTCTTCTGATATTAGGCAAGTGAGAGCAGAACATCCACTCCATCTTAATCTGCAAAAAGAAAATTAATTTCAAGAGCTTTGATGGCAAACACACATAACAGAATCAGAAGTGACATCTTTGGCAAAGAAAGTTGATAAACTATAATATTGTATAGTTGGCAAACAATAACTGTGAATTGGTTGGCATATTGTGCTAAGCGTTGGGAATACACTTGCCATAACACCTCTGATTACCATGCATGAGTTCGCAGGTTCAAATCGTACAAGGTCGTAGGGTTGTTCTCATAAACTCTTTCTCAGTCACAGATTTTTTTACTATCAAGTGATGATGTAGAAATTGAACTAAACCTCTGAAAATCAGCTTAGAATATAAAACTTTAGCTAGAGTACCAGTTCATAACCAATATTAAATTATTTATTATTTTAGATGTTTTGAGTTTGGCCTTATTTAAATTAATTGTAATTTGCGACCCAGTAATATTGAAGGCGGTATCATAACTACCTGTGTAAATTTTGCTATAACTTTTCTATAAATTGAAATACAACCTGAAATAACACATGATTTCAATACCTTGACTTTTCATTGATTCCATATCCTAAATATCCATCCATTTTGTAAAAAGATTTGGTCAAACATTTTCCTATTTCAGCATCAGACAATATTCTAGAATGACATATATTGTCTGTGGTATCATCATCTTCAGAAATGAAAGTTGTTTCTCCTTGGCTATAGTTTGCATCACCAGAACCCTGAACAGAATAGATAACAGAAAAATATAACAATGCAACTAAATTTTTCCATAATTCTAATTCCCTCATTTAGGTGAGACAATCTTACATTAGTGGGGTTGATTATCTCTCACTAAGGTTCCCAACATATTTTTACTTTTTTCAAAAATGCTCACCCCCCTCTATGCATAAAAACTCTTGTTTCCATTTGCTGTTCAATGTTTATTGGATTACTAAAACTAAGTAAGTTACCATAAGTCAAGTTTATATTTTTCCAACCAGTAAAAAAAATCATTCAAACACAAATTGCAAGAAAATGATAATTACTCAGTTTTACTGGGGGAAGTTGAAGCGACTAAAGCTGGTTATCGAGCAGCCGCACCCAAGGTTCTAATATCTAATTTGAAAAGTTTGGTGACGCTGAGTACCGTATGAATGATCTGAGTAATGATAGGCAAATCCGCACTTCGTTTTTTGCATAGTTTTAATAGTTTAGAATTTATGCATGATTACTTACTTATCAGTGGTTACTTCTAAAGAGCCTTGTTCTGAGAAAATATGTGGAAAATGCTTGTCAATGAATTCAAAATTGTTTAGACCTTGCCCAATTTAGAGATTTCAACCCGAATAGTTGATAGACTTCAGTATTATTACTGATAACAAATATTTACATTGTTTGGAACTTGATTTCTTTGGGCAGATATTTCTTCAATAATTATTCTATGCATATGTTCTGATGATGTTTGTGCTGCAGTTGATCCATGATATCCATCAAACATACCAATGTAACATGTATGGCCTGAAAAAAAATTGAAAATAAAAATAATTTTAACAGTTCAATTGCTTAGACAAAAGCGAGCAATGTTCAAATATATGGACATTAAAGTCAAATAACTATTGAGCTAGGAATTGTTGAGCCCAATTAGATTAGAAATTTGAGAAAAATAAATAAAAAATTTCATTTTCAAGTATTAGAAACTGGAAATATATTAGTCCATTAATTGTGGGGAAAATCCATTTTTTCATAATTGCAACAAAAATCATAATAATTTAGCAAATTAATTGATTCATAGGGTATTCTTGGTGTCCATTTTAACTAATATTTTGTTCAGGAAGCATGTAAAAAACCATTCCAAGTTATTCTGATTTTGCTTCCTCAGTAAACAATTAGAAAGTTGGGATGTCAGACATCAAATGATCCTACCGCAGTATTTATATATTGCCAAAAATTATATTTTGACATGTTAAATGAGTTGACCTCTAATGAACGAACTCACGAGTATATTTACACTATTGAACAATATAACTGCTCACCAATCTCATTTGAACTAAAACTTGGTAAAGCAGATTTAATTGTTGTTCTGTCTTCCATTTCATCCCTCCAATCTATATTAGTTGCCTGAAAGAACATAAGATATTCAAACTTACAAATGATTAGCAACCTTGACCTAACTCTATAGGATACTAACGCTTTAACAATTTATTGAAATAAAAAATCACCATTTCGATTTTCAAACATCTTCAGTTAATAAAAATAATAGCCCAGTAATAAGTACAAAGTTATGGAATGCAAGAAAATGCTGCTTAATTGATGCTTTTCAACACCTGACTAAATAGTAAATACCTCTGAATGCCCAATTCCGTAAATACTTTCTGGAAATCCATATTGAGGAGAAGATAGAATTGGCTTTGAGGTTACATCATCATCTTCAACTAGTAAAAAATAATTTGATTTATGGTAATTCAGATGTAATTCAATACAATGTTAGAATCAGTATTACACAGCTAAATATGAACATAAAAAATAATTTAAACGGAGAAATTTGTACCAATTCAAATTATCCATTCTGACTGGTATTTCAAAGACCAACCTGTCTGTCATGTCCCACTTAACCCAGCTGCAAATATTCCACTTCACATGTTTACTCTAACCATTTGGTCTAGCCTTAGAGTACCACATCTAATTTTACTGACTAGATGTCTCTGGTACATCATGTTCATGTTAAGCATTAAAAACCGTGTTCGGAAAATTCGCCGTAGGGTTTATAGTGTCAGGGTATGCTCTTAGATAACGAATCTTTTTTAAATAAGACGATTTTTCCTATGTAGCAAAATTTCCTACGCTGAAATTTCCTGCAGCGAATTTTCCTAGAACCTTAAAAACAAGCTATACATCACACCTTTGATTACCCTGCATGGTTTCGCAGGTTTTAATATTGTCAGTGAAAGTTATGCGTAAGAGGATTGCTGAACTCCTCGCAGCTGTAGGGTGGTTCACTAAACCTCTAGCCATTTATGGCTTCCTTCACCATCACTGGCCCAAGTCCATACGTCTGAAATGAATTTAATGACTATTCCCATATGTAACACAAACTGATAACCAAACATCAGGCCATGGTTTGCTGTATGCTTAAGCCGTCTTATATACCGTACTTTTTTCTCCTCCGGGATAAATATGAAAATCCTCCTCCTCCTAACCTAAAACGAACCATGAATCCCATTCCATGTGTTTGATAGAATCATCTGGGTGGTTTCACCTTTTAATGCATGTTCCTGGTAATATACCGTATATCATATTAATGTGAAAATAACAAATATATACTCTGCAATACAAACCTCTATCTCTTGGTTCGAAATAACCATCTCTCATACTTGTCATTCCGTCTTTTGTCAACATTGACTTTAAACGAGATTCATCTTTTGTAAATTCAAATCTCAAGGTTTCATAGGCGTCCTCCATTCTGATATACATAGTATATAAAAGATGATTTATGGGTGCTCCTGGAGTATGCGCACCAAGATGTCGCATAACCTGAACCCTAACCTGGTACACAACCTGAGTTCAGGTTGTGCGCCATCTTGGTGCGCATACTTCAGGAGGTCCGATTCATGTTTATTCTGAGACAGAAGATAATTGGTAATAAAAAATCATGAGGGTTTAGTAGAGTTGCCAGGTTAGTTGGTGATGGGAAAAATTATCTATTCAATCATACGCATGTATGTGGGTGGATGGTGGAGGATGTCTTAATCTATCCACAATGAGTGAGACAACAATCTTCTTTTGAACTTGCATGGGGTAATACCTAGTAGTTTGTGTCATGTAGCCATTTTTGAACTTTTATCATAATAATTCAATCTTGAAAGTTTGACTGACCTTTCTAATCTTTTCTTCAAATTTGGATCTGAGTGATTATCTTTGAATTTTTCAAGAACTTTTCGTAATAACATCATATGACGTTTTGATAATGAATCAATGTTACGAGGCCCTTTGCCTTAAAAAAAAAATAGTAAAATTGAATCAAGACAAGAACAACCTAACTAGGTAGGTATGTTGAATTACAGATTAGTGTTATAATATACAAAAAAAAAATTAAACCATCATTATGTCAGTGTTACAGGTCCTTTATAACGCACACTCAAACCCAAAACAAATATTCGATTTATTTTGGAATTATTCATATTCAATAATATGAATTTTTTATTATATTATTTTTAATTTTAATAATTCAGCAGTTTAAGTTTTAAAAATTTCTTGAAAAGTCTCACAAAAAGATATTCATTTAATTTCCGAAAACTGAAATGATAGAGAATCAATCAAATAATCACTTATTTTTATTTTCTGACATAACTGAACTTACATTTATTGAATATATATTTAACTCTGTTGAACATGACCCAATTTATAATGTATTCGAAATTTCATATTCGATAATTATTTTTCAAAATGTATTTAAAATAGGAACATACTGTGTTCCCGTTATCACCGGCTGTAAAGCATTATTACTAATTATTCACACAAACCTTCCTTGAAGCGCATAATCCTCATTGCCCTATGATGCTTCCGATGTTCCAAAACAGAAGATAATGGGAAATAAGTTTTACAGAAATTACAGCGCAATGATAAATCGTTTAATTCTTCCATCACTGCTATTTTCACAAAAAAACTAAAAAATTTATGAAAAAATAGAAACAAAAGTGAATTAAAGGAGAAAATATAATAACATTTTTCAATTAAAAAAAAACGAAGGAACTGAAAACATAGAATTGAATAACATTAATTAAACAATCAAACATTTCAATAACAAAAAATAAACTATCTAGAAATTGCATAAACTAACACTGAAAAACTTCAAACAGAAAAATATTTTATGACTGTTTTATGCATTTGATTTAAAAAACAAATTTCATTTCATTCTTATATAAATTCCATCGTCAAAAAATGTTACATAAACTATAGTCAATGACATTAGATTCTAGCATCATATTGCAAATGCACATATTTAAAGGTAGTTTATTAACAACAATAGTTCTCTATTTCATTTGCTTAAATTAATTATCAAGGATTAAAAAATAAAAACATTTCTTCAATTCGTTCATTCAGAATATTTGCAAAAATCTCAATGAAAAACCTGAAGACAAACCATTGAAATATAAATTTGCTTACTAAATCTATAGAGGTATATGCCCATATTACTTTTTATACAAACTGAAATTTACTTTTCTGTAATGCTTTTCTGAATTCAAAAAAAATCTACTTTTTTACCATCAATCTACCCCTTTTGAAACGATTGCTCATCCTTGTATATAATTCTATTACCTGAAATATATGAAAACACTTACATATATGTAACAAACTTTCTGTTCAGAGAAAAGTGTGAAACATAACTAAAATAAGGAACTAATGACTGAACCCAACTGCAAAGAACTTCTAATGCTGGATGTAGTCTTACAGTTAGTATCTGTTTTGGGCAAAATTTCTACCCCTTGCTGTGATATAACAGTTACAAATCGAAAGAGTCCAAAATGCTAAAATAAATTTGTTGAGCTTTCTCAAGTTCTTTTTTGTCCGCTTTCTTAATGCTTGTCACTAGAGGGTTGAATGTCTCATTTGATTTTGTAGCTGCTGGAAATATATCATCGAAAAAAGACTTTGGTGCACAATTTTCTTTTTGTTTCGGAAATGGTGATTTACAAACTTTTGATTCTATCACTGACTTGTGAGAACTTGTACATGGTATTTCAGATATATTATCAGATGTTTTACCTCTATAAAAGCAGTTTTCTTTGGATGATGTTTGTTTCATTGTAGGTGTAAATGTATTTGATCTTTGGTTTGAAATATAAGAACAGCTGGGATACATTTTTCCAGAAGCTTTTGATGTTATTGGTGTGTCATCAGGAGTTTGTCTCAATTTATCATATGAAATATCTGAAAATGTTGGCGATAATAACTGACGCTTTACTGGGATGGGACTATTCTCTTCTGCTGTTAATATTACATCATCTGAAAATTCATGATCAAATGATGAAGATTGCTTTTCTTCATTTACAGTTTCCTTCAACCCATCATCCCAGACGTCCCAATCCAAATCAAAATTTGGTTGAGCATTAGCTATATTAAAATCATCCACAGAAGAATTTTTCGCATCAGGAGCAAAATACAACTTTTTTCGAACCAAATTTGTGTTCACCGTTTCATTTGATTTTCTCTTATTGACAAAATGGCTTTCAAAAGAATTCTTATTCTTAGTTGTTACACGTTGGTTTTCATGTTCACCCAGACCCTCCAGATACATTGAAATAGCAGAGTCTGCATCTTGATTTTCAGATAACTCATCATCATTAATATCAATAAATTCAGGTTTATTATTCCATAAACATTGGCTTGAACTCGGGACAAAACTCGATGATTTTTTGTATGAAAATTCCTTCATCCAATTTGAGATATTTTTTGAAGAATATCTTTTTTCTGAAGCATTTTTATTTGTATATTTTGATTTTAAATTTTTTTTCTGAGTTGATTTTTGACAAACTTTTTTCTCTGATGAAGGGCTATGAATGCTTTCAAATGAATCAAACAGTACATCATCATTTGAAACGGGAATACCATAACTTCCATGCATTGAATTATTATTACCTCCAAAATATCTGGATCTCTTGTAATCTGTGTTAAAATTGTCTTCCATATCATGAGAGGTGGATTGTGTTGTTCGATTGGCAAAAGGTTTATATGTGCATTCGACATCTAATCCGGCCCATTCCTGACTACACAACACCAATTTTAATTCAAGATCATTTGCCATCCGTTTGACTTCAATATTAGTTGACCATTCCGAGCGCAGCAAATCCGAATCAGTAAATTTTCTTTTGAGATGTAAATTATTATTGGAATCTCCTATGATCAGTAGAGAAGTATGCTTGCCAAAGATAGTTTGTTTTCTTCTCAAATCATAGTGGTTTTGTATTGATACCCGAGCTCTAAAAGTTTGGGATCCAAACCCACGAGATCCAAATTCTTCAATTGAAACTTGATATTTTGGCAAATACCTTACTGCATCTTGTAGTTGATTACCAAAAGGAGGATGTCTGTTTACTATCAGTTCCAGTTCTCTTGGATTTCGTTTTCCTACAGCTTCAAAATTCCTTATGCCACCATTTACCAAAGCAGTTGCAAGAACTGGCCCTATCCCAGGAAGTTGTTTACAAACATAAGGAGAATCGTCCCACATTTTAGCTTTGATGCACTGGGAAAATTTAGCAGCATTCAAAAGAGAATTGAAGTCAGTATTTTGGAACTGTAGTTCCATAAAACATCTTGACACACGAGATGCAATTCGAAAAATCTTGTTCATATCTTGTTGCAATGCAAACTCTTGCAATGGAAGGTTCCCCAGAACAGCCTGTAATAGACAATTTACTTTCATTTGTGATGTTTTTATTCGACCTTCCATCGGATATCTAATTGTCATTGATGTTTTATTCTTGTTGAGTTTATTTAGTACAGATTTCTCACTAACTCTCAGACTAATATCTTGAAATTCTTTGCAACTAGAAACCAAGCCTGTTAATTCTTCAACAGTTGGACTTGATTGAAATCTGAGAAAATTTTTCATAGTTTCAAATGCAATACAATATTGTGCCATAAGACGACCTGTGGAAGTAGTTTGAAGTAAGTTCGGATGGAAAGATTCATTGATATTGACTAAATTTTCAGATGCTAAAGCATTCAAATTACTGATGCAAAGGTCTTGTAAATGACTCTCAATTTCTGCAGTACTAAGTCCAGCTGAATATCCATAATGTACTGGATTTCTCAGTGCCCTAATGTATAAAAATGTCGATCTTATCCACTCCAATGCCAAACTAGCATCAGGAATGGTTCCAAGCACAATTTCTGCATTTAAATGTTCAATGAGATGCTTATGTAGTGAGCTTTCAATTTGTTTTGTTCCATGAGTTATGTTTTGATATTTTTCTCGATTTTTTTGTTTTGTCATAATAACTGCCGTAGCAGTTGTATCAAACTGTGGTCTGCCAGCTCGCCCAACCATTTGCATAAGTTCTGACTGTGAATACTCTTCACATACACCACCAATATAATGACTCGTCGACTTGATGATCACCAAATGGGCAGGAAGATTAACACCCATAGCAAGTGTGCTTGTACTAAGTAAAACAAGAATATGTCCTTGGATAAAACCTTTTTCAACAAGTTCCCGATCATGAAAATCTAATCCAGCGTGATGGTACGCCACACCTTTCATCAAACAATCTCTTAGTTTATGGCATCTCACAAGGTTTGCAATTTGATTCAGGAGTCTTTGGTGCATTTCATTGACAACAAATCTAGAATCGCAAGCCAATCTAGATGCAGCCTGCTCCACACTTTTCCTAGTTGAACAAAACACTAAAGTTGGTTTATTCTCACAGTAATTTTCAATTACATTGCTGAGTTTGTAATTCAAGCTAACATCAAATTTAAATTCCGAGTCTGTATAGCATGGATAACCCAAAACAACAACATTAAGCTTAACAGGTCTCAAGTCATTACTGAGTAAAAAGTGAGTGGCAGGTAGGTCAATTGAACCAAGCCAATCTGCTATATCAATAACATTAGGAATTGTAGCAGATACTGCAACAAATCTCAAAGCATGAATAAAATTTGATCCTGTTTTCATAGAAATATGGGATCGATTTGTTTTCATTCTACTAATGACAGCTTCCATCGTAGCTCCTCTTGATTCGTCATTCAGAAGATGAACTTCATCAATAAGAAAAAGTTTGATCTGACTTATAAGTGTTATATTATTGTGCCAACGTCGAGTGGTACTGTCCCATTTCTCTGGAGTCGTAAATATAATATTAGCCTTTTGCAATTCAGCCAAATCATCGTTGTTCGAATCTCCTGTGAGCTGTGTACATTTTAGATTAATAGATTCAAACTTATGTCCCCATTCAGAATGACGTTGAGCACAAAGCGCCTTAATTGGGGCCATGTATATAATTTTTTGTTCACTGTGAGGCCGTGAATATTCATCACATTTGAGAAGCATCCGGATGATAGCAAGCTCAAATATCATAGTTTTTCCAGATCCTGTCGGTGCACAGACGACAAGTGGATTATCAGTGTACAAAACGTCATCAAGAACAGTTGACTGAACAACATTAAAATATGGTATTCCGTCAAAAACATGCCGATATTTTAGTGGTATTTCATCTGTTGATCGAAGATTTAATCTTGTAAATGCTGACTCATCTGTATCACTTGCAAATGGGCTTCTGCGTGCATTTTCTGGTGATTGAACTTGCAAATGATTGTCAAACTGGAAACCAGCCATATCATGGAAATTATGCTACTTTCATACAATTAAAAATTTGAAGAATGCATACCATCTAAAAAATTTCCGGTTCAGATTTATAAGTTAAATATATCTATGAATAGCCTGGTCACTTAGATTATAGCGCAATGAGAATAAAAAGGTCAAGACAACAAGAAGAGATGTTTATAAAATAAATATAATTGATAATGACAATGGTACAATAACAATGTATGTCTTATATTCTAATGAAATTCATGGGTAAAATAAGTCAGAGTAGCATAGCTAAATGATGAAATGGTCGATTCCACTGATAAGCCACTCATTTTGATTCAATTAGCAAACATATTTTTCAGGAATTCGTATTTTATTCATAGAACTATCTCTTTTTTTATCTTTAATTTTGCAAAAATATTTCCTTCGTTTCATGTTACCATGAATCGGAACATAATTATCATTTCAATAACTGAAAAGTACCGTAGTCTATAGTCTACATCTTCGTTTTAACAAACATTACCGTAGTTTATCAACATCTAAGTTAGTTTATCAACTTCAATGATGTTGAACTTGTTATTTCATTTCTATCTTTACAAGATTAATATACTCTATCTAGGGAAGCTACCAGAGATACTCCCTTCCACGAACTCTTGCCACATCAGAGTTTTATCCATTCCTTATCCACGGCCTATGTCAGAGGACGCAGCTTCGCGCAAGCAGACGACTCATTTTGGTCTGGCGTCGTTGCGTCATAGAAACCGCGACGAACCATGGCCATTTGACCCCTCTTTGTAAATATATGAATTTCCAGTTCAGTAATAACGTGTTTCTCCGAAAATAAGACCTAGACTTAGGCTTACCATATTTCTGAAGCAAAAAACCGGGACGGCGCGGATTGGACAAGTCAAACTTGGTTTGATTCCGCGGGTTAGTAATAGTTTAAACGTTTTCCTATCATTGTGGGTAGATTGCAGGCATCAAAATTAGCTGTAAATCCTATTACACACTCCTCTATTGGGCTTCACTTCAAATAATGGGAATTGTTCTCATTTTGAACTCATTAGAAAACTTGCACTTTGTTTCCGGCATTTTGATGATTCAACGACATTACAGTTGGGTGTTAAATTAACGCATGGTTCATACTTCATGTCATGAAGTGAGACGCAAATCAGTGGTAAATCGGCTGTCTCCGTTAAAAATATTTTTTATTGTAATAGTATCGAATAGATGAACTATTATGACTGTCATACTGCAAAACCGGGACATTTGAGTCTATCGTCGGGACGGCAGAAAAATATGCTAAAACCGGGACTGTCCCGGCTAAACCGGGACGTATGGTAAGCCTACCTAGACTGAATTTTTAAATCGCTTTAATATAAGCCCTCCCCTTAAAAATAAGACCTATTTAATAACGCAAATTATTTTTTGACCTAGTCCTAGTCGATAGCAAAAAGTCTCTCCTACGCGCTTTAAATGATTGATGAGCTATTATATGTTTAGCAGTTATTGGACACGTAGTGGACATAACGATCGTTTCAATATTATGTTGTTGTTGTTGTTGTTCTTGTTCTTGTTCTTGTTCTTGTTCTTGTTCTTTGACACGTTTTTAAAAAGTCGCTTTTCTCTTCGAATACTGAACCAATTGCTTTGAAATTTTCAGTGGTTGAAGATAAAATTTTTCTCCAGAAGGCTATTACTTTTTTTTTTGCTATGACGTCATCAAAATTATTGCCATTGGGTGGCGCTACGTGTCCATATATTTGAGCATAGCTCTCTTGTTTTGGATGGAAACATGTTATTCATAAGAAATGGATATCGGCTTTTATATTTTGTATATTTGAAAATCTCGTAATTCATTATTTTGTAATTTTTTTTTGATGAATGAAAATATAATACATCAATCAATCAATCAATCAACATCCCCCGAAAATAAGCCCTATTTTGCGGAAGAAAATGGAAATAAGACGCAGTGTTATTTTCGGGTAAACACGGTAATGATCAATTTTGATATCTGAAAATCTTTGGCACAATACCACAAGCAAAGTGATATTATTTTTGTTGTATGGCATCAAAATATTTGGAGTCTGAATAGATTCCAAGAATATTTATTTAAAAAATTGTACGACCAAGATATTTATGTAGCTATTCACCCTCTTTGGGCCACTTTATCTTCTAGAAGTGGAAAAATCTGATATTTAGTGAAAGCAATACTTTTAGGTCATATACTATAAATTTTTAAAAATTTTCAACACTCAGACTCCTTGGGGGATTTACCGGATGTTGCACAAGTGCAACTTCTGCCCAGAAAGGACTAATTCTAAGATATCACATGTATGTTGTTCAATTTTCAATACTTTGCACCAGTATGTATACTACGATGATTGAAAATATTAATGGGATTGTTAAACTTATTTCATGGCTCGATTCAATTATGATTAAAAGGCGCATTAAAAGTAAACAAATGTTAATATAGATCATGTTTTTGCGCTCTAGGACATATGAGTTGACACTTTCGTTTACCAATTTCTTCAAAATTATTTTGAAACTGAATTTCCATATATATTGAAATGCAAAAAGAATTTTTAGCGTGGAAATCATTTTGATCACGCTACGCTGCGTAAAATTAGAAACCAAATTTTTTTGGCAGCAGAAAAATCGTTAACAATTTGTGTATTTATTCAGTTTTATGGTTTTGATATTTTTTGCACTGTATGTCTTCTCTTTTTACTTCAGACTTTCATTTGAATTCATCGATCGACCCTGCCCCCACTCTGGAAGACGCTATAAAAACACGGCCAGCGGTAGTTTTCTGCAGCATTTGTATTCTGGGGTCAATTCCAATTTTGTGTACACATTTATTGTTTTGCTCAGCAATTAGTATAGATTGGTTTATGAGTGGATCGCAATACCTTTATGGTGTTGTCGAAAGTAGAGAAAAACTGTGCTCCGGCGCGGCGGTGTGGCTCAACGGGCTAAGCGTTAGGAATACGCTCGCCACCGCACCTCTAATTACTCTGCGTGGGTTCGCAGCAATCGCAGGTTCGAATCCCATGTAGGGATGGTTATGTGCGAGAGGATTGCTGGACTCCTCGCCGTCGTTGGGTGGTTCACGTAACCGCTGGTCGGTTACGGCTTCCTCCACCACCAAGTCCATGCTTCCGAAGACAAACAATACAGTAAAAACTAATCCCATACCCGACTTGGAATGGTAACCGGACGAGAGGCCGTGGTTCGCCATATGGATAAGCCGTCTTATCGGCTTTCCTCTCCCCCGGGATAAATATGTAAATCCTATCCTCCCCCGAACGTTGAATTAGCTTGGAGATAGTTAACTAGCTAGCTGTCCTCTGCAATTGCTCTTTACGTAGTCCAAAACTGCCAAACACTAAATGGGCAAAGTCTCTAATTCCCGTGTACCGCTACTATAGACCATTTCTGGTATAAATTAATTGCAATGTTTTGGAACATTGTAAATGTCATTGGGCGTCAATAACCAGGAAAATGCTGTAGACGGAGTTCGGAAATCATATGGAGACAACTCTGCGGTGCTTGTTTAGTTATTTGCTATATAGGCAAGTGATCCGTCTATCCTTACAATAATAAGTTGATATACAAAAATCACTCTCTGCATAATTTATTGATATAACAACAACGTTAATGATGGGTAACGCGAATATTACAAGCTACAACTTGGAAACAATAAACACTATAAATAGGGATATAAAAAATATATCTTTATGACAAATCATTAAATCAAAACTACATTTTTAAAATCATCTAACTCCAGCAGACGGTTTGGACTTCTGTTTTTGTAAAACCATTTGTGTGACTTTGCGTTTATATTGAAGAGCTTTTTTCCGATTTGCTTCATAGTACTTCTTTCTTTCTGCATCACGCTTCCTTGCGACGACCTCAGGGAGTGATTCATATTTCATTTTGCTTGACATCTTCATCTCCTTCCATCCAAAAACTCTGTCTGCTTTATTTTTGGGTGCAGCATTAGCGATTTCTTGTGCAGATGGTCTCGGTGAAACATCAGCTCGCTCATTATGGAGAGCTAATATCTGCTCATGAATCTTTTCTTCCAATTCTTTTAATTTCCTCTCTTCTGCGCGTAAAGCAATATCTTCCTGTCTTTCCCATGAACGCAAAACAAAATCTCTTTTCTTGTCCAAAAATGCATCTTGTATGTTGACATCAACAAAACCCATCTTTGGCCTGTTGCTCATGCTTCTTTGTCTCCATGGTGGCATATACTCATAAGGTTCATACCAAGCGACTGGAGATTGATTCAATTTTTCATCAGGCTGCTCTCTAGGAAGCTTCTCTGGCGTTAGATCAACAAAAAATGCGCATGGTTGTTGCTTCTGAGGTATGTTCTCTTTACCCTCTCCTGAATATATTTTTTCTTTGTTTTTTCGTTCAGCAACAACTTGTTTCGGGGTGACTTGGTTGCTCTTATCAAATGATGAATAAATGCCTTCTTCCGTCACTTCAGTATTACTTAGTTTTGTGAATGAAGTTTGACTTGCAGATTCAGCATAAATCTTTCTTCGATTTCGTTGCGTTTGTTGAGGGATATTTGTTGAGTTAGTTCGAAGTACTCTGATGTCATCTTGTAATGTTTGTGCAGATTTGTTGACAAGCTCTTGACCACCATCATCAAGTTGACTATGTTCAATGAACATTTTCTCAGATTTTTTATGAAGATTTTTCTCGTATAATTTTCGTAACAACTTCTCCATCAATGGAACTTTGGTTGAAAATGTTTCAAGAAGATTCATGAGCTCTTCATCAGAACTTGAACTAGAAGGTTCTTTGTTAGTGACAGGCATACTGGCACTCACACCTGTGTTTCTTGTTCTTGTGGACTGTTTACCAACATTCTTTTCTTTCATGAGAAGATTTTGCACCTTTTCTGTTGATATTGAGTGCCTTTGTGGAGCTGAAAATATTGGAGGCATCGTTGGTTTCTCTTTTCCGAGACGAACATATGGTAGAGGCGCAGGTTCTATGGGGGTGGGAGATGGAGTTGAAACAGACTGCTGATCTCTCTCAACATATTTCTCATTGCTGTCACTCAAGTCGGATCTCAGATACCCATTAGCTGAATTTCTGAAATGCCCAGATTTCTCATCCTCACTATCATCAGAAGACTGTGACAAAGTAGTTCTACGGTGGAGTTCAGTGTCACTCAAACTCAGGTCGAGGTTTTCTTCCTTCCTCTTATGCTTTGGGGTCGATAAATTCTCAAGTAGAGTGTTTTCTTCATCAGAATCATCAGAGCAAGACTCTGGTTCGAGAGGTGAAAAGTCTGTGTTCACTTCAATTTCTGTATCCTTCGTAGGTTTCTGAATTCCAGCTGATTTTTTTTCTCCCTTATTTTGTACATTCTCTGGTACATCGGATTCTGTATATGCAAATAATAAAACTCGGTTATGGTTGGAAAAGCACTTTGGTAATTGCATTTTCAATACAAATCAAATGAATTACGGCAGATGATGCAATTAATAAGGTGTCATATTCTAATTTTTCAACCTCATATGTACCACAGTATAATATCATACTGTGCCTCTTTAAATATGATCCAACTCAATCAAATCACAATAACTCAATGGATTTACTACTGTGATATCTATCATAGAACGAAGTTCCTGGTGTATGATTTTGCAATATCATTGCCAAAATTAAAGATCTGTTTAATTGAACCTATTTGGCCAAAATCGTTTCAAATTCAGTTCAATTTCAAGCATTTTCTTCGAATACTTCAATGAAGATTTTGACTTACCTTGTTTCGGTTTTTCTTGATGTTTCTGCTCAGCCACAAGTTGATCATACGTTGGAAGAACTTTCCCAATACGAGGTTTTTCTTTGACAATTTTTGGCGTTATGTTTCTCGGAGATTGATAACCTGATACTCGAGGAGTGGTAAAAGAATACTCAGGGTTTCTCATAGGTCTTTCTAAACTTTTTTCTGGAGTGCTTCTCGTGAGTGAGGAATATGAACTTTCCTTAAAATGAACCGATTTCGGTTGAGATGATTTCTGTGACTGTTTGAGGTTCAAGGAAGATGACAATTTTAAATTTTCTGTTTGAGCTTCGGGAAGTCTTCTTCTCTCATAACTGTGAGGCGGAGTCAAGGATTTCACGGTAATATGATCTTCAGATGTATATATGTTAGTATCTCTCACTGATTTTTCACTAGATTTGTCTGGCATCCGTGGTTCATACATTTTGATTGAAACATCTTTTTGAGGTGTTAGTTTCTTCAATTTCACTCCATCTTGTCTCAAAGATATGCTGGGACTTTTTTCTGTATGAAATGGTCGTTCCCCTCTCAGCCGCTCTGGTCGAAAGTATGACGATGTTTCTTGCATATCCTGGTTTCGGCGAGGAATCTGTGTGGTACACGGTTTTGAAGGCCTAGGTAAAGGACTTCTGTATTTTACTACGGGTACAATATCAACTTTTTCTGGTTCCTCCCATGCAACTTTTCTTGGTGTAATGAATGAATAAGGGGTTTGAGTTTGTGTAACTTCTGGCTCAAGCTGTTTGTAACTTTCGTTTTGTGGTGTGAAGATATCATAATTTTCTTTTGGATATTTACCATAACGGCCGACAATTCTAGACGAAGATTTATGAGGAGTAGATGAGCCCCCTACTGGGTAAGAATGACGGGAGGAAGCTGATATACTTGCTTTTCCTTCATTTGAAGGCTTGCCATCAGAAAATCTCATAACAGGCATTTCATGAGAAGTTTTATTTTCTTCCATTGGTTTTGACTGTCCTGGTTGACGAAACAGAGTTTTCATCGCTGGTGGTGTTTTTGATTTCGAATTTCTGAGAGACTGAGGAGTTTGTGTCAATGAGATTCGGTATGTCTCTGGAGAACTTACATCTGATGAATCCGTATCTATTTCACGAGCCTGCATGGGGGATGACTGTCCAAATTTAGTGAGAGGCTGTATTTCACGAGATGGTGTCAGGGCACCAGGAAGAAACTGCCTTGTGTATTTCCATAAATTAGTTTTTTCAAAATTAGATATTTCATCACTGAAATTAGAATGTTGAGAAATTTCGTTCACGTTGATATCTGATAAATCCCCTGTTATCATGTGCTGTTGAGCTGATTCTTCTCGCAATAAATTTTTAACCTGTGCTGCAAGACTGTCGACGGTGCTCGCAATGCTGTGTTCAGAAACAGTGTGTGGCCCTCTGAGGCCACTAGACTTTGAATTGGTAAATTTTTCATCTTGATTCACAGCAACTGCTCTCTTCACTTTTTCCAATATTTCTTCATCGCCCAAATTTGCTGGAAGATCCAGTTGTGAATAGTTTGTAGCAGAACCTGCTAAGGATTCATGGATAAGTTCCTCAGTGGGTGTTGCATTGTTTACATCAGAATTTCTACTCCGTAAAGTGATATTACTTTCATGAGAGCATCTTTTTTCTACTGGAGTCGGCAAGCTATCAACTTTACTTAGCGACGGTGCTTTGGTTGAATTCAGAGTACCATTAGGAATTTCAGATTCTGACAATTTAGACAATGGTAACTGACGAGGATACGAAAACGGTGTTGAGTGAATTGGACCTCCACCAGAACGAAGAGTTTCAAGTCTTGTATTACTTGGTTGGTGTGATCCAAGTTCCGATAATTTTTCAGGTTCATGTTCATGCTGTCTTCTTTGAACATATTTCTCTAAATGTTGAAGTTTTTCTGGATCATCTGAAAACTGAGGAGTGTTTGGATCAGAATCAGAATAAAATTTAGCATTGCCTGTTATTTTAGCATTTGAATTCTCAGAACTAGATTCATCTGATGAAGTTTTAGTGACCTTTTTCATATATTCCGACAACACAGGATAAGAATTTGAGGCGATATTAGATCTGCTATTTTTCATGGGATTATCCACGACTTTTGGTAGATCGCTGTACTCAGTACTATCAGAAATATTCATGATGTCATCAGAAGAATCCTGTCTGAGCTGTATTGGTTTATCTTCAGCTCCATTACCCTCAGGATTACCAAGATCATCTCTATTTCCTCTAAGAATAGAGATATCGGCACTACTTAGTTTCACAGTATCATCAGATTTATCCATTTGCTCTTCTTCAATCGACTCCTCTTTTTCATCTTGTGTCTCGACCTCTAATTCTGTATTCATATCACCAGGTGGAATATGCTCTTGATCCGCAGTCTCAGTTGAATTTTCCACATCTTTAAAAAGAGTAAGCATTTTCTCTTTTATTTCACTATCAGTAGGTGCATTTTCATTTGCAATGCTCAATAACTCTGGCTTTTCCATAGATTCTGCGTCATTGTCTTCTTCTAGTAAACATCGAACTTTGTCAGCAATAGAATCATCTGCTTTTAAAATTTTTGACAACCCACTTAGATTTGACAAATCTGCTGTATTGTAATCATCAGTAACAGATTCACTATAAGCACTTTCACAATTATCTTCAGCAAGTAAACTATTATTAGGATTATCCATCTGCGAATTTAAAAAGATTTGTTTGACATTAATTAACAAAGACATTATTTATATTGTATTTTTCCAACCTTACACACCTTGATGGCAGCATTGCACAAACTTATAAAAATACCATCAGGATAAAAGCAATCTATATTAGAATAACTACATAGATAAAATGAAACCATTAAATAGATGAAAGATTGGTCACAGTCATAAATATAGTCTTGACACATTGAGTTATTCATAACGAAAAGAGTGATCCAATATCTGGAAACTTACACCTATTCTTGTGTAAAATATAAAGATACCACCAACAAATATGAGTCATTAAACCTACAGTCACTTCAAATCTTAACACTAACCAATCCCCTACTGCATTCATTATAAATGCAACATATAATCTCCTTTTGACATATTAATACCAATCAAACGTGGATTAACAGATTAAATGCTGTAATAAATTGCAATAATATTTCAGATTCAGTGATTATCGATCAGGTGATAGGTAAAGTTAAATTTCCAATAATAAAAGGGGTATATTAGTAATGACTAGAAAAGTAATTAATGACAGGAAACTTTGGCAGTTAAATTGGTAAGGACATCACCTCACTGATTTAATGAGTGAGTGTATAATATCTCATTTAGACATGCCATTTAAAATAATCATATCCACATTTTTTGTTTATGATGATAAAAGGCAACTATTTTAAACAATGAGGACTTGTATTGGTTGGAATATAGTTTTTTGTCATCGAAAATACTTCAGTACAAGAGTGCATAATATTATAATTAAAAAAGTGCATCTACCATCCAATCCACAAAAATCCTATTTCTTCAGAAGTGATCAAACTTTTGAAATACTCTACGGTAATTTTTTTTAATTATAAAAATCATCAAAATTTTATTTGATTACATCAGTTGCAGATACTTACTGAGGGCACTAGAGCCCAGGGATGGGAAATTTAAAATATTTATTATTCCAGAATACTTTAATCGAATTCTAAATGATGAATGTTATTCTAATTTCATTTACAATGATCTAGTCAGAAAATAGTGGTTATTCTTGCACCACATTGCTAGATGTATTATGCATTGAATTTTGGCAGCAAACAGGCATCTCCTGTCTAAATGAAGTTTGAAAATTTGAGCAATCTCAATAATATTCAAATCAGGACTCACATTATACTTTGATAATGAACAGTAATGTGCAAAATAAATAAGAAAAACTTTGAACTAGCAGTTTTTATTATTATGATTAAAGCGTATATATTCAGATATCAGACAGACACATTTGTGAGAATTGATTAGACTGCCTCACCACAAAAGCTAACTTAAGTAAAAATTTACAACTGGCAAAGACACCACTGAGTAGATCAAAATAAGACCTACTGCAGGGATGGGTAAATATGGCCCGTCAAAGCATTTTGCACTGGGCCCTTGCCTTTGAAAAAGGTTGTGAAAATTATACCACTTACGGTACCGGTACCGTACCAAATTAAATTTATTTTTAAACTTTATTTAAAATGTGAATTGTTAGAGTAATATTCTCATGTTTTGTCATATCTTCAGTTTAACATTCCGGTTTGCCTAATTTGCTTTGTCAAATAAATTACAGATATTAAATGCGACTTCCTGCCTTTACGCCAACTGCAGAACTGGTTTATCATTTCTAATAATGGAATAAATTTCCACACCATTTATACTAATTTTTTATTAAAAGTTTCAGATATAATTTCCTAAATTGTATCGTGCTATACTTTAAATACAAATATAATTAATGCTTTGGCAGAAAAAAATAACATCTTATCAAGTGGAACCGGATAAAGCGATAATTTTTACCACAACCAACCGCCGTAGTACGAGAGTACGAGACTGCAAGCTTTTTTGAATGTTCGCTCCGGAAAATACGTTACCGAGTGGTGCTGGCAAGAGTCTAGTCCAGGGCTACTCAACTGGCGGACCGCGGTCCGAATCCGGACCTTTCGACCATTCAATATGGACCGTGTCTGAAGCATAAGCATCGTGTTAGAGTTTTCGTTAATGATTTTGATACTATTTACATACACGGCTAAACAGTTTGCTGCACTGGTACCGATGTGCGACATTTGTGTCCATATTTGTGAGCCAATCATTGCGCTTGTATTTAATTTAATAAAACATTTGTTTATTTGATAAAATAATTTTCTGAAATGTCCGGACCCCTGTAGTTCTGAAGTTTTGTAAACGGACCTTCGGTGGAAAAGTTGAGTAGCCCTGGTCTAGTCTACGAATTATCGTGCCATTTTCGATTGAATTATTCGATTCAATTTGGAAACTTTGGAAAAATGCTTATCAAATAATTTTGTATTTGGCTCTGTATGAAAAAAATACAAGTTGAGCATATGAAAAATCACATCTTTTAGTCATATAGCTTTAAAAATATCACATCCTTTCCCCTCGATAACTCTAACTGATTTGTGATTTTAAACATGACTGTTAAATAAGGCACATTTGCAAGCCAAAAGATATCTTGAAAATCAGCAGTCATCGAAAGTCTTTTCTGGGTTACAAGCATATCGTGTGATAGTATGTATCTTACAACATTCGGTACGGTACACATCCTATTAATGGGGTACACCCTTCAGACGTTTTGGTACACCCTGGGGCAGGGGTGGGCAACTTCTCTAGTCGGCGGGCCAGCTGTGGGAAAATGAGGTCCTCGGCGGGCCGGATCATTACAAAAAATACTTCGGTATCCAATCTTTGTTAAATGCTCGACACCCTCTGTCAATTTTACGTTTCTTGGGATATTCCATGGTTAATAAAACTTAATATAAAATCTAATTTCTAAAATCTATTTATATTTAGAATCTGAATATAACTGATAACAGTAGTAGGAGAATGTTTACAACGCTCTCTGCTTTGACCTTAGATTGTTTGTTTAACAAGTGTGCTAATGCAATTGTTTTTTCACTAAGGCAATTGTTTATTTCACCAGCTCGCACTGACAGTGCGCTGAGAGTAGAGCAATCGGTAACTTTCAAGAATGAAGCGTCGGACCACATTACAGAGTGTGTTTGGATACAGTCAGCGGGCCGGTCAAAATCCCGTCGCGGGCAGGCAGCGGCCCGCGGGCCGTATGTTGCCCACCGCTGCCCTGGGGTGTACTATGCACCCGGTTGGCGAGCACTGGACTAGACTCACTAGAGCAGTGTTTTTTAAGTGCCGACTTCCGTCGCGGAGTATTTCTAAATGTTACATACAGTTTTCGAGTAGATCGTGGCATTACCATTTCGTAACAGTAATACTAATTATGAAACAATGTAACAATTAGAATTATGCGTCGCGTCCCGTTAATTATTACATTAAATCAGTACGTCCCTGCATGTTGGAAACTGTGAGTAGGCTACAAGGCATATAACCTAGTATATATTTACGATATAACCAATTTGTTGAATTCGCGTATACAGTAGCAAACACGCCGGTTCATGTAGTTGTTAATCTTATGTCTAATGAGTTGTATTTCGAATATTGGCTAAACAGGGTTAATATACTCCAATTTAATATCCTAACTTTGTGTTTGAATATTTGAGTGCGGTAGACCTATTCACATCCTCGACAGAATCTAGACACGAGATCACATGTAATGTTTAAGTAGGGTGACCATATTTCCAAACCCCAAATGGAGGACACATCATTCGGTAGAACCATGTTTTACCTGTGCCTGATATATATACATTATATATCTACTAAATATCTAGGCTTAAATATGGAAGTGACAATAGACGATGTGACGACAATGCAATAATGCATTTTTGTCTTGTCAACATGCAACTGTAAGCTAATCTTGCCTTCATTCACCTTAGAAACGGAAGTATCGTATCCGCAAGTAATGAACTCCGCTTCGCTATTAGTTTCCATAGTCACTTTGAGTTTTATCTTTTCTGAGGCATGGATACTTCTGCTTTAATTCTTGTGTAAAATGGGTTTTTACTGGGTCTACTGACGAAATTTTTTGCCAAAATCGAAACTTCACTAAACTGCGAAATACAAATGAAATGACGTAAAAAATAATTGCAGAACAACACGATTTTTCATGATAAACGGCTATGCATAACAAGTATGCATTTAACCTAGGGCAGTGCTACTTAAGTTTTGCGGCCCTGACGAACCTCTCCACTATTGTGCAAGCTCCCGTCAAAGGTTTAAACTAGGATCTCAATCAGAACTTCACAAAGGGGAAGCTAATTTTCTGCAAGGTTATATAAAATGATCATTGTGGTGTAACCTTAGAATTAGATACTAACTAATACGATGTGTGTGTAAATGGTGATTGTTGTGTCACAATGGTGTCGCAGCAACCATCTTTTGTTGTATAGAAGTTGCATTTTGGAGATTCGAAAGATGATATGATACCTCAAAAATGTTGGTAGCTCGAGTCATTCGTGTTCAAAACTTCAAACTGCATCCGAATGCGGATTGAAACGTTTTTTTTCACGGATTTTTGCCGAAATTGACATAGCCTACATTATGAACTAGCGCAATTTTGATATGAGTTTTAATGAAATGTACTGAATTCAAGATGTAACGGTCATTGACATGTCCAGTAAAACATATATCTGCGCGAAGCTACACCCGGCTGAGCCATTTCACGAGTTGTTTAAACATATAAGATTGTATATCTTCGATGGACTATCGTAATTTTATTATTTTTTCCTAATTAGTAAGCTGGGTACTAGAAAGATTTTATTATATAAAACTATTGTAGAGAACCTTCGGCGAACCTCTGGAACAGCTCCTTCATGTTTCTACTTACTTTGGAATTTTCTTAGCACATCAAAAACTGTTGAATATATCATAAGAGAATTTTGAATATTTAATCCCGCGAAAAAGGAGGACATTTTGACTTTTTAGAGCGTCCTCGGAGGACACAAAATTTTCAACGAAAAAGGAGGACAAATCCTCCAAAAGGAGGACGTATGGTCACCCTAGTTTAAGTTCACTAGATTCAAATACCGTATTTGCTCGTTTAATAGCCCGGGCGCTTATTTTTTTAAACATACTCACTAACCGGGCCTTTATTCAAACCGGCCCTTATTCAAGCAGGGGCACTTGTTATTTTTAAATTAAAATTACACACAAAAATACCGGTAGATAAGATCGATCGTTACAATAATTAATACCGTATATTGTTATTTCCAGTTCTCAAGTATGATTTAAACAAGAATAATGAAAATTTTGACTTTTTCTACGCACCGCAGGTACAAATCCGCAAAAAAAACTTTTACACCGGGCGGGTATTCAAGCACCGGCCCTTATTTATTTTTATGTCCTGTTCACACGGGCGGCTATTCAAACGGGCCCTTAATCAAGACTGGGCGTTAAAACGAGCATTTACGGTATACCAAAAGTAATTGGATAAACATTTAATACTCTTTGTATAGAGTTCGTTCGCTGTTGGTCGAAAGTGGCTGAATTTTCGAAATTGTTCGATGGCCTGTCCATAAAGTTAGACGCAAACCTTCACAGCCTCTGGATTTTGTCTTTGGCTACACAATGGTTTTCATTCAAGAATGATAAATCAAAATCCTCATACCATCAGTTGTAGCGTGGTTGCGCAGTATCCACAATAAACTTGTTATGTCGGTCATTTATTTATCATAAACGTGAGACGTTTTCGATAAACATTCGGCGTCTGTGACGTCATATTTAAATGGCCAACAGCTGACAAAGCCGCAGGGCGTAGTAAACATTACCACTCGCCGCGCGTATTTGTTAATGATTACGTTGTGCAAGTTAACGGAATTACGTTCACATATTCAAATTTCATTGGATATTTTGTATGAGATATGTATTTTGTAGTACATATTTTATTTTTTTTAAAATTAGACATTTTAAAATAAAAAGTAAATGATATCATTTTAATCGAACTTGAGGTAATTTGTTTGTTATCGTGTCAGCTTTTCATTAATATTGTGACACGACGAGTAAAAGTGGTATCTGTGACGCTATTATTGATAAGTTGGTAGACTTTAAATATGCGAATCGTTCGTGTAGTGCGGCATGCCTGAAAACTGATATGGAGACGTGGGACATAACAGAGAGTCTTCCCTTCAATCTATCTGAAGATATATTTTTATTACTGGACATTCCGAGTTTGTGTTCTGCCTCTGAGGTAAGTTTTTGGTATGAAATCATTCGACTTCAAATTTTTGTACTAAATTAATCACTTTAAATTGCAAAAGATATGCGTACAGAGTATAGTATCACTTTCTTATCAATGTTTTTTTCCTGTCATTTCATAATTTCTGATTGGTACTCGAAAAACTATAAGGAATAATTCAGATGGATTTCAAAGCTTCCTCATTTTTAAGAGGACCATTTCTATCAATATTTGAATCTCAGTTTTGGTATTTCTATTTTAAGTAGTTAAGTTCTAAAGCGCTTTTTTGTTATAGTGATAAACAAAGTGAATGTGTATAATTATTTGCGTCCGGCATTTTTTTACAAGATTTAAAAATAGTTTTTTTTGTACATTTGAGACATTTCTTTATCTGGTCGTTTAGGATTATTGTATGAAAGTAAAAGTGAACAAATTGACTATTTATATGTCAGGTTTCTACACAATGGAATCATTGCATCAATGAGTCTGATTATGTTTGGAAGAGAAAATTTTTAAGTCTTAACTCGTGTTTATCTGGCAGTAAAAAAGTAGAAACGTTACATTGGAAGGTGAATATAAATTTTGAATCTGCATTCTCTAATATTGTCTCAAAAGCATTGTTTGAATTGAATTAATCTTTATATTTTTGCTATTCCACTCAATGACCATATGTTTCACATTCTGGGAATCAATTAAATTGATAACTAATCCCGATTGATTATTAACGCATGACTAGTTTTATTTGAAAGAACAATTTTTATATGCTAGATGACTTAATGTTTAATTTAAACTATGAAATCAAACATTTGGTGCTTGCTAATTTTTAAAACATACTGCTACTGCTGTCAAAGTATAAGTAGACGAATTACTTTTTGTCAAACTGGGCAACATGGAATAATAGAGATAGCTGTAGCGTTTCCCGGCTTATGCGTGGATGAAACATTTAAATTAGCTGAAATTGCTGTAACAGGGTTACTTGAAATTCACAAAAGTAAATATTATGTCATGAAAGAATTTGATCACAGTCTTTCTTGGGTACTCGAAAAACTATTTCCTAACCCATCTTTCATAAAAACTGCTAGCCGGTTCATAGTGCCAAATGGTGAAAAAAAATTTCAAATTGATGTTGGCTTTTTGTCCAGATATCAAAGCATATAATTGTACATTGACAAACATCTAAATATCAGTAATAAGGAGTAAATGCATTACCATCCACTAAGTTTAGCAAATATTTCAAACTACTTTACTCTCTATACTATACTTTGAAATGATCCAATGTACGGTATATATTAATGCTCACTTTTTAGGAAATGGCAATCCGAGAATATTACATACAACAATACAAGTCTGCATGGCTTCGAGGTCAATTTAGTTTGATAAACTGCTATAAAGACCTCAGAAAATGTACTGAATACATTCAAGTACAAAAATTGACTACGAATGATTGGGGAGAAATATTTCAACGAGAGCTGGATCGTTAAATCAACTACAAAGCACATACCCAGTCAACGCGCAATTTTCCGCCAATAAAAGCTGTGGTCTGATATGAACAAATTGTTAGTTGATTCTCTCACAAAATTTTTTTAAAAGACTGCTCTGCCCACGTTAGCAAATTTTCGTAAAAGGATGTTTGACATTGCGTTGAAAAAACATAGTACAGAGCCCAGTGCATATCTACTCGTCTGTATTTGTTATATTATTGTATATTTATTCTATTTTCCGAACTTGCACTTATAAACAAATGTCTTTATCTTAATACTTTTGGATATACAATAATTGTTTTATAGAACTCTGCTCTCTGTTGCATACTGGGTAGATAGCTAGTCAAATTTCATCGGAGAGCGCAATTTTAAAATCATTATTTTATCATCTTAGTTCATTTTTGTCAAGAAATTTTATCAAAAAAATCACTTTATGTTTTGTTCTTATGTGTACTATATGATTATAAATATATATGTATGGGGAATATTTGTGTGCTTCACTGAGTTCGTGGCAGGCTGAGATCTTAATATAAATCTATTAATATATATCAAAGAAATATAGGGGTTTTAAAATTTGGAGTTGGCAAAATTTAGAATATAGAGGCAGCAAGCATTGGGAGGCGTATATTAGTATTGGGTTGTGACAAGTTTGGCTATTCTGGTCCAGAGTGTTGTCCTTTGTTGTAATAACCATCAAATTTTCCACACAGGACTTGAAAAATTTTTTCCTTATGCAAAGTGTATTAGAATATTCTAACACTGTCTTACCCATTGTCATCCTGTAACACAAAAATCAAGCAATGTCCGAAAAGTACTCTTGTTAAGTTTTTTGTAGGTGACACTTGTTACTTATTAATTTTACTTACACTAACCGATTGCATCTACAACATTCTCACAGGAGTTGAGGATTATTGGAGCACAGTGCCCAGCATGAATATACATGTTGGCAAATGGCAATCGTGCGTTGTTTCCATGAAAGGTTGACTTGATATTTGATGCTATAAGACAGGGGTGTGCAACCTCTAATACAAAAGGGCCATAACCACAAATCACTGGGCGAGACCGTGGGCCACACGTTTATTTAACATAGGCTTTCTATTAGTAGCAGGCAAAAAAATTTTGGTTATTAATCTTATGACATGTGTTGTTCGCCTCACACAAAACAGCTGTTAGAGCACTGTAACGTCACAAGCATAGATAATAAATTGAACTCAGGTATAGGTTTTGCAATGCAAACGGAACTAAATTGAAAACTCTTTACTCGGGTCACACATCATTCAAATATGGCACTTCTCAGCAGGCTGCACAATTTTTCCTTGTTGGCCACAATTGGCTCGCGGGCCGCAGGTAGCCACCCCAGCTATAAGATTAGCACGGTGATGTCAATTTTAGCTTTTATAAAAAGTTTTCCTCCAGTGACTTAAGATTTATACTGATCATATATATCTACCCCAGACACTTATCAGGCTTTTCTGAATTTTTTTTATTTTTTATAAAAACAGTGTAGTCAAAACAATGAAAAAACAATAATATATTTATGATAAACAAACGATTCAAACAACGCATAAATAATTTCAATTTAACTTCAGTGTTTGAGTAGAAGTTCTAGAGGTGTTACTCTTCGTGTTTAAAACTCCATGAACTGCAATGAAAAACAAGGTATAAACCAAGGCTCTTCGAAAGGTGGGTCGCAAAAGGGCTCAATGGGGGCCGCGGTAAAAAAAATATCGACCAATTTGAAGATTGGGAATCAGTACTGAGACCCACTAGTATAGTGAATGAGTTTTGACATATAATGGGTAATTAATAGTCGTACTACGCATATCAACATGAATGTATTTAGTTAGGAAAAAGCTGAATTAGAATTTAGAAAACACATCATGAATGCCAGAGGGCTTGGCATATTTATCAAAAATTATTCTTAACTACAATTTCAAACTTATGACCATGTGTCCTCCAAACTCTTCCAGTATGCAACCATGCTTATCAATTTAGTATCACAGCAAATTCGTATGTCTTCACTTACAAATTAAACTTGAAATCTAGTGAATCACGATCTCATGACTTTAATACACAGTGACTGTGTTTATTCAAGCTAAGTGTAAAATTCTTTAACATCAGCACATGTAAATATATCCATTATTATAATTACCTCTTAGAGAACTTCTTTTCACACCATGTTCTTCAAGGTGGAGACTTTGAGCCAACAAGGAAGCTGTAGAAAAATTTGCTCATATATAAATAAACAATTACCATAGGAATTTTTAAGTTATATCTGTGTTCAATGTGTATCACATCAAAAGTTTTGAGACATAGCAAACTTGAAGACAAATTTGCTATTTTGTTACAGTGGTCGAGCCATCTTGAGAAAACCTAGAAAGCCCAAACTGTGTCTAGGCATGTCCAATGACCACATCGCTTGCTGTTTGCATCATAAAGTTAAACTATCTATACTCCCGTAATATGTGTACCAGGTTAGTGTTAGGCCATAATTTTATTCCGATTTTCCTTATTTTAGTTCTATTACGAGTTCAGGGACTGTCTGTGTTGGCCTGGCCATATACCCCCTGCCTATAAGTTTCAGTCCCTTCACAAAACTTCATGTAAAATGGGTGAACAAAATTAGTTACCTCCATATTGGTACACATACTTTTGGAGCGCCAAACTATCTACTGGGCATTGTATGAAGTGTAACCATGGTTTTCTGTGATACCGAATAATTTGAAAAAGCATTGTTTTGATTGATTTTTCAAAGCACCCATCAGATGTTAGATTAGGTTTATTTTATTTCTGACCATCAGATGAATTTTAAACGAAAATATTCCATATCCCTCCCGAAATTAGATATTTACTACATAGTTTATTACCAATTTTAATGTATTCAATTACTTGATTCGTTCTTGACATCTTTATACTCACATTTATGTCCAGTGCCACCAGGTAGGCCAGCAGTTTGTATTCCACCAATAGTTAATCTTCTGTTCAATATTTCACGGAATTGGGGTGGTGGTTCAGCAAAATCTTCTTCACTGTCACCTGTCACAATTTTCAATGAATTGGTTACTACAATATTGACTGTTAGAAATCGAAACTTTTGATAAGGATGAATTTTATCAACATGATTTGACTGAATGAATAAAAAATAATTTTACAATTGTGAATGTAGGTACTTCATTTGGATGGCAATTAAAGACAGTATATCAGGACCATCAAGGTATACATCTGAAACAAATACGTGGCTAACAAACCCCATACTTGACATGGAGTGGTAAATGGACGTGAGGCTGTGGAACGCCAGTGGTTGTAGCGTTAGGCCATACTGTGAAGGCGTCGTACGGTACAGTAAAATACCGAGTTCTAATCCCAGTAACCAGATGTGGCTCTGGAATGCCTTCATTTTGTGGACACAGTGGTTGAAGCATTACGCCCAACTCTGACGATGTCATAAGTTAAAATATTGAGTTTTAATCCCATGCCCACCACTTCACACAGTGTGTAATTGGGCATAGCTTCGTATATATAACAGTAGCTGCTCGAGCAGAGTCTTGTTTGGAGCAAATACATATGATGTATAAAATCAAAATGGAAACTTTGAACACATCATAACTCGTCCACAAATCGAATTACCATACCCTATTATAAATTGAAATATAGAGAAATCGTTATATAGGTTATGCTCAGGTGTCTTACTTTCATAAAAATCTTCTTTTCCCAATAACTTTCTGAAGAACTGATGTCCACCTCCAAAGTTCCAAACATAATATAATATAGCCAGGATGAATAACACTGACAACATCACCTAAATATAATGAATTTAACAACTTCAAATTTAGAAACCACGGTATGCTTCATTCGGAATGCTACAATCCAGGCGGCAAGACATATTTAATAAGAGGTTACTGTTCAAGTACGCCACGGTTCTAACATCTATTTCAACAGATTGGGTCCATTTGTACAGATGCAAGTTACTGGATTTTTTACGACTACATGTCATGCAGCGATCAAACTAAACAATATATTATCCGCACAAATATCCCAGTTGGAAGTATCAAGCTGTGTGTGGTGGTGTGCGAAATATAACATTTTATATATGAATATATGATATTGTAATTAATAAATAGACATACAATACTCAAAAATTTTTCTAGATTGCAACTTAAAAATTGCTTACCAACATAAGCATTAGATGAACTCTAGGACTGAGTTCGATTCCAATTAAATGAATCATGAATCTCATTGTGTAATCACAATTGGTTGATGAATCTACTCCTTTATTGGAAACTTCAATTTGAATATAAAATTCTAAATAAATGCAAAAATGAAGATGCAATAGGAAATCAAAGTAATATCGTTAACATGATTAATTTCAATGACAGTGGTTCCCAAAGGGTGTGCCGTGACGCACTAGCGATTTGCATGATTTGAGTGTTTTCAGTGTTTCAAAGCGAAATCAGGCAGAGATGAAGAAGAGTTGATAATGCTTTGATATTGGCATGAATTACACGTTAACGATTCAAAAATTGATTTGAAAAAAGCAATTATTTTTTTGCTAGTTGTAGCGCTGTGAGTTTTTCCCCTGTTAATGTGGCGGCGCGCAAACAAAACTTTTTGGAACCGCTTTTCTATGGAATACTATTGCATGAAATAAAAAAAAATGCATGAAATTTCTTGAGCACCCATATATAACAACCATTCAATGTGGAAATATTAGTAAAGTATATGGTAATTTGAAAATTTAAACACCATATTGAGCAATTCAAAAGCGATAACAGATTCACTTTGAATCATTCGATATATCCTTAAACCTGTTTTCCTATGACAATGAGCGTAATATTCATTTCGATTAATGTTGTAAACGCTTTCAAATGATTTCCTGGCCATTCAAAAATATATCCATTCACAAATAAAAATCATAGATATGGTATATGTTTTATGTTGAAGATTCATTTTGAACCTTCTAAAATCATTCATGTTGGAACATGGTGGGGACTAATATGATGATTTATGTATTACCAATATATTTTCTCTACTAATTTTCCATTCACCTCCAGGATTGTATGTTCCAAGTGGTATGTTTCCACATGGAGAATCAAGTCGACATTCAAATACAATACTAGCAGGATCTTTAGCATCAAATATCAATCTGCCAGTTTTCTCATCTTTCATTCCTTCACTTGAACCCTCAAGCAGAACACTCCATATCAGGCTCAGAAGACTTTTACTATAAAACCAATAAAGTTATGTTTATATTATCAATGAAAAATAGACAATTGCAATCATATAATGGGAAAAAGGAAAACTAGAACTCAGTAAGCAGGTATTTGGGTGGTTCGCATTGGATAGGATTTACATATTTATCTCAGGGGAGAGAAAAGCTGATAAAATGACTCAATCATATGGCGAACCACGTCCTCTCGTCTGGTTACCAGTCCATTTCGGGTATGGGATTAGTTAGCCAGTTATTTGTTTTCAAATTCATGGACCTAGCGGTGGGTGGTCAGGCTAAGCATTAGGAACATGCTTGCCACCCCAGCTCTTATCACCCTGCACATGTTTGCCGGTTCGAATCCTGCAAGGTATAATTATGTGCGAGGGGATTGCTGGTATTTCATTAAGCGCTGATCGGGTAACAGCTTCCTCCATCCATCGAGTCCATGCATCTGAAGCAAACAACTAACCAGACAAGATGCTGTATTTTAACATATGATTAAGTCGCCTTATTGACTTGACTCTCCACTCCTTGGTATCCTTATGATGATCTCACCCTATCTCATGTGAACCCGACCGTAGCCATATTCCTAAATCCAACCAATCCTGATAAACTCTAGACATGGTAATAGTGACAAAAAGAGTTAAACAGTGGAACATGGTTAGGCTGCAATGTGGTTATAAACGGCTAAAATATATTCGATCCCGGCTTTATAATTATGAACTATCAATTTTATTTTGTAACTTCTTCGAATAGTCTAACTATAAATCACGATTAATATTTATGATGGTATAAGTAAGAGAATATCAACATGGCTATGAGTAACTGCATATCCAAGGTATATTTTTGCAGAAAATACAAAAGTGATTATTTTATGAACGAACAAATATTCACTTACCTATCTCCTGGCCTGTAATTATATGACAAAATCTCTTCTTCATTATATTCTCTAACATTTTGAAGATATCCTATACCTCCACCTACTATTTGTAAAGTATAATTTCCATCGAAAATTGACCGCTCCCCAGTAACAAGGTCTTCAACATAGAACGCTGCAGCAAACTCTGAAAATATTATAGTTAATTAGGAATGAAAAAAATGAATTGTTCATCATCCCTGCAGAATTTGAACCTGCGGCCTCCCTCCCAAAAAATATAGTGTGATGTCCTAATTTCTACTCGCCATTTACCCATGTTGAGCTAAACCAGTGTTTCTTAAACTTTCATGATCCGTGGCCCCCTCTCAAATGTTCTCAACTTCTATGGCCCCTCGTTTTTCTATATTTTTGCTCCTAATGCGTTTCCATAAATAATTTCATGTTCCACATTTAATAACAAAAAGCCAGTAAACAGAAATAAAAATAAATGCATTTCAGTCAAAGTATTGAAAAATCACAGTCAATTTACTTTAAATTAACGTCGTCATTAAAAATGGCACTTAGCAAAAAACTTAACTAGTGGCCCTCTGAGGGCCCACTTTAAGAAACCCAGAGCTAACTTAACTTGCTGGATCTGACAACTATTGGTACATACTGTTTTCATGTTGAAAATTCTTCAAAACTACAAATTGTAATTACCAGAGGTTGTGAAGCATGGAACATCATCTTCCACATCATACAAGCATTCAAAATTGTCAGTCCTTCCTCGATTGAATAAAATTTCTAATGAGCGTTGGGAGTCAAACATCAATCGACGAGCAGGGGGGCATCCAACTTTGACCAACAAATTTTGTTCTAAATATCAGGAAGAATTTACTGAATTGTGCAAAAATATATATCCCATATTGCATAGAATTTATAAATACTATGCACTCAATATCTGTAAATATCTCCTAATAGAGATTTTATTTAGTAAAAGGGTAGCTTATACTCTAGCCATTATATACTGGTAGATTTCACAAATAATAAGATTTCCATTTTTTTTTCTGTGGAAAGTTGATGAGATGGTTTCATTGTGAGGTGAACCATAATCTGTTGTCCTGTTATCAGTCAATGTTAGGTATGTAAATAGTTAACCAGTAATTTATTTTCTGATGTATGAACTTAATGGTGGAAGAATCCGTAACCGACTGACAGTTTTGTGAATACCTGTTTAAGTAAAGAGTAATATATAATATTTAAATTAAAATAAACTCGTAAATTACCATATGAAGTTCCCTCAGGTACCGTTGTACAACAAGAATATTTTGAAGATGGTGATGCAGGATTCCATGGATAAAATGAAGCAGACACAGATGTCAAATGTTTACCAGGTGGCTTGTGGCTGGTTTGTTTTCCAGTTATGACAATCTTGAAACAAATTTTTGTAAAAATGTTTATTTGTTTTTCACAATAATAAGATATTCAGACAAGGTGCGTGTGGTGTTATAGTGCGGTGAATTAGGTAAGCCTTAAAGTCATAAAATTATGATTACATGAAGTTTTGAAAAGTATAGACATAGATTGATTATTGCAGAAGGTATCATTAGAAAAATTATTAATAAAATATAACCAACTAAAACACATAGAGTAGCAGATTTTCCAGGTACCTAATTTAAACTTATGTTACAGTAAAATGAAAAAATATATGAAGAATCTTATTCAAAGCACTCTCAAAACTCAAAGTACTCAGTTTAACATACCATGTAAAGAATACTAAAAGGTGTCTGAAGTCGTACAGGGGTTATGTCAATTGCATTATTGTTTGAGGTAACAATGACCAATTGCAAGTCATTAAATGCTATATAACTATCCGACAGTGCATGTTCAATTGTTATGTTGAACCTGAAAATTTAAACAAAAAATCTTTCATAGTAATACATATATATAAAAACCATGAAAAATTTGGCTATTCTGGATTTTTACTCAATACGATACCTATATTCTTGATTCTTGTCCAAGTATATTACTGTTGGAAGGCCACATGTTTCCGGATTCCAGGTTTCATATTTTCCGAGTGGTTGAGCAATTTCATGAAGATATTGACCTTCATGTATATACATCCTTAAAATATCAAGATCACTTCACTTTGATTTCTTGTTAATAACTAAGAACTGATGTGTAAAACATCTACAATAGGACTTTCATATTTACGGCATATTGGACGAGAGTAAAGCCAGTAAGACAGATTAATAACCATTTGGCGAACCATGTTTTTTTTAACTGGTTATCAGTCTGTGGCGGGTATGGTATTAGTTAACCCTGTATTTGTTTCAAATACATGGATTTGAGGCTGCAACATGCAGTACATGAAACACCTTGCGGCGATAAGGAATTAGGCATTCCTCTCTTACATAATTTTTCCCCACATGATTTAAACTTACGAATCCATGTAGGGTAATCACATGTGAGACGGCAAGCGATTCCTAATGCTTAACATGATGCGCCAACGGCCGGGCCTTTGTATTTGACCATGATATAATAACAATGAGAATTGAATTGTGATTATATCATGAATAAAAACATGTTGTTGAATATAAGATAAATGGATATCATAGCAGAGGTCTATTTTTCAAAGCCCTGAAAAAAATTTTGCATCAATGCATTAACAAGAAGAGGAAATAGATAAAAAAACATGTCGAATGATTAAAAAGATCTGAGCACATGTCAAGGCAATTACGGTAATCAAAACTGACATCCTACATGGGATCATTCGGTAGAAAGTCAGCTATTGCCAAAAACTTCAAATATTGTTTCAATGGTTCGTCGTGAGTATACCACCATCTATTGAGTTTGTAATTCTCTTTTTCACGAATGTAATCATTCTCATTCAACCACCATTGCGTTTGATTGATTTTCTAAATATGAATATGTTAGTGTGTATGACATGTATATGGGTATAAGGGCAAGTATATTGAATATATAGTAAGAAAATAAAATCGAACTATAATACTGCACATTTAAAAATTTACACAGCAAAGACAATAAATACATTAATTGGTATTAATAAGGACAAATTTGAACAAAAATTCATTTATTCATTAAATGAGGTCTATTTGGGATAGGATTTTCATGTCTATAATGAGGAAGAGAAAAGTCCATAAAAAGGCTTAGCGCCATATGGTGAACTATAGCATCTTGTTCGGTTACCAGCCCATGTTGAATATGGGACTATTCAACCAGTTATTTGTTTCATATGCATTGACTTGATGGTGGAAGGAGCCGCAACAGACCTGTGGTTTTAGCGAACCACCTTACAAAAGCGAGGAATCCAGCAATCCTCTCATACCTAATTATCCCCACAAGATTCGTATCTGCCAATTTCTCAGGGTAATCAAGAGGTGTGGCGGCAAGCGCATTTATAGCGCTCGGCACAATACAACGTAGAGATAGAGAAACATGGAGATATTTAATATACAAGAAAATTAACTTGATTCGGACTCCAAAACATCAGACCATAAAAAGTTAGTTGAAAAATTCCCTATTTTAAAACAAAATTGTAATGATTTTCATAATTGAAATCAGTGTATTCACTATAATCAAAATTCAAGTTTAAATCAATAACTATATTCAATTCCATGTAATAAAGTTCTGAGGACCCTGTTTCCTACTGTGAAGATATTTTTTTCAACCGACCATTTCAAATCTTATATACCTAACAATTTGAATATCTGTGACTCACCATAAACTATAATTTGGAATTGTATTTCAATTAGACTGTGCTCACCTGTCCAGAAAAAAATCTCTGTTTCACCGCAAAAAATGTAGCCAATGAAGTTTTGTCATAAAGATGGGGGAAGTATGGATTTTTTTGAGCCTAAAATAAAGCAACTTTTAATTTTAATAATTTTCAAAAAGACCATACAGTTTCAAAGCCAATCAAATAATTATTCAAATTAAAAGCAAATAGTTTGTCAGAATATTTCATAAGTTGGACGAGAAACAGTGATATGACTGTTGTGGACAAAACTACCTACCTACCTACCTTGGAGACATTATTTAAATTAAGTAGAAAAATTTAGAGATATCCAAATTTCAAAGCAGGTTGGATATAAGAATCTATTTAAAATTCATTCATTGTGAATTATTGGGTTAGAAATATTTTAAACTTTTCTCGATTGGAAAAATTTGGCAACTGATATTAAAATCTGAATACGAGTTCACATGAATGATATACTGATACCTTCGGCATAAGTTGTGGAGGGTAAATAGAGAAATGTCTTATGCGTGAATATCTGGTATGATTGATATGGAACACAGATGAATCAGCTTCACATTGAAGTGATAACCTTGGACAATTGTAGATTCTATCACATTCTAGGTTTGATTCTGAAAAGCACATCAAAAAAAGATACATTCAAATTATATCAACAAGTCATTTAATATAAAACGTTACTTTGGAAATATTACAGTCTGACCAAGCTTTTTTCATTGAAACACAGATAGGTCAAATTTAGTACCCAGTATAGTAACTTACTGCTTGAAAAGCAATTTCGAAAAATGTGAATGTAAACAATTCAAAAGAGTAGTACGATATACTTCACTCCAAAATTATAAATAATGTAATATGAATCATACACAAACCTTTTATTTTAATTTCCTCTCTTTTAAATGCATATTCATTTTCATTTGTAACATGGTAAGTCAGGCCATATAGCACATCAGATGAATCAAAATAAACTGCCAAGTGTGGTTTTTCTCCAGTACTAACTTGAGTTAATAAATGAGAGAAATGTTTTGCAAAAGGATGGGCAGAACCGACCCATATTTCACCTTTTGACGTCAAAATACTATAAACATTTCTTTCATTAGGGGAACTGAATTGAATAGCATGATCAGATTGACCTGAAGATTGAGCATCAAAGGAATGAACCCAACCAAGTATGCCGCTTCGAATGTCATAAACAAGTAGAACGTTGCCCCAAATGTACAATGTACCATCGGGTCTCGTCAAAGTACTGATTCCAGCAATTTCAATTGACTGACCTGAAATTTTATATCACATTGTCAAAAAATATGAAACATATAATGTTTGTTACTAATAAATTTTAATTTGTGCAAGTTTGATACTATCAAGTGTACCTATCAGACAGAAGAACTTTTAGTCCGGAAGTTTTTTCAAATAACTTCAGTTATGTGGAATCCACCACCTCATAGCTGTTTTCCTGATAGTTTTGATAGTTCCTGATAGTCTTATGTCGGTCACTATTTACTAACGTAAAATTCTATACTATAATTCTTTATAGTCTATGTAAATCTTGGCATTTCAGTGATCGTCTGTAACTTTGCTCAGAAATTAGCCCTTTTTGTTTCTGAGCGAGTGTGTGTGGCCTTTCTTTGCGCAAATTTCTTACATACATACAATGTATGGTGTGAATGGATAAATGGAGTATGATAAGAATAACAGCAGGTAGGCTCGATCACACACATTACCCAACATTTAAAAATTGATTTGACTTCCTCAGAAAGATAAATTTACTTAAACTCATAGCTAGTATATATATTTAAAATTTACCATAGTTTATTACATTGATTGATTACAGTAATATAAATTATTCATACTGGTTAATTAAATTCCATACACCAAAGAATATTTTGAAAAATTTTGACAATAAATGTACAGGAACGTAGTACATTACCAGAATATTCTTCAGTTTGAGATAGAAAAACAAGATTTTCTTTATCCTGAATTGTTGTTGGAAGCTTGTTCATTATTGTAAATACTTTACTCCATTGGCCATTTGTTACAGAACCTAGAAATTGAATATGTTAAATTTATCGCGTAATGGAGCATGTGACTGTGTAGTTAGTGCTTTACAAGAATTTTATCTTACATATAAGTGTGTTCAAATGTGATATATAACAAAATGGTATGGTGTTTTTAAAATATACAGCATAAAACTTATCAACGGATTCAGTGTTAACTGTAATTTATAGGTCATAGCATGCATAAAAAAAGAGCTGATTTTCACACCCAACCCTACCCCTCAAAGATTTTATATATCTTGCTTATATTATACAATGCTTATATTTACTGTATCCCGCTGAGGCGCCGAAATGTGTATATATATATAGATATAGGCTATAACAGGTATCAGAGTCAATATTGTAAATCCCGATGCAATGCGTTTTCTTAATAATGTTACATGACCTAACTACAGCCACAGAATGCTTGTCAAATAATTCCAACTTAAAGTATTATCGTATGTGTTATTCCCTGAAATTACTTTTTTATTCGGTACGTATCTTGGGTTACGATGTGAAATCTTTGATGTATACACCTATTATGATTAAAATGACTAATTTGTAATTATTGAATATTCAAAAGAATTCAGCCCTTGTCATAAGTTACCTTTATATTTTACAAGAGTTAATTTTGAAGTAGAGATGCTCTGCAACAAAACAAACAGTTCCAAATAGGAACTTGCATCAAATGAATGTCCAATTATACTGCAATCTGATTCAGACAAAGATGCCGACTGACAAACATTGACATCGGTTGAATCATTCAATTGCTTCATAAATAATGCTGCATTTGGTTTATCTATCAAATAACATGATAAAATATCATTAAGAATGAACTGTTGCATTTAGCGTACTACAAATTTCCAATTTTTGATTGCCATTTATTTAATAAACAAAGTACAATTAACAGAATTCTTTTGAGGTTAATTCAATAAGACTGGATTATGCAAATCATGTCACACTAAATAAACTCGGACAACTTTGAGCAAAGTCTAATTTAAAGCAGTGCAATTTGAACAGTAAGTAATATTTATTTTATATTAGAATTGGAAAAAAAAATCACTTGTGTCTGCAGAAGTAATAAAAAGTTGATTTTGACTAGAAACAACCATAATATCTTCAGAATATGATGGAGGTGAAACAGTAGCACGTTTCAGACAAACTATGTTGTCCTCGGCATCATCAAAAATAATTGAATCCCTGATAACTTTCCAATTATCACCCATATCCGCAACCAGAAGGAATGGCCCTGTAATAAATTGACTTGCAACCTAGGTGATATGACAAACTTCCATCCCATCAAGTATGATATGCCTAATTAATCCTATTTCTGAATTTGGGTGTAAGAAATACCATAGGTGTCCATAACATGCAAAATGTTCCTATTTACCAGACAGCATAAAACATATACTAAGATAAAAAAAATTCCAATGGAATGAATACCTGCCTTGCTCATATATAAAATTCTTTTTTGAAATGGAATGGCAAAATCATCATAATCAGAGCATTGAGTTTCCTGAGAATTCATCACCTGTTTTAAAGATCAGAAATATTATAGTAAAAATACAGATACCCAAAACGAAAATAAAATTTAAAACTGGAACCCACTTCTTCAGAATGGAGATGCTCAAACTCATCAAAGGAACTAAGAAGGATATTCTCAACATGACTGAACACCATAGAATATCCGTTTGAAGACATTTCAGGAACCCATTTATGTTTATGAGGTGGATAAACAGCTGATATTATATTTTTGTCATACTTATTGACAAAATCACCATGGAGTGGTGTTCTGTAAAGAAAAAATATCAGAAGTATTTACATGGAAAAAAAATATCCAAATCTGTAGTATTTCACATATATTTCATATTTACATGGAAATTTAAGTAACCTTTACCTTATTTCTAGTAGCATAATATCACCAACAACAAGATAAGGCAGTGAAAAGTAGATAGTTCTCAAATTTTCTGCCATAGGAATCGGATACATAATACATAACTTTAAGGTAGGTTCTTCATCAATTTTATAAATCATTCCTTGAATTTTTAATAAACTATTTCCACTGTCAACGTTGTTTTCAGTTGTAGATGGATAAAATATTTTTGCTGTTGGTACCGCTGTACTTGAAAGCAACCTCATCATAGCCATGTCCGATATCTTCCAAAAATAAATCATGTTTTGTATTAATACATGGTGACCCAGTGGTTAAGGTGTTTGACTCACCTACTCCCCTATGATAAAATCTCAGCTCCAAATTCAATGCCCAACCTTTCACCCAGGGTGTAATAAATGCCCAGGGTAGACAATGTCGAACAGGGAAAATTACGGTCATTTCAAACTATAGTAGTTCTTTACCTAGCATTGGCTGCTGGTGCAGAGCCTAGTTAGCGGCAAAAAACGTATATACCCAAGTCGCATGAAAAAATCAAAATAGTGTCTGGCTGGGATTGAGCATGGAGTATAGTGGCCACAAAAATGCGCAAAGGCGTCCTGTGAAGAATTTTACTCTCATTTTTTCAGTGGCATGATTTCCCCGCTTTTCTTAATATCTCTTATTCCTTTCACCTGCCGTTTCAAAATATATCTGCATAAGAATACAAACAATTTTTTTTTACCAATCTTTTACCAAAATGGCGGCGTCGCTGTCCCTATGGTAGTCAAAAATGCAAGAATTAGCAGTACACATGGGTAAAAAAAATTATACGCTGAAATTAATTGTCAAATATTAGAAAGATATTCATACGAATAATATTATTTGCTTTACACATATCATGCTGATTTTGAATGACGACAATCCTTCCGTTTTATCAAAAACAAATCATTTATTTGGGTGTCTTTTTTATCGCAAAAGTCATGTTAAACTGATATATTTTGCGCTAAAACCCGTGACTGTCGTTTGTGAATAAAATCGCAGCAATTGAGCACGTGACTGTGCAATTAGCGACTGACAGGAATTATATCATAAATTTACGTGTGTTCAAATACGAGTTATAACAAAAAGGTACGGTGTTTTCAAAATATGCATCATGAAACTTATTGGCGATTCAGTGTTAACTGTTATTCATAGGTCGTAGCATGCACAGAAAACCAGCTGATTTTCACTGTCAACTTTAGTCCTCTTTATATTTTGCTTTATAGTGCTTATATTTACTGTACCCCGTAAAGGCGTCAAAATGAGTATATTATAAAGGCTTCATTAGGTCAGTGAGATACACAATCTATATAGTCAATCCCGACGCATTGCGTTGCGTTTTCTCAACCATTTCGAAACTCGCTTCACTGTCTCAATAATCATAAAAACTATCTGCGGCGTCATGTTTTGAAGTGAAAAAAATTTGTTTTCTATTCGAATTTATTATTATTTTTATCTTTCGCTGTATTGAGTATAAAATATAATTTATTGATATAACTTACTTTTCCGTTTTCATCTGATATCTGCACCTTCGCAAGATGAGGAATCAATGTCTGATTTTCGCTTTCAGAATCCTGGCAGTACGTCATTGAAATAAACAAAAATCTGTTTTTGAGGGTTTTCACTTGTTTTTACACATTTACTGATAGTACATCAACTCGTTTAAAATCTAAATATGGCGGTTTGAACGTGGATTAATTTTGGCCGAAATTTATGATTTTCGTGTTTCAATATGTAGTAAATTATCTCGGAGTAAGACATAAGAACTCTTTTTTTCAGTTAACGCAAACTTCCTATCACAGTTTTCAACAGACAAAATATCTTGATCACCTGGTTCGAAAAATCTTGCGGGATGGACGCAATGTCTACTGCGCGCGACGCAGCATCAGGATGACTGTCGATTTGGAATTCCTCTTCAAGAGTAGTAACTTCCAATGTCCAATGGAAATTTAGTGCAGAAACACATCGAAGCCACACCCATATGCAAAGAACTATCATCCCCTGAAAATTATTTACATGAAGCAAAATGGTTATCTAGAATTGTCATTATGCTGAAAGCGAATATTCAAATTTGTATTGATCTTCATTAACGGTTTCTGTATGATTTAGTCGGAATTCACTGGTACATAGTTGTTTTCCTGATCCTATTCACTTGAACTGCTTAAAATCCCATGCCAATAATCACTAATTACTGGCGTTTAATGCGCCAGTTTATTTATGTAAAAGTTTAAATATCGCTTACTATTTTGATGGTCCCCGAGTTTTCTTTACTTACTACTGCAGTTTTGTTCACTTGAGCTTGCATTGAGCAAATTCGCTGAGTAATTGCAGAAAAAACAGGTTCATTTAAATATACAACAGTTCTCATTCATTCACTTTAGTGGCCTCCGTATGTTCATTTCCAGAATATCTGTGGTTTTTGGTATTGCTTATAGACGTTTACTGGTAAAGCTTACTTCAAGAACATGTTAATTGGAAATTACTAGTGCCGACCAAAAGCGACAATAAATTCAAATGACTTAGTGATCGCTTGCGACTGCTCTGATGGTGATCATTAAACTTTTATATGAGGAACCGTCTTTAAAAAATCTTATATAAAAGGTATTCAGGATAATGATAATAAGCCAAATCGTATTTTAAAATGAAAAAAAAATAAATTAAGGCATTTTGCAGTCTGGTATTAACTTATTATTCACTTTTTGTAAGCAAATCGGTGTTGTTTACTGATATTATTTACGATTATCACATTTGTCAAAATGGGCGCAAAATTTGGCAATAAGATAATATAAAAGTGCAATCAAAATCAGCATATCGTTTCAAATTGTATTCAACATTCCCACGTCGAAAGAAGCTTCCATATTTGGGCATACCTAATTGTGGCAAGGCTTATCATAAAATTATATAATTTCTAAGATATAGCTAATCTAATCTAGGGAAATCGTAGGGTGGTGAAGAGCGGCGTGATTAGTCTAGCAGTAATCATCAATAGATCTCCATGCTTCCCTAATTAATTGAGCTATATCAACTTGGACACGAATTTCACGAGTTCTGCGGTGGGATTCGCACTTACAAGTTGCATCCGAAGAAAGTCTTGGATGCTAATTAGCCACCAGCCAGTTTTAACGCATCGTATGATTAGTCTACCAAGTCTTTATCATATAACAGACTCTTGAGATGGTTTTATACATGTATGCAGATAGAGTTGTATAATCCTCACCGTTCGATTATCCGATTCCATATTAATCCTGTTGATCGATGATGTACTGGCGATCTTCGTACGTAGCTTGCTCCCCCAAAGGCTAAATTTTCTAAACCTCATTAGTGACGTGGCAAATCTCCCCCAAATCTTCATTGTGACGTACAATCTACTTGAATCTCACAGGAATGGCGTTTATGTGCTACAGTTACATCAGAGCCGTTATATAATGACTCTGGTTATTTTTTATTTTTCCGTAGGTTTCCCTTGACCTCAAAAAATGTAATATATATTATAGGTTATATATATTATCACCCGAGAAATCTTGTCAGACACGGCTAACAAACTTAATTGTATGTCACGTTCGCACTGTTTATTCAGAGAAGTTATCTATTGAACTCAAAATAATGTGTTATATAGGTCCAACGACATTGTTTTAAGTCATTGGTGGGCATTAAATGCACTGAACTCAGTGATTAAATCCTGTCAGTCACGACTGATCGCTTCCTTGTGGAGCGTGTTCGTTGTACTTTGATGGCGCAAGCGCGCAAGTCGACCAAACATAGTGTTAGCTGATAATCCGAGGATGTTGGTGTATAGGCAGCTAAGAGCTTTGGCGACCTTATTGTTCTATTGAGTCGAATTAACACGAAATAAAACTGATGTGCACTTATTGAACGACAAAATGAAGACCCGAGCTGTCGTACCGTGGGCTGGTATTGCTGTGTTATCAGATTATGATAGTTCTGTAGTTGGATGAGAGTAGGCATTCACCTTTTTCACATTTTTGACGGCGAGGTTTTAAGACAATATGGGTGTAATTTCGATCTTTTTACATTAAAATTTCACATTACATTTTTGTTGGGTGTTATTTGAGCAGTTAGGGCATTCATTTCACAATACAATTTTGTTAGGCGTTATTTAAGCAGTTATGGCGTTTACTTCACTAGCCCCCATTTGTAAATTTAACCACGGTACAGTACCGGTATCTCATGCTGTAAAATAGGCCAAGGTATAGTACCGTACCAAATGATTCAATTGACTTATAATTTTAATTCTGTTATTTGTAAAGCCTACTATTCTCTCAAGCTATAATACTACTTTAATGGTGAAAGTTTAACAGTATTGTAAAAGATGCCTCATACTAGTACTTATTTATATGATATACCGGTAGTAGTCCAAAACTCAAATAAATAGTGGTGGCGATAGGTAAAGCTTCTAGTATTATTGTTGATTGAGATATACAGATATGTTCTGTGATCAGTCGAGCTGAACATCAACACCTTTTTTTGGAATTAATGCTTTTTTTACATGTCTCAAAACAACACTTTATAACACTTACACTTTATTATATATTTTTTATTTAGGGGTGCTTGTTATATTTTGAACAATTTTACTCTTAGCCAGCTATAAACACAGAAGTAGTTGCGGGTTGGAATTATGAGATAAACTCATAAATACTATGTATCAACTACTTCCACCATGATATTAATTGATATAAAATCGAGAGGTCATCTTATTGCTTATCCTTTCTTCTGGAATGAATATAAATATCCTATTTCAACTGTAGCTGTATGGAAGTTGATTATCTAAACAAAAGAGGATAATGATTTTTAGCATATCGGCCATATGTATCCAAGTTCAGACATAATAATACAGATCATAAAGAATAACGCCAAAAATGTCGAGGTAATTTGCAACTTATTCTAGAGAGAACGTGACTTTTGTGCAAAGCATCCTAAATTATTGAAACTTTTGAGTACAGTCATAAACAGAGAGAAGTTTGTGTGTTACATAAGTTTTCTTAGTTTTATTCATATATTAGGTATTTACATATTTTAAGTAATTAACAAATTTATGGTACTATTTTTATGTCACCCTTCATCATATGTAAATAGAGTAATTGGTCATCCTCTTTATGGAATCAATATATTTTTTTGAAACAATTAGCCTACAGGAGTGGTGACTCCTATGGGCCGGGGCCACGGCCCATCTAATTGGGCCACATGGGCCGTGGCCCATAGCTTGATGGGCCGTGGCCCCATCAGGAAAAATTCAATTATCTTAACAAAATTTTCAATTTTTACCAAATTGTCAATATTCGAACCGAAAAAATATACTCCTGTAGTATGTGTGCCAGGTTAGGTTTAGGACAAAAAAAATTCAGATTTTTTACATTATAGTTCTATTATGAGTTCGGGGACTGTCTGTGTTAGCCAAGTGAATAGTTTCTTTACACAACTAGATGGGCCGAGGCCCATAGCCTTATGGGACGAGGCCCAATTCGATGGGCCGTGGCCCCGGCCCATGGGCCGCAGAGGAGTCACCACTCCCACTCCAATTAGCACTCCCTTGCTAAGGTAAATAGACTATTCAAACCTTTTCAACTTTCGACGAGTATAAAGTAGATCATCACTAAAAGATATCTGAACAATTACTGGTTCACAGGAAAAGATGTAGATTGTAGATTTTTCTAGATTTAACATCATTTGATTAATGGCCGTCGCAATGAATGTCTCATACCAGTGGTTCTCAAACTTCTATGCATTGTTGCCCCTTACAGCACTCTCTGCATTATCTGCAAACCCAATTAAACAAGTGGACTAATCCTAGATCCTGTCATTGTTAATGAGACTGACAAGCTCGGGATCATCAACGAGTTTCAAATATTTGGAGATGTTTTAGTCAGGTACAATCTTGATGGAATGGTTTTTGTTTGTTTTAATAGCATCATGGCAAAAATCCTTTTTCTACCAAATAAGATGCTGGAGATGAAATAGGCATGGTTTTATTTTGTCAAAAGTTAGCGGGTGTTTGCCAGGTGAAAATATATCTTGTTTATCTTTTGTAAATTTAACTTTTCAAGAATGCACTATCACCTTATAATATCACTTTCGCTCCCATGGATTGTTTCCAATGTTTTGCGGTATGTATGTTGTGTATGTAATAAAACAAATATACCGGTGCAAGCTAAATTTGGATTGACATTGGTATATTAAAACAACACACTGCATAACTTTGCTTTCTTTAGGCTATATTTAGTCTGTTCACACTCATTAATCACTGGTATTATTTGTTTGGTACATAATTATGTTTCATATCATTGTTAGTCTTAGGTCATAATGATATAAAAACTAATGTCTTGCTTGGACATTAAACATTCCTCAAAATTACAGAACTAAGAAATTATAAGTCTTTATTGGCACTATGATTTCATATTATGTAACTCCAATTAATAGTCGATAGTATTTGTGTTATATAATCCTTAGTGGCGTCTTGAGATTATCAGGCCCAATTTTTCAGAATTCCAAGCAGATATATGCCTTCTTTTACAACTGAGAAGTCAGCAGAAATTTTTTTTTTTAATCATGCCAAGTTTCGTGTTAGTCTTTGCTTTTATAATTTTTGAATTTGCCTTCACTATTGCTAGAGAAAAACTATTCCCATTCTGTAGTCTAGTCTAGTGCATTCAGATTAGGTAACAATGTGTTCCATTTGTCACGGCATGTTTGCATTTCTACAGAAGAAATTCCACACGTGGGAATCGGCTTCTGTGCATCAGTATCGTTTGTTCAACGTGTGGCGGATTATCGCATTTAGCAGACGGCGACCAATTAAACGCGAGATACCGTGATACTGTTATCTCGACTTTTACCGACTTTATCTTTGTGGGACTCGGCATTACCCATTGTTCAAACAACCTACAAAATTTTGGCAATCCACAATTGAAGTTTAAAACTATGATTCTACGATTAGAGATGATAGTGGACTCTGTGATGGCGTAGGCATCCGTGACATTTCTTGACTTTCATGAAAATAATAACCGAAGCGCGCCTTCCGCTACTTAGTCAGCGACGTCTTGTTGTTTTGCGATACGTTTTATTTATTCTTTATGATCGTAGCTTTCCTGGTATTAATTCTTCACTATACATGTTAAACTCATTATGTATATCGGGCGGTGTTTTCGGCGTAGTTTTACTGATATTATTTAGAAATTCACTATTATTGTGATCCGTATTTGTGCATACATTATAAAATATTTGAACTTTACAACAAAGCCAGGGTGCAGGGCTGCGTATAACGCTCGTTGGAATCCTTTAAAAATTGAACAAATAAAGGAAACATAATTTTATACGTAAAAACAATTTTCATGCCCAGGGAGGGAGGAATACAGAATTTCAAAATAGAAAAATAGAGTAATATGCCGAAACAAGTTGGGAACATTGGCCTGGTGTTTCGGTATATAGGTATATATATACTGCCAGTGCCGAGAGTAGTGAGTAACGTTGCGTCTTATTATATTTATTTTACTTTAAAATAGTTTCAATGGCACGATGTGAGTAGGAGATGGCGAAGCCCGACCCCGTTATGACTTACGAGTTGAATCGAAAATTATTTTAAATTACGGCGAAATTGAGAATGGAATCGTTTTTCTTACATATAACCGCCTTTAGTACGGTAATAACTCGTTCGTGATTCGACCGGTGCTACGGCAAGTATCAGTCGGAACATGGAACATAATCGAGTTGCGTCACCTGTTACCAAGCCAACGAATCATGACGTCGCATTGAACAATATCAAGCAAAAATCGACGACAATAAATTCCATACATAGAAATACGTTTGTGGTAAGATTGAAACCCACACCAGAGAATTTGTTACTACCCAAAACGAATTTGTTACAACTTTTCAAAAATAGCGACGCAAATATGTTTCCGTTGTCAAGGCGTTGGGAATAGAAAAGATAGTCGTCAACAGAACTTTGATTAAAAATACGAAAAACAAGATGGCAGTTCCAGTCAGAAGGGATGTCAAGTCGGCAAATAATAACGCTACAAGAATATCTGTGAGAATACCTACCACAACAATAAATTTGACGACGTCCAAATCACCTCTATTTATCCGTGGACGCCCACAAAAGATCAAATAATGAAAAACAAGAGACTGATACAGAAAAGAAAGATGATGATATTAATAATATATAATACACTTTGCATTGCATTTAAAAAAAATGAACTAAAGGGTGATCGCGATGTTGATGCGTGTTTTATTATCAGCCTATGTTAATTGCATATATATAGACCCGCATTAGGCTAAAGGCACGTTCGGTTACTGTCATCAAATATTACATGAGCGTGACTTTATTAGATTGAACCCCTTGGGAATGGCGTTGTTTTCGAACGAAGACATAAAACGCCTGAAGCAGAAACGAGAAACAAGAGATATTTTTGAGCGAGATTTGAAACGCGTGCAATGAAGCAAGGAAGTGAGTAAAGGAAGTCTTAATCATCGTCTCCATGGCAACAAGAGTGAGATGCAAGCCGCGTATGTGCGTCGCGTCACACCTCGGGTCATTCGCAGTTACACTTTGTTTTAGCGAGTAGTGTGTCGCACTGTAGCGCTTGTTTCAAATCTGATTAATTGTTCTGATTGATCTTTAAGCGTTTTGTGTAGACCTACCTTTGGTGGATTGTAACTGGTATTTAGCAATTGTGATAAATTTTGGAGTAATTATTAAAATTAATTTTAATATGTATGTAATGTATTCGGCCGTTAATACTGAAAATATTCTTGCCCATCGAGCGCGTCATCGAGTCCATTCCTTTTATTTAGAACGTAATGTTATCGTCCTTTACATTATCGCTTTGATTTAAAATGGATTTGGGGACATCTGAGTTTTGCGATATACCGGTACTATTTTACTAATTGTAGTAAAGCCCGTGTTAACGTGAAGAAGCAAGTACGAGTGTAGGTCGTATATAGACTAATTTGTCAGATGTGAATAAATTTACTGTTACATATTCTACGAGGCTGTCGCATTCTGTTTCGTCTGTCTTTTCCGGGTAACGATATCCCGTGAGATTTCTAAACATCAATTTTCTAGTTCAGACGAAAGACATTTCGATTTGCTAGTCGTTGTTATCAACAGTCAGCTAATGACCTGTCGCCGTCATTCGCCGCTTGTTCCTTAGTTAATATGAGTTATACTATTTAGGTTCATTGTGCGTGTCCAAATTTTAGCGTTATTACAGTTGAGAGGCATAGCTTTTCATGTTCGAGTTCGTGATTTGATGTTAATATTCCGCCTAGCTACCGTTACTACGCAAGCGAGTTAACTTATAAATATATAAATGTGCTTTTTACTCTTATTGTAGGTTTAAATTGCCGATAATTGCTTTTGGCGAATCCGTGATACGTGTTTCTATTTGTTGCTGGGATATTAACAACGAATGTAAAATTGCGATTTCAATGTGATACGAAGACGATTAATCAAGAAACACATGGGCGATTGGAATCTTTAATTATATCATTGTTTTCAATGTTTAGGTGTTTTCTTTGCATTCGGCTGTCATCATTTGCGAACATGTTGTGATTAAATTCTTATCGTGCTTAAGATAGTAATATAATTATGATTCTTAATGAAATGTCGTCGCCATCGACCGGTGCTACGGCAAGTATCAGTCGGAACATGGAACATAATGGAGTTGCGTCACCTGTTACCAAGACAACAAATCATGACGTCGCATTGAACAATATCGAGCGAAAATCGACGCCAATAAATAGAAATACGTTTGTGGTAAGATTGAAACCAGCACCAGAGAATGGAGACGGTAATCAAATTCCCAAAACGAATTTGTTACAACTTTTCAAAAATAGCGACGCAAACAATGTTTCCGTTGTCAAGGCCTTGGGAATAGGAAAGATAGTCGTCAACAGAACTTTGATTAAGAATACGAAAAACAAGATGGCAGTTCCAGTCAGAAGGGATGTCAAGTCGGCAAATAATAACACTACAAGAATATCTGTGAAAATACCTACCACAACAATAAAATTGACGACGTCCAAATCACCTCTATTTATCCGTGGACGCCCACAGAAAATCATAAAGAATGAAAAACAAGAGATTGATACAGAAAAGAAAGATGATGATATTGGAAAGAATCTTGCAAATTTTATGAATTTCAAACTCTCCAGCATTGTTCCATCTCCCATAAAGCAGGAATCAAATCATGATGGGAGTTTTCAATTTTCTCATGAAAATAAAAAAATCAATAACCCTTCAGATGATGATCTTACAAGCTTATCATGGCTTATCGAAAATGATAAAAGTTTGACAAAAACTATTCGAAGTTGTAATCCTGATGATGCTGGTATTAGTTTGAGTGGTGACGAATCAGGAGAAGACGATGATATTGGATATGCCGAGAATAAAGCTGTTTTCACAGCTAAATCAAAAGTAGATTGTAGTGGCCAGGTAAATAGTTTTGATTCACCTTTTATTAAACTATTGTATATATTATGCTGTGGAATTGGAATCTGAGTCTGGCGTGTTCGTAAGTGTTGGGCCAGGCTTATAGATTCCTTATTCCTTTTATACCTCACTTATATAGCCTACATTAAATTGACAAATGGTCCAATTCAAAATTCAAATTTTTGTCTCTGCTCATTATATGATTTATTTTAATATATTTGTCTTAATTAAGGGTGGATTCGCGACGAGGCAGTATGGACAACCTTACAGTCCAAATGGAAAACCTCCATATTCGTTCAGTTGTCTTATATTTATGGCCGTTGAAGATTCACCTGAAAAAAAGCTTCCAGTTAAAGTAAGTTTTATGTCTTTGACTTGAAAATACTATAAATACAGAGATACTGTAAAAAGGTCTTTATAATGTTAGTTAGTAGGTTATTATTTACTAAGTGAATGACTGATAATGTTCGAGAGAAATTATTTCAAATACAAAATGCATATTTGTAACTTTGTATTCCTTTGAATTCCTAAGTAACCATTAATGATGCTATTTGATCATGTTCAAAACTTTCTTCTCCTGGGAATTTTTCTGTTGCAAATTGTCATGCTTTATTAACATTGTGTCGTGAATTTAATTCAAAGCCATTTTCATTTTTTCAAATTCCTCATTAAAGTCATTCATCATCTTCATACATTTTCAGGATATTTATTCATGGGTTTGCAAGCATTTCCCATATTTTCGAACTGCACCTTCGGGTTGGAAGAATTCAATAAGACATAATTTATCTTTGAATAAATGTTTCAAGAAAGCAGAACAGACAGAAACGGTAAGAAATGTCCTAGTTTTAGTAATTTTCTTCCCGTGTATTTTTTATATCCCAAACTGATAAAGTAAAAAATAACTTAATTGTGTTCTCTCTCACTATATTATAGACAACAGTTTTATTTAAAAGACTCCTGGTATATTTACATTGATGCTAAGCCTCTATTTCGCCTACAGAAAATGAGACTCAACCCGCTATATTATGGAATTGATAATCCTACACTGAATTGTATTCCCTGTTTATTTATGATAGGAAATGATTTTAATTTTGTGTGTATTTGTGTAAATTTAATACTTTAAAGGAGTATTTATCATTTTTTTATTTCGTTTATTAACGGTATATATATATATATATTTACTTGCAGGAAATGCATTGCTTGTTTACTTGTTTGTAGAACATGCAAATATGCTTTTTCTTTCCTACAAAAGATAAATTTACGTGAGGATTAACCTGAACAGTTGATAATTATTATTTTAATGCCAGTCACACTATGTTTGTACAAACTGCGTCTCTGACAAAGTAAACACCATGCTTGCAAATTCTAGTTTTAACAATCAGAAAATACAGACTTGAGCACGTTTTGACTATCTACCTGAAGTGCTATGTCGCACATCAAGATAGTAATTGGTTAGAATAAGATAGATTTATGATGCAATTATTCTAACCCTAACCTGGTACACATACTACGGGAGTACCTGAATATGTAAGCCATAGTAGGTGAGAATAACTGCATCTCATGAGTCATGATAGATTAAAATGTTAAATGACCATGGCATGAAATATATTATCACTTAGCTCATAGAATTATTATTAATATTTCATCGCTACTGTCAGCAATCAGTAAATAGAAAATTGTTTGATTGATTTTGGAGTGTTATGAATTTGATTGTACATTACTTCTTATTTACTTGAATATTTTTACATCTACTTGCATATAATAGGATTTAGAGGCATAGAATCCTTTCCAACTAAAGGCTTGATCATACACAGGAATTTATGTTCGTTTTAGTCCACTGTAAATTGTCCTGCAATTATTATCAGTTTTCTTCTATTGTATAGAACAGCAATGATTTGCCGCATATTAAAACTCTACCCATATGTAGCAAATAATTTGAAATTGAATGATTTATTGCATTGTGTTGTTATTCAATATCATTTTCTATTATTTTTAGAACAACAATACACATGATGCAATAAAAGGATCTCTTTGGTGTATAGATCCAGCTTATCGACCAAACTTGATACAAGCTTTAAAGCGAACACCTTTCTATCCATATCTGTATCCAGGAGGAATGTGTCAGCGTCAGCCGTTATCATTGAATAACCTTGCCAGTTTACTTCCAGGGTATGTTTCCTTGCTTTGTATGACAGGGGTGTGCAACAGTTTTTGTCGGTGGACCATAGAACCAACTTCAGACATCTAGCTGGGCCACAAAAATTTAGTGTTTCCATGTACATCAACGAAACAATAAATTTTCACAATGCTAAATTAGGTCACAATATAATGTTGTAAGCAAGCACTATGAGAGCATGTAGCAGCAAAATACATTGGCGACCACCAGAGCGCCGTGGAAAAGCCAATAGAAGAGAATGCGGGTATAGCTTGGCCTTACATTAATGAAGGCACCGGGCAAAACGGCGAAAGATATAACGCAGCGACAAGAGCAAAAAAACGTTATGTATTTTTACCCGTGTGAGCGTATTTTTAAACATAAACTGTTAGATTAGGATTTTATGTGTATTGACAAGAGCCACACTAAATCGCTTGGTGGGCCATGTTGTGGGCCGCGAGTTGAGATTGTTTTTGTTGATGTTTCGCGGTGCTTACTCAGTTTGTTTTACAGAGTGAAGTCTGGACGAGTTCCTCTTTGGTCTCCAAGCATGACTCCATCGCAAACATCTTGGGCAGGTATGTGCATTGAAATTTTTTATATATAGATATATAAAAATAAAATGTTTTATCATGGTAGAATATAAGTGTAAAACAACGTAAAAACATGAACAATCAAGATATATTATTAAATAGAAAAAATAATGCATTAGTCTGGTATGTTCACAGGTGGATAAAGCATATTATGGTGAGGGGTTTGATAGACAAGTATCTCAACAAAATAATCCACTTTTCACATTCTGATTCCTATTGAATTTATTGAAAACACTTTGTAGCTTAGTTTCAAAGTTTTATATGAGTGTTACATACATCAGCAAATTTAGCTAACTTTTTGAATTATTGGTTTATATATAGGTCTATCTTGTTGAAGTAGTTTTTATTGTTTCTTACTTTAGAAGCATTTGATAGTGAGATTTAGATTATTAGCATCACTTCATCAAAGTAATTAATAATATTTATGGTAGTTTCCAATTTTTCTAAAATTTATAGCAGAAATGGCATAATGCTATTTAAAAGTAGATGTGAATTAATATATCATGTTTTAGAGTGTACTTGGAGATTATGTTGATTTATATCATATTTGTATTTTGTGTATTGTGCGTGATAGTAGTAGTAATTCCAGTTAAGTACTCCTTAAATCCACGGCTTTTGTACAATTCCCGCTCAAGTATGTTGACATTATTAAAAAGGATTGCGTTGAGATATCAGGATTAGGAATATAACATTATAAACAAAAATAGACTTAGCGCAAATTCTATGCGCATATTTTTGTCATTGTAACCTTGTAATCTACAACATAATTCTTAGATATATCGACTCTAAGCCAACATATTTGAAAATTTGACAACAATACAATCTTGTTACTTGCAACAAAGGCGCCCCACAGTACACACACGTTATCACGTGCTACTTTCGCGCCAAAAAACAACCACGTTGGGCGTCGTTACATCTGTCTTGTTTGTTCAATCAATTATTATCCTTTGCCTTCGTCAAGGACAATTGGTAATTTTTCATAGCAAAGTCGAGTGAAATAAATACTGTTACGTAAACCTGCATTTGTGTGTCCCAGAAAATTAGGTTATTAAGAAAATGGATCAAATGCGCCGAGTGCGATGTCGATTCTTGAAGGCGTATTCGGTATCTCATTTTTCGTATTATTATTATAAACTTCGCTGTGCTGTAATTATAAGCTCTTTTTGTGCTTGAATCACATTAGTAGGGAATATGGCATGTATATACATTCACTCGAAATTCAGCGCCACACTTAATTTTCTATTCGCGATGTCAAGCAGATGTCATTTTAATAAGATGAAGCTGTACACGATTGTATGTCAATATTTAATGGGTAAACATGAGCGCCATTTGTGACTTTCTCATTGGACTTTCCCGCGCGAATTTGTATTGTCCCTACACAAGCTTTCCATCTGTATCAACGGTAATGATTGTGTTAGATTACTCGGTACTGTATATTTAATACATTTACGGGCTATCACGAATTTATTATTACGCCTGCCAACAGCCGAAAATTCTGCAATATGTTGCAATGTTTTATAGAGTTAGGTACTTATATCAGCGCGCACGGAATTTCATTTTGCTGTCGATAATTTTAATAATAATTTTTTCTGGAATATAACTGCATTGTTTTTGTGGTAGATACGATCGTTGGTCACTTGAATCAAATTTTGAAAGTTGCCGTGTATTTAAAAGAAATATGTGCTAAAACTTACATGGGACACGTGTCGCCTTTCTGTTACTTTAGGCGTTTTACATCAAAACACCATTACTTTGTTCAAACAAAAGTCTTAAAATCACGAACCGTTACGACAACCAGTTATTAGTGTTGTCATGGCAACTTTTAAACTGGGTTTCGAATTTCTGTTCCCCTCGTTTCACTCGAATGAACGTCATGTTGCGAAACACACTGTGAAGGAATTTGATCAAATTTACTAAATAAACAGAGCCCATTCAGCAGATTTGAAAAAATTTCTGCTTTTATCAAAAATGATGTCTGGTTTTTGTGACTATGACATGGCTTTATGGGGATGTATTGCTACTCCCAAGTTACGTACAATTTTATTTTGAATGATTTGACAACACCTTATCATAAAAAGTTTATAAACTGCTCACATACCGCCGTATTTTATCACATTTGAAGCCCATGATACGTTTAAACTTTAAATAAAAGTGTACATTAATAACGAACGCCATATACGATAACCTAATGCAGTACACTTTTAAAAACAATGATTGTTGAGTTTCACAAAAGTCGCAAATTACGCTTTGAAATGTCTTAGGTGATTGTGTGTGAAACATAGCGCGATCTGTTTGCGCTGCACGTGTTACGCGCGACTTCGCTTCCATAGTAGATCATTATTTAAATAGTTCACCTGTGATCTAATACGCCGACGGGTCCATATTTTGTAACTGGAAAGTACCTGTGCATATAAGAATGCGATTCTTGATCGATGGCGAAATTTGAAATTCGTCGTGTCAAAATTAATATTGTTAAAAGATGTGTTGTGCGTAATCTGGTACGGTTCGCGTGCTGAAGAAATTTTGTTGTTTGTGATCGTAACTATTAATTATTGCGCAGAGTTATTCTTATACTTGTTTCACTTTGTTATTTGTTATACGTTTGTTAAACTAATAAATTTAGTTTGAAAAATTATAAAATGCCTATTAATAGAAATTAAAGAGTGAATCAGAAAATAATATGATATTATGCGACCAGGGCTTCGGAATCGTAGAAAATTTATAATTGACTCCCTCGGACTCCGGATTTGGAAAATTTGATTTCTGATTTCTACTCCGGGTTGTAAAAAATTTGGACTCCCGACTCCAAGAAAATCAAATTTTGATAGCGGGAATTTGGACGTAGGCAAACTTCGTAAATAGTCTTTTTAAGGACGCTTTGTAGTTTGTAAAATTAACGTTTTTTGAGTTTTAGTAGAAAGTTATGACTAATTTTATCACCATCGAATGTTTGTAATTCCGACTCGGTATGTGACTGAGTACCTTCACACAAAAAAATGCAATGCGTTAACTATTTCACTCCTTTAGCGCCTATTATATCGATATCGAAAACAAAAATATCTCGTTAATATCGAGGTGTGAATAAGACTATGTAGTGTTGCACCATGCAACAATAATATATGACCAAGCATAATACACACAACAAAGCGGAACAGAATTTCGTAAGGGAATACATGCCGGGATATCAAGCTAGGCGAATAATCATTTTTCATTGTATCATTTAGTTATTGAATATGTGTTAAAATGGCACAAAATTCATACTGATAATTCCCGTAGTCTTATTTCTCGCGTAACGATTTAATAATAATATTTATATCGATGCTTATAACGACATTTGCACTAGAGTCGCACTCCAACGCGCGAAACGGTCATCAGCGCGATCAGTTACCACGGACAACATCACACGCTAATAAACAGCCAGCTGCCACATGTCGTCAAAAGTGAAATATTCCTATATATATATATATGTATCTTTCATAATAAAATACTTAAAATTTGTTTGTATGTGTTAAATATAATGTCGTGTTTGTGCTTTATAGATCCAGACGTTGCATCGGCAGCTCTCAACTTAATGGGATTAAAAGGGACAGGTATGTATGGCGAAATCCATATTTTTTGATACTGGAATTAGATTTGTGATATCATACACATAATGTGAGATGCTGCCTTTATTTATGACAAAAATAAACATGGATATAGATTAAGGGCCGGAGAATCTAAGGATGTAATCTGGTAGACAGGCATAAATAATTAAACTAACATCCACAGTTAATTTTATGTAACATCTATTTGAGCCTGACTAGCTTTTTTGCTTAAATATGTTATTTAAATAAGGTTAGAAAATGACAATGGCTCATAAAATGAATTTTTTTTACATAGATACTATTGATCAACAATCACCTAATGTGAAGAGTACCATTCAGGAACTGACGGCAGAAATATGCAGTAGGAGCAGGTATGTTGATAATACTATGACGATCGATATAATAATAAAGAAATTAAGTAAATTCAATTATCAAAGTAAAAAATTGTTATGTGTTGCTAAAATTTTCTTCGTATTTTTGATCGAGTCACTTGCACTCACTCTGTCTGTAACTTATGTTTACTTTGTTTTATATAAATGTCCTTGTAAATTTCTAACTAAAGCTATCCATACTTCTACTTTATGGTTAATTTCAATTTGAATGTTCTGATTTGGGGCAATACCATAGTACAGGGTGGCGTTCATGAGGTCTTACAATTTTTTAAATTGTGAAGGGATTTAATTTGTCCACACCCAATATAGTTTGTTTGCTTCTACAGGTGTATTAAATGTTTTGAAAAATTTAAATAAACACTGATTAAAATAAAACATTGAAAACTAACTTCATACCAAAATTGTAATTGTAACAGGACTTTATGAACACCCTTTATACGCTCAGTTTTTTGAAAAGTTTAATATAGTTAAGTATTTTTTCATACCATATTAATTCATTGAACATATTCGATTTTTTTTAGAGATATAATTGGATCCATACCAATCGTAATAACCGATCCTGCTGATGATCATACCTACACAACAATATCACTCGCAAGACATCGTGAGGAAGAAACAGGTGATAGATGTACCTCACCAGACAGTGATAAGTCCGCACCAGATGCTGCATACGAGTTCGAAACTTGTGGAACGGATTTTGAAACAGAAGACGAGGAATCTGGCTTGTATGGCGAAGAGTGCGATCTAGGTGACAGCGGATTTGCAAGCTTACGTGGTGGAAAAAAAAGAAAAGTAAATGATACCTCATCGACAAAAAACAAACGGAAACGAAATTCAAAATCAACGGAACAAGAATCTAGAAGACAGTCTAGTAAAAGCAGGTCGAAACGAAGCTCCTCGAAGCAGGGTTTAAAAGTTCGTTTTCAAACAAAAAACAAATCTAATAAATCTGGAAATAGCAAGAAAAGCTCAAAATTTGATGATACAAACAGCGATGTTGACAGTGGAAAAGATTCACCGAAAGTGGAAATCAAATCAAGGAGTAGAACAAGAAAACGTTCTCTTTCTAAAGAAAGCACATCTGAAAAAAAGAATAGTAAAAAAGTTGTTCGAACGAGGACTACACATTCATCACCTTATGGAACAAGATCGTCAACACAGACAAGACACAGTAAAAGAATTGCTGCATCAGAACAAGGAAATGCGCTGGAGAAAGCATCTGCTAGAAAGAGAAGACAAGATAGTATTTCCATAAATTGGGAAGATGAAGAAGAAATTAAACTAGCTGCAGGATCTCTATTGCATTTAGCGGGAGTGAGATCCCCACAAAGTTCGTGTTTATCAAACACATGAAGTTGGAGAACTAATGAACGCAGAGATCCAAGTATAGGCTTAAGTCATTGCAATTCAGTGCTTCCGTCCTTCATCCCATCAAGACTCATCTCTAGTCAGTAGAATTTGTCTTAAGTAATTTCTTTGTAGTGCTGCCATCTTATCACACATATAAATCATTTTGAACAAATTTTTGTTGAAAAATTGTACAATTCATCGATTTTTAAACCAGTTAAATATCAAGCTGCTATTTTCCTCTTACATCAATTAGTAGTAAAATTCAATCATCATTTAACATCTTATTAGTACCTATGCAGGTTTATCTAAATCAGTCTTCCGTCATGATTTTTCTCTATCATTGAAAACCGTTGTATATTGTAGTCGAATCATAAAAAAGTGCAAGAATGTTGTATTGTAGAATACTGCCATTGCTATTAAAGTAACAATATTGTTGCTTTTTATTGTGTTAATCATGAATCAATATTTTAGAGCTAACATCTTGCCCAGGTTTTCATTCAATAGCTCTAATAATTAATAATGTATTTTGGGAATCATCACTCGTTTGTTCATGTTATCATCTTACAGGGACCGCAGTTTAGATCTATTTTATTATTTCAATATTTTAAATAATCAAGGGATTCTTCGATTATGAATTAATTTATAACAGGGGTATCAATCTTGTTTACGCCTTGGCAAGTTACAAAAGTAAAATTTACTCCTTTAACCGTGCAGACTGTCTATTCCAGTGTGTTGTAAGTGCACTATGCTACACTGTCTCTCTACAGCAGGAGCATGATACAACACCCAACTGCGCAATAGATTACTTCGCAATCTTCTATGTGGTCGACAGCCACATTTGGCCATGTACTTACTTGCTGGGAAAATTTATGGTAACAGCTAGGTAGGAGATGCTATACAATGAGGGTTTTCACTGCCAATAAAATATTTTACCCTCAACATTTAAGAGACAAACCGATAATTTTTGTACAAAATTAGCCAGTATGGATATTCCAACTATTAGCTTAAGATAAAAGAAATATTTTACTCACGAAACTTATGCGATATTTTGAAACTCAATTTTGTATTCTGAAAAGTCTGCCGTAGATGCATAAAAAATATTATTGGTATATATTTATGGAGTCTTATTATATATACTGCATTGCATAATTTATTCATTAAGCTGTTATTACATTGTACATATCATACACAATCATCCATTCTCATTTTTATGTTCATGTTGCTTCAATGAAAAACTGGATTTGTGATTTTGCATAGTTTTACGCTATGCAACTATTGAGAGAACGTGATTTGTCAATAATGCAGTTCTGTTATAATTTTTATTGAATGTGTTTTTGTATGGTCAATTTTTGCTAAAAAAGCGAATTAAGTTATTAAGAACAATTATCTTTGTGGGCATGAACAAGTAATTATTATTTTTGTCATCACTAAGCCATCAGCTGTTTGTTTACCCAGGGTGAAATATATTTTTTTTGTCTGCGGACATATACAGATTGTTCCAGTCATAAAATTTAAATCATTTGTGCCTGAATGCAGAATAATATATTTAACTCTGATTTATTCAATGAACTATGTGAGCTGTTGCTTTTATTTTATCATTTGTCAGGGATGAATCCAATCATACAAGTCATGCTTGAAAACCAATTAAAAGCCATCTTTTTATTTTGCTTCTGTTGTATTTTCTTTTTTCTTTTGAAGGTGTAAAGTATAATGACTGAACCAAGAACACTCATTTTTGAAGATATGGTTTTGGTTATATTGGTCATATGAAGCGTATATTACTACAGCATTGGCTGGCACACACCTCAAAATGGCTACTATAATATAAATAAAATGAACCATTATTTTGATGAAGTATTTGTAGAAAACAATGAATGTCCTTAATTCAGAATTCAGTCAGAAATATTGTTATTATGCATGTGTGAATAATAAAGGAGTTACTGAAACAAATCTGTCTGCTTGTTCAATGAGGGCACTAACTAATTTTGTTCGCTTACTTTATTACAATCAAGTTGTTGTTTGTGTGAAGGAACCTCGGAATCTCGGAATAGGTGAAAGGCAGCTAGGGAGTTCAGTTTTATCTTCCTTCACCTCCGATGAATACTGATGTGCCAGACCAACCCCCGCAAAGAAAAATCTTGAACTAACAGTGCAGAATAGCCTTTGTATTGAAACATGCTGACGTCATCATACAAAATACAAGACAGCAAAAGACAATGATCTGATGTAAAAAACTGAACTTTGTAGAGGTTTCATGATTCATCATCATACAAAATACAAAACAGCAAAAGACAATGATCTGATGTAAAAATCTGAACTTTGTAGAGGTTTCATGATTGGCTTAAATACATTAAGACACAGTATTCATTCATACATGCAGGCTGAATAACAACACAAGACTGATTGGGGGCTGATTTTTAAAACACACACTCAGACATCATCTGCTTGTGATTTCAAAAACCTCAATGCTCTTCTAGCAGCAGCGGATTTGGCAATTCTGTAGCTTCTGCCGACGCCTTTAAATGATCCTTTGCCGATAACTTCAACAGTGACTCTCACTTTACCATCACATCTTTTTTCAGCCCAGCTGCAAAATAAAGTGGTTATATTTAAATCACGGACATATCTTTTTCGAAGATTTCATTTCCGTATAACGCTGGAATGTTGAATGAAATTTGAAAGATCTAGTAACAAGTTTCCTCAAAGTAAGGTTTAGAGCCCTACAGTGTTGGGTACAAATTAGGGCTGGGCATTTCGAATCGAATATTCGAATCGAATCGAATAGTAAATTATTCGAATCGGTTCAGACTGGAATTTCGAATCGCCGCCATCTTGTTTTTATCTTTCCGCTAATGGTCGAGGTGAATTCCCAAATTTTTTTTTCATTGAAGTCATATTTTTTCAACGAAATTCTAACATATGACTCATTTCTGTAGTGAGTTATTGATAAAACGTGTTTGTTATTCTGTGTGAACGCTCAGTAATCGATCTGAGTGATTTATTCTATGTCTTCAGTAATTCATTTGTTGAGAGGACCAATTACTATGATAAAGTCGCTTACAATTTTATATTTTCAAGTATTCGAGATTCGATTCTGAAATCACAAGGTATTCGAAAATGCCCAGCCCTGGTACAAATCAAAGCTAAATTTTTAGTTAAAGATTCCCAAGTCACTTTGAGTCTTAGATGATAAATGATGGGTTGTCAATGGGGCCTTCCCAGCACTGCCCGAAACTGAGAAGAGTACCTACTAATTGTTATTGTAAGCACCACTGATCTGCTAAGATCAATGGACTTTAAAAAATCGATTTTCAATTATGCTTGATCGCTTGAGTCATTTACTCGACTTGAGGAACCATTTACCAAGTGACTCGAGTAATCTGAATGGAATTACTCAGACTCGTGACTAGACTCTGAATTTGGGGACTGCTAGTACATCAAAGAAAAAAGAATCAAGATTAGTCTGAATCTACAATTCTTGATCCAATGTACAAAAGTACGGTAAGGTTACCTGAATTTTGCAGTCTCTGGTTCCATTTCCAATAATTCTCTGACTGGGGCACGTGGGACACATGAGCTGAATTTTTCAATGAGTGGATTCATCATTGGTTTATAAACTCTCCAGACTTCATCTAAATCCATCCCACTATCCATGTATATTGCTCCAGCGACTGACTCAAAAATATCACCAAGAGCTTTCGGCACCTATCACAAATTGAGATATTTCAAAGTTTATTCTTACATACAACATATTTTAAATGCCTTGCGCTCTGAACAAGGTCCTACACAAGCAGCCCTTGCTAGGTAAGAAATTACTATAGTCTGGAACAGGGGTGGGCAATTACTTTGCTTTGTGGGCCAGTTACAGATAATAGACTTTGTCACTGGGCCGGAGGTTCAAAACTCAAAGTGGAACTGTGAATGAAAAATGTAATTTGCAGGCCTAAACGCTAGTCTCGGCAGCGACACGAGTTTGAGGTATAAGTAGCAAGTTTTGCACATTATATTCGGGAGTGAATACATGGGGAATTACGGTATTTATTTTAGCAAAAAATTCATATTTTCATCGATATTTGCAAAAAATTTATATTCATTAAAACTGTAGTCATAATTTCAGCAGACACAAGTGGGCCAGGTCGAACACATGCATAGATAGTATAATTTATGGCTCAAATTTAATACATTTCGACACATAGGATAGTTTTATGATACTGACGCAAGGTAATAAAATGTGAGTAAACAAATGTTAGATAAAATCATAATGCAAGTAATAAATGCAGCTATAAATTGCAACAATAAATTTAAGAGACAGTTGGTAAAACTTTAACCAAATACCATCTTGTATCACGATACTGGATGTTTTTAAGAGATTCAAATAGGGATTTAAGAGAAATTCAAAATAATGTGATATCTAGTATGTGTGTTAAATTGTATTTCAAATAAACAAGTATATCATTAACAGTATTTGGTGTCAAGTACTGGTGAATGCAATGAACTGTCAAAACTTGAAAAACAGCGTCAAGAAATGATGTCACTGTGATATCATAGTTCTACGTGCATTTTTTCATGCATAATGAAAAATAGGCGTTCAAATGTCAATTTGAGTACGTTGAGTGAATTCAAGTAAATCCACTCTACTCACAGACACTATGTTGGCATTGGAGTTTAAAAATCTCGTATTCCAATTTCCAACCTATGGCTACCACTTCATTCAGAATGTAATTATTCAGATATGCAGTCTTTATAAGAATAGTAACTTCTCTCATAATTGCTCGTGCAGAGACTTGTTAATACAAAAGATGCCATATGTTAAATAATAAAAAGTAAAATAAACAATTATCTCGTTGGCAATTGGTTCAAAACTAACTTTGAAAAACTTCGGAAAAACTAACTTTGAAAAACTTCGGAAAAACTAGAATTGTTCCAATCCGACATTGCCCGCCTAATTTATCATACTCAGAGTAAGGTTCGTGCATGGGATTGGAACTCGGGATTTTAACCTGCAATGCCATCATAGTTATCCATGATCCATCCATTTTTCCTACATTTTCTCATGCTTCATTTAAAAAAAAAAGAATCGCACCTCCACATCTTCATCCTCCTCTTCCTCTGCATCATCTTGATCTCCAAATAAATCACCAGGAGAAACAATAACAGGATTCCCCTCATCTGAACCATTATTATCTTCTTCCGAATAATATTTCTTGGCGAGTTGAGCATCCATACCTTGTGCATCGTCTTGCTGTTGTTGATAGCGAACAAAACCATCAATAATGTGGTGCAATTCAGGAGATACAGCCTACAAGAAACATTTTAACAAAATATGAAAGACAATTCTAGTTATGTGAGATTGTTACAGACTGTAATAAACCATCACCAGAGCAGTACTCTCATACAAACATGTAGGTAAACAAATACTAATTACTAAGCAGTGAAGCGATGATTACAAAGGTGCGGCAAGACAACCTGATCAAAGGATTCACACAAGTAGGATAGGATATCAATTTTATATTTATCCTGAGGGAGATGAGAATCACCGTTAGACAACTTATAATATGCTGAACCATGGCCTCTCGTTCAGTTATCAGTTTTAAGTTGACAACGGAAATGTTTAACCACTAATTTGTTTCAAACTCATGGACTTAATGGTAGATAAAGTCGAAACGGACCAGAGGTTACAAGAACCATCCAATGTTGGTTAAGAGTCCAGCAATCTTCTTGCACATAATTATAACTCATAAAATTCGAACCTGCAAATCCACACAGGGTAATCAGAGGCGCTATAACAAGCATATTCCTAACACTTCGTACGATGCACCAACCGCATAGCTGAACCAAGTACTACCATAACATTAATCCTTTCATCCGCTCTTATTCCACTAACATTTTTCTTCAAAACTGCAATATCTTAATATTGAGGAATAAAATTTATATAATGATGATTCTGTCTGACCTTGAAAAATTTATGAAAATCGTGTCGAACAGCAAGAGAAGCAAATATGGTATTGTTGACAAGTGCGGAACGAAGATCAGTGAGGGCACCAGGTGAATGACGTTGTGATGGATCGTTATATAACCGACGAGTAATAAGGAAATCAAGGATCGCATCACCTAGAAACTCCAAACGTTGATAACAATCTGAACAAGAGGAAAATATGTTTCAGCATTGTTGAGGAGGTTCTAGTTATTAACTCAACCAGAGTCGCATCAACGCATCGAAGCGACTTAAATCATCTAAATAAAATGGGTACTCAGACCTAACTCAGTCAGTATACTTCAGACTTAAAAAGGACGAACATTATTTTTCACAAAATCCTTATTGACTTGTCTTATTTTAAGCCTTCTTAGACATTGAATTACGATATTATGTATGATCCTATTTGGACGCAAACTGCAAATTGTTTTTCAATCAATAAAATGAATAATATAAATTGAAACATGTAGGAAATATCATTGACCACATAGTAGTTACCATTTCCATCCCTATGGCCTACCGCTTACCTGTGATAGTATTCAGATAATATGACGCATGAGTGAAAGCCTGCAACAAGTATCCTTTGTTTTTAAAAGTGTAATTTATTTTTTGCTCAAACGCTGCAAGATCTTTGGTGAATAACTTGAGTTTTCGTAGTCCAGAAGGACTTTCATCCAAAAGAACGTTAGTTGGTTGTTTCAGGTATCCATATGAAGGCTTTGCAGCTGTTGACAATTTATCTTGCGACAAGCGAGGTAGCACCTAGTCAAAGGTAAGAATTATAGCCAGAATCCATCAAAAAATAATAGGTAAAACCTATTATCATTAGATAGTTGATGATTTCAAATAATTCTGACCATTTGTAAATTTACTACTTTGCAGTTCCTTTTTGATATACATTCAGGAACATTGATTTCGCTTGACATTGCCTATCCAATTTATAACACCGTATCTATAAGATGGTGGGCATAAGATTTGTACCAGATATTTTAATCTGCGATGCCAACACAGCTAAATCATTTTGTCAGTTTTGAAGAAGGATCACAGGAATATGACTTTGCATTAGGTGTAGTTTCACTAATATCGTTCAGTTTTTTAGTCGTATTGAAATACAAATTTATACACACATGACACATCATAAGACAGAGTGCGAGTTGTGCGTAGCTCTTGCTAATATTCCTTTAAAAATTGTATAAATGCCGAAAACAAAGAATTTACGCCTAGTGAGGAAGAAATAAGGAGAATATATATCAAAAAAGGTTTGGAACCACTGCTACAAAGGCTGGCCATCTTTCCATTAATACAATGATTTTACTTTAAAGACTAAGAAAATTGCATGCCGTCACCTACAATATAATCGTAAATATTTATAACTCTACCTTGAGTCCAAAGTAACACAATAAAAGCTGAGCAGAGCGGTGTCCACAAGTTGTTAAATAAGATCCAAGTATTGCTTCAACACAATCAGCAATTGATTTATCAGCCAAGGAGTGTTGTGTGTGAAGATCAATTAACAAAGGATCAGTTGCACAAAGAGGTTTACCTAAAAAAGATTGTACTTCCTCAAAATTCAAAAAAGAATGTTATAAATCATATTTAATTGTACATACAGGATGACCTCGAATGAAACAAAACCTATTTTAAACATGTTAAAGTGAGAAAACAACATTTGTGCAGACATTCTAAAAAACTGAAACTTTTCGGTATACGGATACACAAACAGAATTTCCAATTTTCTTCATTTTCGTAGAATTGAAAAATTTATGGGTTCTGTTTCTTTGGGTCACCCCTTATGACTCAAATAGTATTGCGGAATCCAGGTTGAAAAGCACTGCATTAATAATAAACAATACATTGCGAAAAACTTAAAAAATTCATAATATTATACCTTCTGCATCAACAGGAGTCCAGGTATCAATCACAAATTCGCCATTTTGATTCCTCTGATTCTGTTGTTCATTTCGTAAAATTACGTTCCTATCGATAAATCTTCCAGTGAAGCTCGGAAAACCATTCTGTCTTCTATCATCAGAATGAGAACTTCCATTCAGTCCGTTCATTCCTCCGACCAAACAACCTCCCAACATGTTATCAATCATTTGAATTTCATCCTAAAACGAGAGCACCAACTTGAAAATGTTCTTACGCAATCGCTGAAAAGCAGAGTTGTGCAAAATTGAACTGTTTAGATAGGAGTATTTAAAGAAACAAGTCCTAAGTAATCAGACTAATATTTGTTAAATATAAATTTTGTAGTTTTTAACTAATTTGTAATGATATGATTGTAACTTCATATACATGAGAATAGTTTCAGCAGCTGTTCGCATTCCAGTTGCTGACCCCGTTGCAAATCAAATTTTCCAAATGATAAATTTTTATGCTTCACAATTCAAGCATCCTTGCATTATATGCATACGAATCCACTAGCACAAAGGCATCGATGAAGGATAAACCTATACGGATAGATAAATTTTCAAATCAAAAATTTTTCAAATTAAGGATTTCAAATGACAAATTTTCAAATCAAAAATTCAAATGATAAACGGCATTGGCATTTCAGGTGCTGACCACATTTTCAATACCTCAAAAATCTCACTCACACTACATTTTAGTTGAGCACAAACCTCGTCAAACACCTCTTCTTCCTCCTCATCTTCACTTATATTATTATTCAATATTTCTTCTTGTTTCTCGGTTGAGGATGTATTCTCATCTGATGATGATTTTTTGTCAGGCACTAAAAACAACAATTTGGTAAACGATCAGCTAAATATATAAAATAATTATTCAAAGAACTTCATTTAAATTCTTACTTTTATCCACGCTGGGCGACAATTTCTGACCAGGAACACCAGTCCAAACACCTGTGTAATAGGAAAAAAGTATTCAACTTTAGGTTGGAATCTGTAATAAGTTTAATTTATCTATTTATAAATTACATGTTATTTCTAATGATACAATGAAGTGAAATACTTGATGCAAATTAGTTTTAGGACTCGAAGAGGTCTGTTTTGTTGAATTGTTGTGGTGAGGTGAATTTATCATTGGAAAAAAAAACTTTTGTTGCAAAAATAATAGACCAATCATTTTTAAATTTTCAGTAGCAAAAATTGCTGACGCCACTAGAGGGATATTTTTTGTTTCAAATTTTATTTAGGTTAAAGTGTTGGACTCAATTATGACAGCATTGCTTGCATGTAAAAATCTCGGGTTCAAATCCCCCTGCCCACCCCTTTATCGAGGGTGTAATGATTTGCGTCAGCAATACTGAACCTGAAAGATTCTATTCCTTCTCAGAAAAAGTAGTTTTTCACATATCAATCAATGGCTTTTTGTGCAGAGCCTTGTTCAGAACGAGAGGCATTTATCCTCTCCCGGGATAAATATGTAAATCTTATCCTATTTTGAACGAGGACATATTGTTTAAAAATATTCGATAACAACTCTAATATCATCAATTTCTATCACAAATTACCTTTCTATACACTTACCAATCTCCATGTCATCATCCAAACTATCATATTGTGAATCCTTATAAATATCATCATCATTACCAGTATCAGGACCATAGATACCACCACCAACAATGTATCCTAAGAATAAAAGAAAACGAAAATAGACTATATGGAAAGGATATGTATGGTGAAATGTTAGTGGTTATGACCTTAACCAAACCATGAGTGCATTACTAATGAGCCACAAGGGGCTCCATAATTGGCGCATCATTGGCTCGGCGGTTGGCACTTCGTGCTCAGGTCATAGCATCTCTGATTACCATGCGTGGGTTGAAGTCCTGCAGAGATTGATTATGCGCGAGATGCTTGATGAACTCCTCGCTGATGTAGGGTGGTTCACATAACTACTCGTCAATTACTCCTTCTTCAGCCATCAATTTCAAGCATCCTATAAATGACCTATTAACCAACTATTCCTATGAAGGGCATGGAGCCCCAATATTGACTTTCCCCCTCTCCCTGGATAGATATGAAAAATCCTCTACTATAGAATGATAGGCCCGTCGAAATATATTTCTGATTATGAAATTCCTTCTGAAACTTTCTCAGAACCACCACAAAAGTACTGGGGGTTTATATAGTCCAGTTATAATCAAAATTTTGTTATTGAGCCAGCTCTCTATATATCTTAACCAGATTTGTTCAATTTCAATAAATATTCACTTCGTTTAATACACCTGTACACTGTGTTTCCACTTTCCACCATTACTTGCGCGAAGCACAATAAAGTTTTTTGCGTTCCAGAAGCGTGTGTAAAGGAACTGAAACCTATGGGCAGGGGGTATATACACTCGGCTAACACAGACAGTCCCCGAACTCGTAATAGAACTAAAATAGGGAAAATCGGAATAAAATCAAGGCCTAACCCGAACCTGGTACACTCACTACGGGAGTACCAGTTTTATTTACCTAATTTAATATAGGACGTTAAGAATAGGAATTTACTTGGTTAAAGTCAAACTTGCTGTTCGCTAAACTACTCTATTAATGTAAAATTCCCCCTTTTTTTAATTTGAATATAAAAGTTCTCACCTGGAGGCAGCCAATTTACTGCAGGATCAAATATCAGGGCAGTCATTTTTCTAGGCAAGTTTCTTTGTTGTCCGATCCTGTATAAATTGTAGTTGGACACTTTCTTGCTCCTCATGTACGATAGTTTACCTGCAAAAAGATTAATTATAGAATTGATATTAGTGGAGGAATAATAAAGCTTAAACCTGCGATGCCACTATATTCAAGTCTAACGCTTTAGCCACTATTTAACACATCTATACAAATTACATACCGTACATATAATATATATCCTCACATATTAGCTGAGTTCAAAACTAAAAAAAAAAGTTGCCAAACTAAGGGCTTATATGCGCCTAACTCTGATCGCACTAAAACAGGGGTTCTCAACCTGGGGTTAGCGAACCCCCAGGTGTTCAGGCGAAGATTTCCAGGGGTACTTGGATGGTAGTCAAGTTTTCGTGTTGCTTTTTTCAATATCCCTCAACAAAGAAAAACTAAGTAACCACTGGGGGAAAAAGCATAGATTTTCCCTGATCTTGCGTTGTTGTGGTTGTGATGAACAATGTGAAATGCACGGCCTAACGACAAACTGTGAAATCTCAAGAGACAATGTGCTGCGGGCATTGCAGAAAGTGATATGCTCATTGAAACTTGAGAGAGATTTCAAGAATTCATTAGATAGGCAAAGGACAAATGACATCAACATGAAGATTTAAATTAGTTACAGCAGTTGGTCAATAAATTGTTATTGCAGCGAATTTTCAGTCAATATATCACAACTTTGTTTGGTGTTTGATTACTGGGGGTTCGCGTTGATTATTTCGTGACTCGGGGGGTACTTAAAAGAAAAAAGGGTGAGAACCCCTGCACTGAAGGGTCGGCTTATATGAGCCTAACTCTGATAGCACTCAATCGAAATTATATGCAAATTCTTATGAAGTCACTGTTTTGGGGCCGGTTTATATCTCACATATAAGCAGGAAAACTGCTTATATGTGAGATCGGCTTATATGTGGGGATGTACAGTATTTAATTTTAAACCCTCAAATTCAATACCTTACAATTGACCCAGGTTTTTACACCAAATTATGAGTAAATATGATAAAGAGTCCAGAAAACTTTACTTTGACAAAGCAATATTATCATACCTTCGTGTGCATCTGGATAAGTGCAAAATAAATAAACAGTAACAGCATGTTTCAGAAATGAATCACCAAGCATTTCTAATCTTTCCAGATTGAATCCATCACTTGCATTTGAAAGAGTCAAAACCTGAAATACAACAACAAAATTATTAAAATTTTGAAGAACACGGTATACAAACTTTTCGGCATACAGACTTATTGAACCAGTCGTTTTGGACTAGACAGTTCAAACCACAAAGTGGCAATTGGATCGGACGTTTTATACTACGAACTGTTCAAACCACAAGGTGGCAATTGGACCAGATGTTTTGGACTCTGGACTGTTCAAACCACAAGGTGGCAATTGGACCAGATGTTTTGAACTACGGACTGTTCAAACCACAAGATGGCAATTGGACCAGATGTTTTGGACTACGGACTGTTCAAACCACAAGGTGGCAATTGGACCAGATGTTTTGGACTCTGGACTGTTCAAACCACAAGGTGGCAATTGGACCAGATGTTTTGAACTACGGACTGTTCAAACCACAAGGTGGCAATTGGACCAGATGTTTTGGACTACGGACTGTTCAAACCACAAGGTGGCAATTGGACCAGATGTTTTGGACCACGGACTGTTCAAACCACAAGATGGCAATTGGACCAGATGTTTTGGACTACGGACTGTTCAAACCACAAGGTGGCAATTGGACCAGAAGTTTTGGACCACAGACAGTTCAAACCACAAGGTGGCAATTGGACCAGATGTTTTGGACCACGGACTGTTCAAACCACAAGGTGGCAATTGGACCAGATGTTTTGGACCACGGACTGTTCAAACCACAAGGTGGCAATTGGACCAGATGTTTTGGACCACGGACTGTTCAAACCACAAGATGGCAATTGGACCAGATGTTTTGGACTACGGACTGTTCAAACCACAAAGTGGCAATTAGACCAGATGTTTTGGACTGCGGATTGTTCAAACGACCGCGGACTGTTCAAACCACAAGGTGGCAATTGGGCCAAACATTTTGAATTACGGGCTGTTCCAAACCACAAGGCGGCATAACATGGTTTAGTAATGAGTCCAATTTTTGGTTGCCTCGGCTGTTGTTTAAAAATAATAATATACAAATACATGCCAATTTATAAGACATGTGGGCATTATGGATTTAGGTTCTTTACGACTAGTAATTGCAGTATACCAGTGTCAACAGTTTACTAGTATGTCTCGACAGCGTAATGAATGTTCCCAAACATTAAACAACACCAACGGTGACAGAAAATTAAACTTACGACTCAAATAGACTTATGTCACCGCGTCGTCCAAAATGTTTTGTGTTAGGGGTGGGATTTTTCCTTTGCATTTGCATTTAGTATTACTAATATTCTTTAGTAACTTAGTATTATGGTAATACATACCATATTATTAAATAGTTACACACACATTACAAATTATCCAAACTGTACAAAAAGAAAAAGGAATACGAATTACGTGTATCACAAATAATAATCCATTAAAGACTGAACAACAAAGAAAACATTTTTTTTGCAAAGCGAAAGGAAATTTGAAATTTCGAAATAAAAAAAAGAGAGGATTGTACTGAGAATTGTTGGGGACCACCAGTAACCTCATTGTTAAACCCAAGATCACAACTTCACACAAATTGTGAAAAACTGCATAGGTCATGTCATGCTAGAAAAGGCTCTTCAAAACCATAATAGTATTTTGTTAAAAAATAGGAATAGAAAACCGTTAAAAAGAGTCCAACATGGAATTCGATCATACCTGTAAAATCAGTCCTGGGCTTGGACCAGCTAATTCAGATTTGCATTGAGAAGACAACTCATCAATGATCGACTTGGGAATTGTTTTAAATAAAGAATCATTGTCTGACAATGGTAAACAATCTTTCCTGTAAATAAATATCAAATATGATTTGATGAAATTACACTGGAATTAAACTCACCTCATTCGAACACAAAATGAAATGATATCATATGAATTCCTACCAAAATATATAAGAAAATATTCAAGAACTTTATCTGTGACAGTGATCTCAAATACTGTAGATAAGGACATCTGTTCTCAAAACCAACTTCTGAAGTCTCTCATCATCTTCTATAAAAATACCTAGTTCACCTAGTGCAGTAGTTCTTGAACATAGGCCTCGCTCGCTTTTTCGAATTTGTCAAGTCTCGTGCCCCCAAAATAACTAGCTAACAATAGGATACAAATAACAGATCTTTAGACGAAGAAAGTATGCCTTTTTAAAAAAACGTGGATATGGAGTAAAAAAATATGTGTATGGAACATAAATATCACAAATAAAGAAATGTAAATATCCAAAATAAGGTAGGCAAGATCAAATCTAACAAATATTTTTATTTTTAATTAACTTAACACCCCCTCCAAAAATTATCTACGACTTCCTTGTGGGGCGCGCCGCTCCGATCAAGAACCACTGCGTTTAATGACAAAAAATTTGGTACAGTCAGAGAATTAAATAAATCACAATTTTTTTTTAATTAATTTTGCCATCGTGAATGGTACTGTGACAGCCTTTTCTCAAGAATTACACATAATTACATACCTTTTTTTCCTGATTTTCTTTTTCGATTTTTTACAATCTTGTCCAGGAATATCAAACACGAGTTTATAGTCATCTGAATCATATTCAAAATCAAACTCAAATGAATCAGTTTCATCAGAGTCTTTGTTATTTAAATTCAATTCAATTGAGACAGATTTCTCATCGGAGTCAAGATTGGAGGAGTTTGAATTGTCAGCCGTTTCAGATTCCGGCACGATACAAGATTCATGATTTTCCTCAGTCTCTGTAATATGTAATTTCTTCACATAAATCAGAACTCTTCATGCTACATATCACATATTGCCATACTGTTATGGCAATTGCAAGATAGGATTTTCATATTTATCTTCGAGAAGAGGTAAGATAATAAGACAACTCAATCATATGACAAACCATTGTCTCTGGTCTGGTTACTAGCCCAAGTCAGGTATGGGAATATTTAACACGCTATTCGTTCCTGATGCTTGGACTTGATGTTGGAGGAAGCCATAACCGACCAGAAGTCGGTTACGTGATCCAGCCTAACCTCACCCTCTTATACATATAGTTATCGGCCATGGGTGTCGTGTCTGCTCACATGAGCAGGTTCATTGGAGGTGTGCTAACATGGATATTCCTAAAGCTTAGCATGATGTACCCACCTCAAAACCCTGTGAAGGTTTTGATTTCTGTAAATTAAACAATGAAGCGAGGCACATAAGTCGTACAAGCTGTGTGAATTTTAAATGAAATGCATTGTCAGTCTAGATCTTGGGTTCAAGCCTCATCATCACCATCTCACCCAGGTATAATAAGTTGGATGAGTCAATGTCGAACTAGAAGGATTCTGTTCTTCCAAAACTAGCAGCTACTTTCGTATTAGTGGCTGTTTCTAAAGATCTTGTTCGCAGTGACAATATGAGAACATCACATAAAAACATTGATGGAAGTTGATTGATCAATTTATCTGAACTGATCATTTAACGGACTTATCCTAGGAACTTTGCATGTATAGGACGATTTTTTAGGGCAAGCAGAGTTATGCGCGTATAAGCCGAGCCCTTAGTTTGGGAACTTTTTTTCAAGTTTTAAACTCGGCTTACATGCGAGGATGTACGGTCGGTAACATTAGAAAAATTACCTTTATGGTGAATTTCAGATTCATCAGTTTCTAGATCCTTAGCAGTGATATTGTTTGCATTATCACCAGTAGAACTGTGATCAGAGGGCTTTGTATTTGACAGTGTAAAATATTCTTGAGCATTTGACAAAGAAACATCATTTTCTTCAGAAACCATTTCAGGATCTGTAGCCAATGCCCCGCCATCGTTGTTATCGTTCTCTATCAAATTCTCTGGATTTTCATCGAATTTTTTTGAATTTTCTTCATTAGGAAAGTTACTCCAACCAAAATCTAAATCGGGCCATTGTTTACCGAGAGGTAAAGAACCTTGTCCAATACCAGAATCCTCATAAATCTTGTGTCTGAGTTCTTCAGCCACTAAGATAGAAGATAACCTGTATAAGATAAAGTGAAAATATAAATTACAAGACTCAATACCATCTTAAGAAGTTAAACGGCCTAAGTCAAAACAATTCTCAAGGTATCATTATGTTGAAACTGAACCATAATTTCACAATACTGACTCGATGGACTACCGGAAATATTCCTGTTTTTCCAAAAATAGTAATTCCATGAACATCTCTGGATATCAGGGTCTTGTGAAAAAAGGCCAAATGAAAAAGTTCGAAATCAAAGATCTGGGGCCCCATTCGCCAAACTTCGTTAAAATCCGCGTTTACGAGCACGTAACCTTGTCTCTCAAACACGCAGTTACGAAATCTCGTTAGGTGCGATTCACGAAACATCTCGTAAAAACTTTACGCACGGTCACGCAAGTTTTCTCTAAATCTTACGCACGGTCGTCGTTGAACAAAAACCACTGTATGATCACTCAACCTATCACTCAGTCACTGCCGCGAGCCGCCCGACGCGAATAGGCCTATTTTGCAATGATCTCTGTTTTACATTTTGCAGCCTGTGATTTAAAGTTCGGAGAATATTGCAGTAATCTATGGATGAATGAAATAAATTCTGAGATACATATTGTTAAACTACTTCTGTAACAGACAACAAAATAGATGAAAATGTAATCCCATATTTGAGGTTAGTACGCTGTTAGTTGGCATACATAGGTGGGTCCACAGCTGCTAGACTACAGTCACTCTTACATAAGTTAGGCATTTAGGGATTTTTGATACCAATTTTTGTATGCAAACACCACAGCATTTGTTGGGGTGCATGTCGCACATACTTGTCTTAGGCCAGTAAGGTATTGAACATGTATCCCGTTTTAGTTATACCGTTTAATTATTATGTAGATACTGTTACAAATAAACACACATACATTTTAACTTGAATTCATTTTAAGAACAGGCCGAACTACTGTTAACGAGTAAAATTTTCCCCTCGTTAGTTTGCGAGCACTCCGGCGTGTTAAAAAACTTTGGTGAATACCGATTCTCGGTAAAATGAGAAAAGAAGGCACTTTACGAGACGTCTGTTTTGGCGCGCAAAAAATTCTATCGAATACATTCTCTTGAATATTAACGACACTTCGAGAATACCATTTTTGCCTTTTACGAGAAAGTGGGTGCTTTGCTAACACGTTAAACAATAAAGAAGTTTGGCGAATGGCGCCCCTGATAAGTTTATTGTTAGTGCTTTTACCTGTATATAATGGATGGAATACAAACTGCTTTTCTCCACAATGAAGCAGGAATAGGATGCAAGTCACAAAGTTCCGGTACAAGAATCTGCCTGTTCGTCAAAGTTTCGTATTTAGCTCGTTTCTTCTCTAAACTTGTTACAGGTAGCACCTTTCCCTTCTGATTCATGTAACGTGGGGTGAGAAGATTTAACCTGAAAATATAAACCATTAGATTTACAGCAAAAATAGAAAAGTTTTGTTAAAAAATTCGTATCACTATTACTATTCATTGCAAAATGGGCAATTGCTTGGTGGTTAAAGCGTTAGACCATTGGTGTGCAACAGGCGTCTCGGGGCAACGACCCGGCCCACCAAGCCATTTTGTGTGGCCCTTATCAACACTCGCATATCGCCCCATCAAGCATAATATCCTAATCCGACAGTTTATGTTTAAAAAGGCGCTCACATGGATGAAAAAACATGTTTTTTTTTTCTTCTTGTTGCTGCATTGAATCTTTTGCTGTTTCGCCCAGTGCCTTTATGACTGTAGGGCTAAGCAATAGTCGCATTCTCTCCTCTTGCCTATCCCGCGGCGCTCTGATTCCCGCTAACGTTTTTTTTGCTGCTGCACGTTTTTATAAGTTTGTTTACAACATTATATTGTGATGTAATAATCCGTAAAAATGGTTTGTGTGGCCCAGCTAGATGTCTGCGTTGGTTATATGGCCAACCGACAAAAAATATGGCACACCCTCACGTTAGACGAAACCATGTTGGCATCGCAGTTTGCACTTAGGCTCAAATCCCATGACCCCCACCTCACCCAAGGTTACGTAATAAAATGGATAGGCAAATGAATGCAAAACCAAAAATATTCTGATTCTTCAAAAAATAGTAGCTCCTCACGCATCGTTAGATATCAGTGAATGCTTGTACAGGGCTTTGTTCAAAGTGAACGACATGAGCGTACAAGTGTCATATAAACTAAGGAATATAGGCAGCAATCTTATGGATCATAAGGAAAAATGGTAAGCACCATCCGTTAACTCAAATAATTTTTCTTCGCAACTAATGGACCAGTCGTATTCAAATTTTCAGCTAAATTTTTGAGGGGTTGTAAAGCTAATTAAAAATAAAAATATTTATTAGATTTGATCTTGCTCGCCTTATTTTGGGTATTTACATTTCAAAATTTTTTCATATCATTATTTTTCACTTATTTCATTATTTACATTCCACCCACGTATTTTCAATGTGTTTTTTGAACAAAACATACTTCCATCTTACTATCTGTAGCTTATTGTTAGCTAGTTATTTTTGAGGTGGGTGCAAGACTTGACAAATTTCAAATGACTTATGTAAACTAAATTTACTTATATTATATTTACCTCGAAGAAGTATGATCAACGTCCAACAGTGGTTGTTTTAAGCAGCTTATATCAAGTCCATATTTGATCCTATAATAATGATGGAAACTCTCGTACTCAGAAGATGGAAAACTGCTATATGGATTCAAGTCATCTTTGATTTCAGCAACATAGAATCTGGAATGTAAGTCAAAGAATAATGGTTAATTTACCTTTCATTTATCGAATTTTCTGGTCAAATAAAACTTGCTAGTGATACAGTCAGAGAGGTCTAGCAATCAGCGTATTGCAGAGTAAGAATAACCTATCTAAATGTTACAACAGGTAGCAGAGATAGAAATCAATTCATTCCACAATATCTATTTCAATGCTTAAGTTGCTATGAAGTACAGGGTGTTCATAAAGTCCTGTATAAAACTAGGTAAAAGAATTTTGATGTGCTTAGTGTAGCTAATGATGGGCATATAAAGGTGAAATGAAGTAAAAAACCTAAATTAATACTGATTAAAATGAAACAAACCTGGTTAAGATATTTTAAGAACTGACTTCATAACAAAAATTTTAATCGTAACGAGCCCTGAATATATCTATAGAAGTTCCATATTGTGCAAAAGTATATTGTTTTGTCGGCGCTCAAGAAGTGTGTGTACCAATGGAAGTAACTAATTTTGTTCGCCTACTTTACATCAAGTTGTGTAAAGGGACTGAAACCTATAGGCAGGGGATATATTCACTTGGCTAACACAGACAGTTCCCCAAACTCGTAATTATAGAACTAAAATAAGGAAGATTGGAATTGAATTATAGTCTAACCCTAACTGGTACACACACTACAGGAGTACCCGTTTTGTCTCAGTTTTCAAATCTAGCAGCTAACTTCGCTTGCCGTCGGTAACTTGGTGAGATGAGCGTACTCTGCTTCTGTTTTGAGTGAATTCTCTTAAAAACGCAACTTGCCTATTTGGTTGATCAGGACTTCTATATTTGGCAACAACCACACCATCTTCATATTTTGATCGCTTGAAAACAAAAATATTTTTTCCTCCTTTTGATTCTAGTAATCGATGTCGAAACCATGGATCTGATCTCATTCTGTCATCGATTCGTCTTTTGGAATCAACTTCACACATGAATTTCCAGTCAATGTCAAGATCAGAGGTAGGTGTTTCTGGAAGGTATGTTCAATATGAAACTGTTTATAGCTATTCCGGGATTTGTTTTTCTTGATATTCCTCATCCGTGAGTAGAGTTTCTACTGTATCCAGTAATTTCCAATAAATAAAATACTAACAAGAATTAGCTCTTGTGTAACCTATTATCCTAAAGTAGTGGAAATGTCAAAAGCATGACAGTAAACTATTTCCATTCTTACTCTTATCTAAGAAAACAATATAAATCTTACTCTTATCTAAGATAACAATATAAATTTGCGTTGGAGATAAGTCAGGTTTAAATATCAGAGGTACTCTGTCAATCCTCAACATATCAGAGAATAGATAGTGATGAAAAGAACGAATCTGAAAATATAAAATACAACAATTGTTTTGTAAAGAAAAAGAAAACAAAAAATTATTACCCAGATACGACTGAATACTAGTTCTTCCATGTTACTAAAAGACACAAAATAATCTCTTAGAAAGCAGCTGTACTAATGAAATAGTCAGTATTTCAAGCAAGACTGCGGAGTTGAAGTTTGACATGTTTTCATTGGAGTCAAGAGTCGGAAATTCATACTAATAATGATGATAATCGAGAAATGAATATTGTACAAAAATTCAAAAAACTTTTGAGCTCAACAAGCAAGTCTAACTGTCTTTCATACATCAAAAATTTTATTATCAAGATTTGATTTTTATGAGAATTCAGAGTCAAAACTTCTATCAAACTGGAGTCAGAATTATTTCAACACCGAGTCGGAGTGAACTGCCTATATGAGCTGCCGTACTCTATCGGTCGGGAAATTTCATGCGCCAAAGATATTTGATAGAATTCAGAATTCCCAACCGGGGGACACAGAGCTGTTGGAGTGGGAGGAGGGTGAACAATGGTGGGTGCAAAACTGAATCACAATGAAACCTCCCATTCTTCCTAGATTCATTGCTTGATAAGGGTGCCATGGGTCATTAAAAGTTTGAAATCACTGCAATATTTGAAGATACCCCGATGGTATTGACGAGAATTGAATTAAGTCTCACTTTCAATCATCCTTTACTGGCTTACTATGATTTTATATAGTTCAGTAGCTCTTTATACACCGGTTCTCAACCTATTAAAATTGCTATGGTTATTAAACAAATTATCTTTCATTTATGTCGCTATATGTGAATTTTCAAATATAGAAACGATATTATTGACACTGAAGTAAGTGATTAATAAAGTAAAAGCGTTCATTTTTGCAAAAAGATATTTTAGTTTCTCCATTGAATGAATAATTTAATGGGTCACAGAACTTTTAATCAATGAAATTGAGCCACAAAAAAGAAAAGTTCGGGAATTGCTGTCTTAGTATTACAGTGATCTGCCATGAGTAAACTCTTTAAAAAGCGGAAAATAATGACATAAAATTCAGGTGAAACAACAATTCTAATGAAAAATTATTTTATACAAATAAATCTATATAAATTTCTGGCATCCTTACCATCTTAATGTGATGCAATCCAAGGCTGATGAATGAACGACATAATTTCACACGGACAGATTCTTCACCAGATCTGGTGAATATAGGGAAACCTAAAACCTAGAGTTAAGATAAGCATCAATTAGTGGTCAAAGATAAAATTGTTCAGATTCATCTCATATAAAAAGGAAACATAATATCCATCACAATAATACACAATTTCTAACGAAGCTTAACTATCCTATAGCAAAAGCAACTTTTTCATACAACGCTTCTTTGCGCCTTTTGCTCTGAACAAGTCCCTGTAAAAGAGGTCACTGATACCTAACTACTATTCTCGAAAGGAAAGATATCTTTCCAGTTTGTCATTGCCTACCCAATTTATAAAACCCGGGATTAGGTGACAGGTATGGAATTCAAATCTGAGATGTGTAGTATTCGCTAGGCCATAGGGCCAATAAACCATTGACTTCATCTTATTGCAACATCCTAAGGACACAGGTCACAAATAGGCCCTGCACTCTGAGCAATACAAGAAATAAAGGATAGGCAGTTCATCATATACCACATATTTTGCTAGGCTAAGGTAATAAATCGAGTGTTTCTATAAATAATGCAACAGTTTCAATCGAAATTCAACTCAACAAGTTATGTATTAATTCATTTGGAAACAAAAAAGTGATAAATACTAAATTATAGTTGTAATGGAAGGATTATTATTTACAATATTTGAATGAATCTTGTGCTATTGATTTGATTTCTGCGGGACCAGCTACTCATCCTTCTTCTATGCATAAAATGCAAAAGAGTTGTAGCAAGAGTGAAGACAACTATTCCATTCTAAGTAATTGAAGAGTCTTGCTTCACAATAACAAAAATATACTTCTGAAACGTTCAGTATGAGTGCAAGACTTTTGAATCACTTAGAATCGTACGAACATTCACTAACATAATATTCATATACATTTTGCTCTGCAAAAAAAGTTTTTTAAAAAAAAAATCATCAAGAACAACCAATGATTTATGTTACGACAATAAAATGCCCAAAATTACTAATCTAACAGGTGGATAATAAGCATGGATATTCTAGGCTGAAAAACATAAAAGACTTCTCACAGGCGGTAATGGTTTTGCAGATAAAATTCCAAAGCATCTTGTAGTTTCCTCAGGAGCATGCAGTTTCCGCCTTCGTACATTTAACTCGTCTGGCATTCTAGTATGTAATTTCATTTCAATTTCATAAAGAAAGAGAGGTATATCGGGACGAGGTAGGCAACCGGAAAGAGCAGCTGGGACCTAAATATATATAATAAAAAAAATAAAATAAAAACACTAATGCATTGTTAAGTAATCTTTTACAAGGTGTGTCACACTTTTTATTTGAAAGACGCTCTATATATGCAGAAAATGGTGAATGTTGAATCGTTTTTTTAATATGCTCTGAGAAAGGATTTGCATAAGTGGCCACTGCTCGTTAAGGAGCTGTTATAGTTTTGAGAGAACAGAGGCATGAGATTTGAACCAAAGATTTTAACCTGTGATGCCATAATATTTAAGTAGAGTTATTTACCCACTCATTGCCCCCATTCTCACTCGCACTCTAGGTGAGGAGATAGGGTCAGGTTGAACAATGTCTAATAGAAAACTACCATTAGCCATTTATTCGGTAATTTGTGTATTCACATCTTGAGTTATTTTTTATTTTGAATATTATTTTGATCATTTTAAGATACTTTTTTCAAAGCTACATCATTTTTTACTACATCATGATTTACTGTGCACCACATTTTAAAAGTAAAATTATCAAACACAGGAGGTCTGAAAAATATTAATTAGTTTAAATTTTAATAGCTTTTCAGCATTATTACATTATTACAAATTCCAAAGTTCCTTGACTCTTGCCATAACATAACTCGTGTGTGTGATAGATGAGTGATTACTGAACAGGCCTAGATCTAGTAGCTGCCTGCCCAGAGCCTTGTCTGAAGAGAAAAGTTGTATACATATATATGACATACTCCGTAATTCAAATTTACCTCCTTTTCGTAAGTTTGTCTCCGTTTAGTTGTTCCAGGTCTTCCAAGTACGCTAGATTTCTCTTCAGGCCAGGGATCAAGTTCCTCAGCATATTTGACCATTTCTTTACCTTTGAAATATAGAATGAAGCAATGGGCATCATCGTGAGATACCTTGATGGGGAAACTATGATTTGAATTGAATGGATTTGTTTATATTATGTGGGGTATTTCTGAATTGGCCGGACATAATTTAAATGCAATTGAGTCACGGCATGCAAAATCATGGCAATAATCTAACATTGAGGGAGGATGTTGGTCGCAAATAAATAAAGGTTTGAGAGTGGCAACCCAAGACTGTTACTAGTGAATACCAATATAAGATTGATGTAAATTACAAAGTGCAAGCTTTGGTACTTTTAAAGATTCTTGTTGAAAAACTGCCCTTCACTGATAATAAACTTTTTTGATCTTCTGCCATTACAGACCAATGACAATCTTTTGATACAAGTGTCAAAGCTATAATGGTTTTAGTTTTGATTATAGGTAGTGCCTTATGACCATTTTCATGTTTGGCTGTTAGGGTTGGACAATTACAAAAATGAGATTTTCTCAAAACCTTAAAATATGACATAAGTTAATTTGGTTCTGCTGCGAAAAATTTTGACTTTTGAGAAATTTTAATTCATAATGTATAAACATCCTCACACTCCTGAAATTCCGGCTTTCCTGGCACATAAAATATCTTACAATGACAGAGATTCAACACAATCATTAAAATAATAAAATTATATATATGAAATTGCATATTTTCTAACCTATCGGCATAAAATGATCATCCAATTCTCCTGCTTTATGTAATACTTTACACGCTTCCAGGGCAACTGCTTTTTGTGCAAGTAATACTGATGACATTTGAGTACCCTGAAATAAAAAATGGTTTAATCAATAGCTATTATCTTATGGCGCATCGTGCCAGGTGTCAGAAATACGCTCGCTACCGTACCTCTGATTACCCTGCGCGAATTCGCAGGTTCAAATTCAATGCAGGAATGGTTATGTGCGAGAGGATTGCTGGACCCCTCGCCGCCGTGGGGTGGTTCACTTCACGTAAACGCTGGTCGGTTACGGCTTCATTTAAAATAAAAAAAATTATTAAAACAGTAGAAATACACCCCTCTTTAAACCCAACACCAATTACGTAGAAAAGATAAAATATGGTTTAAAGTTAGACGTGAAGGTCTTTAGCATTCTGTTATATTAAGAACCCACACAACAAGTCTTAACCTGACAAGAGCAGCTATTCAAATGACAATTGGGACCGTATAACCATTAATGCAATTAAAAACGGCATTCTTCTTAAATTAGTCTTTCATTTAGTATCTTTTATCCTTACTTACCTTGATTGGATTTTGTACATGTGCATTGATTGGTAACTGAAGTGAACATTCAAAATATTGCTGCCTTGTTCCATTGAGTGATGAAGAATCCATATTGCGAGCATCTTTGCTCGAGACTTCAAAAACTTCACATCTCGGACTAAGATGAGTGAATGGATCACTAGGAAGTCGACTGCAATATCTGAGATGAACATAAAAATATACACAACTGCTACCTTACAATATATGTGGTGTGTTCAATTGCAAAGGGAATTGATCGATATCCTATAAGCAGTTCCCAAAGGTGTGGCGATTTGCCAAGTGCACTTCGAAAATTAAATTATGTTAAACTTAACTAAAATATTATCGAATATTTTACATATTGCATTTATTATAAATGTTTTATTATTTCTTATTTTAAAAAGCCACTTCTTCAAACCTCATACCTGTTAATAACATGAATGGCAGAATCCATAGTTACGCAAGTACTAGGTCCCGAGTAATAAGGTGGAATATTATCTTCATCTTCAATATCAGGATCATCTTCTGCCACATCAAAATAATCGAAATCAGCAGGAGGCGATTCTTTGATGACTTGATTCCCATAAACTGAATCTTGTAAGACCTGGAAAATGTTTAAAAACAACCGTTATATTGTTGCTTTTTTGAATAAATTAAAATTTGACCAGGGTTGTTAATTGGATAAAAGACACCAAATAACAGACAGGGCTGTTATATGGCAGTCGTATTCTTGCCTTTGAAATAAGCGTTGATGGGCCAACCAAAGACTGGGCAGCTTTGTGTAAAACCGCGATATTGAGTTTCCTGGTAAGAAAGATAACTGTTATTTATTCAACATTGTCACCTTTCATACGAGGTTGAAAGATGCTGAATAATTTTTGATTAGAAACAATACCTTCTCAATCTTTTTATATTCCTGCAATCTTGTCATGAATTCATTTTTCTCTTCTTCATTAACTAACATCATATATGTTGAATTATTTGACCGTACACGACTTTTCGAAAGAATATATGACCTAAATATCATAACGGGAAAATTTATCGAAAATAAATATTTTCATGCCAGTTCAATAAAGCAAAAAGAGACTGGAAAAATGCCTTCCCCACTAAATTGGAAGTGCTGATCCACCAAACACTGTGAAGCTAGTTTAAGATTGTTTGAATTAGGGCTTTAAAGTTCGAGTTGGGCACATTTTTATTAGAGTCGGAGCCGTATTTTTAAAGCCGTATTAAAGTTTGGTGTTGATTCTGATTTCCCCAGAGTCAGGATTTCGACTTTCAATGGCGATAAAATAAGTCAAAATTGTATATTGAAGAAGTCTTGAATACGCAAAGTTTTGTTATCAAATTGTGGCTTTTTTTAATGTTTGGAGCTGAAGTTTCTTATAGTTAGGAATTGTGAGTCAGAAATTAATTTTTTTTAACCCGGACTTGTTGATAAAGTTTCCATACTTCACAGCCAAGATATGAATAAAGATAAGTTTGTTGAGCGTAGGACAAGTAAGTGCTATACTTCAGTGTGGGTCAGACTCAGATTCATTATAAAAGATAGTAAAAAAAATATTTTCAGATGTCCATCTGGTTTAGGAGGTATTGTCAGGAAAGTGGAAGAGATAAGTGATATTTTAATAAATAGCTGTTCGCCTGTCAGTACTATATCTTGTAACAAAAATTGGGTTGAAAAACAGTACTCCCGTAGTGTGTGTACCAGGTTTTAAGGCCGTAATTTTATTCCGATTTTCCTTATTTTAGTTATATTATGAGTTCTGGGACTGTCTGTGTTAGCCAAGTGAATATACTCCCTGCCCATAGGCTTCAGTCCCTTCACACTACTTGATGTAAAGTAGGCGAACAAAATTATTTACCAGTACTTCCATATTGGAACACATACTTCTGGAGCGCCAAAATACTCTTATAGCCAAATGGAATTCAGAATCAAACCTACTTATACGTGTCAGGAACATCAAATCTGAGTACTAAATTGCATTTAGGTATATCAGCAAATTCTTCCAAGCAATTGGTAGATATAAGTAAATTGATTTCGTGACTTCTGAAACTTCGTAAAACTTCTTCTTGCTTTAGTTTTTCAGAGTTTGTTGCATTGTTGTAAATATCTTGAGCGACGTCCGTTTTTTCCAAAATATTTGTACTAGATGTCGGTGAGGTAGCGATAGATGTCATATGAGCACTGGATATGTGCCATAACTCCGAATCATCTTTACTTGCTTCTTTCAAAAGTCGTTGCAGCATCAAAGCTACATATCTGCAAAACAGGCATGCAATGCAAAAATATGTGGACACAAAAGTACTGCTACCAATAAGTTAATGGCATGGCAATCATCAGAATAGTGAAATAAAATTAGGGATGAGGAAAACGGTTAATTTCCAGAATCCTGAACCCTTTTCATACTTATTTCCCTAATAACTGTAAAAAACAGTAAAATATGAAATATATTCACAGCAACGAAATATAAAAGTAATAGCCTTGTGATGGAATTGTGATAAACATAACTAATATATGATTTATTATTTTACATATTTTATTTATCATAACAAATGTTTTATTGTTTCTCATTTTAAATGTTGTCTATATAAATCAATAAAATTCTTCTACCTTTCATATGTTGAAAACTTTGTTTTTCATTCTGGTATTATTTTTATAAACATCATTATAATTCAAAATTGTGGAATTTTTCCTCGTACCATGGTCAAAAAAGACTCAAAATACTTACTTTTCTCTAACAAAAACAATACCACACAGAGTATTAGCATGATGGTATTGTCTGGAAGATCTTGTCATTCCTGGTTTAACATCAGCTTCCTTTTTTCCATCTGTTCTTTCATTTCCATTTTTCAGCATCATCTGTTGTTCCTCTTCTTCTTCATCTTCTTCTGCATCAGAATCTTGCCACCAGGATACATAACTAGCTTCTGATCTGGGATGATTTAATGTGAAAAATAAGAAAAAGTGGTGCTCCTGAAGTATGCGCACCAAGATGTCGCATAACCTGAACCCTAACCTGGTACACAACCCGAGTTCAGGTTGTGCGCCATCTTGGTGCGCATACTGCAGGAGGTCCGAAAAAGTTGTATAGCTATTCTATATAATTTAAATACACGGATTTGCAAAATTTGAAACTCACAAACGGACTACAAGATCATTTTTTTTCTCAATCTGGGCATTTCCCCCTTGGGGGTTCACATAGTGGTTCTCTGAGTGCATGAAGCAAGGGCCTCTATTGGGTACCATTTGTGATGGACACATTGATTTATAGTATGAATTTATAATTATAAATTTTAATAATATATGAAGTATAACTATGATTTGTTCAATATTTTGACTTTAATGCATTTGTACTTTTACTTTCATTGGTTGGCTTTTTAATATCAAACATGTCGAATAAAATAACCAATGTAAACTTGTTTGAGATAAAACTGGGATAGGATAGGATTTACATATTCATCCCAGGGGAGAGGAAAGTCGATAATGCGGCTCAATCATATGGTGAACCACGGCCTCTAGTCCGGTTACCAGTCCATATCGGGTATGGGATTAGTTAGCCAGTTATTTATTTCAGATGCATGAACTCAATGGTGGAGGAAGTCGTAACCGACATGCGGCTACGTGAACCACCCGGTGGCAGGAGTCCAGCAATCCTTTCGCACATAATTTAACTGGGAACACACACAGAGTAATCAGAGGTGTGGGGGCGAGCGTATTTCTAACGCTGAAGCGTGAAGCGCCTCACATCCAGGCAGTTCATTTTATTGATGAGCAAAATTAAAAAATTACATTTGTACAATAAAGGGCAGGAGATAAAAGCAATGAACTATTGTTCTATATAACATCAAGGCTGTGATGACCTAGTGGTTGAAGCATTAGACTCAGCTATGACGACATCACCACTTCACCAGTTAAAATCTTCCCAACTATTGGCTGCTTGTGTAGAGCCATGTTTAAGGTGAAAGCTCATAAAAATATAAGCTTTATCCAGCTTTTGCAAAAACATAGTCTAGCTTTGTTATGGGGCAATCCTGGCTACATATCAAAGACAACTCACCTATCATTGTATTTTGATACTTTTGGATTTTCATTTTTTCGTTCAGGTTCGGCAGTTGGTTTGTATTCTTTCAACACTTGCAGAAGACGATTGACTTTTGGAGAAACAAGCTAGAAAGAAATCAATACATAAGACTGTAATCGTATTGCTACCTTCAATATTGTCTAACTCGGTGGTTCTCAAAATTTTATGAACTGTTGGCGTGTTGGCCCTACAGCACTACATACATCATTATCAAACTAAGGCAACATGAAATAAATGTAAAGATATATTAGCAATTTTATTGCAAATCAATTAAATAGTAGACTAATCATAGTACATGTTATTTTTTATTGAAATGGATGGAGTTTTTTTTAATATTTGGCGACATTTTGGTCAGGTAAAGTCTTTTATCACCTCATGTGCTATAAAAAAGGCGATTACTATGTTTTGATAGCAATAGCGTCACGTCTGATTTGCTACATGTTGAATGATGAAACAAGTCTTGTGATTATTCGGATATTTCAAAAATGTGCTATCGCCCCGTTATTACCCATTCCGGATTTTTCGACCTCTTTTGTATCTTTTTCATTCTTAAGGAACGATATAACTAGCGCATCACATTTACCTTCAAATCACTTTTTCTCTGACTTCCCATATATGTTTGACACAGAGCATAAACTGCTCTGAGATGGGAATCTGTGTGCCTGAAAATCAATAAAAATCTGGTTAAATTATACCAATATAAACAATGATAATGGAAAAATTAAAAAAAGGAGAATTCAAGATCATTGTCCGATCATGGTCGAGTTTTTTCATTTCAATTAACTCAACATTATTTACATACGGTTTTGACTCAAACAATTTGAAAAAGTTCCAAAATCCAGATTCTGGTGAATTGAAAATTTTGACTCAGGAACGCAAATTTGAGATGACGACTTAGTATTTGACTCCATTATCAAAAGAAATATTGAAAAATCAGACTAAACAGACCTGCTTCTAGTGAGCTGTGAATTGCCTACAGCAGCGGCTACCAAACTTTTTGTTCGCGCGGCGCCAAATTATCAGGAAAATAAACTCACAGTCACAGCCCATTTTCACAAAAAAAAATGCTGCTTTCAAATAAAACTCAATTTTGTGATCGATAATGTGTACTTTATCCCTTTCAAAGTTTGAAAACATGTAGGCCTAAGGAATAAAGGCAAAAAGTCAACTCTTCTTCCTCATCTCTGTCTGATTTTACTTTGAAATGCTAAAAAAATCACTCTGTTCGCCAAACTGCAGTCTGCGATATTGCAGCAACTAGTGTCTAGCTAAATTGTTACCGTATGTTACAATAAAGACAAATTCTACGCAACAGAAGTAAACGGCATAGAAAGGTAAAAGGAATTTATTTATTCACATACAGTAAGAAAAATAAAACATTTATAGTAAATACAATACATAAAATATTCAATCATATTTTAGTCAGGTTTAACATAATTCTGTTTATTTTCCTGGCACACTTATCAACTCGCCACACCCGTTGGAAACCACTGACCTACAGTATATCTGATGATAATATATACTCAGGTTAGTGTTGGAGAAGCTCCGGTCGTTGACTCGACTGGAGTTGAAGTAATCTAATGGAAATGACTCGTTCTCATACTCAAATAACTGCAACTAAGTGAGGCTTTAATAGAAGATTGATCCAACTTCGGGATGACTCAAGGCTTCGATGAACAGTGACTCGACTTGATTAGCAACTCAAGTTTAGGAACTTTTTTCAACACTGGATCAAGGCTGTCATAAGATTGTCGCAGCCCATGGATGCAGTTTTATAACAGAAAACTTTCGAACGCGAGAAATTTCAAATGAAATGAATGCAAATATACAATGGAAAAGTATATTACATTGAATCTTACGCTTTCCTAGATACAAAACGCGATATTAATAATTATACATGATATTTTACGTCATCCATTTTAAAACTTAACTCAATTATTGAGATGAGGCAAGAGAGATTTGAAGCATACCGTAGCAGCATAAATTTCCATTTATTGACATTATCTGTACATTTGTCGAAAGAATCCTGATTTCTGATATTTTTTTGAAGTTGTTTCAACAAGAGTATGACAAGTCTATGCGCACCTACAAAACAAAAAACCTTGTTATTTATGTCCGGCGAGAGAAAAATTATATTTACAGAGCACAGTAATTCACTATAATGTGTGTCACACAGTTACATGTTTTTCCCATGCTCAATGCAGCATGGTTGGTTCATACACAGCTTGGCAATGAACACATCTTGCTAAGCATTTAAAACTTTTTACCATAGCACCTCAGATAACCCGAAAGATCGAATTCCAAGGGGTCTAATTATGTGCGACTGGACTACTTGACTCTCTGCCACCGCAGGGTGGTTCATGTTACCGCTGGTCGGTTACGGCTTCCTCTACCATTAAGTCCATGCATCTAAAGGAATAACTGGTTAACTATTTCGATACCCAACCCAACTGGTAACTGCATGAGAGACTGTGGATCAGGACATCGTTGCCCATCTCCACGGTTTAAATACAAAAACCATATCCTATACAACCCGTGTAAAAGAGCTTGCATCAAAATTTATTCACACAAACTTAACATATGTAGCCAAATCTGGCGATACTCACACCATAAACCAAGGATGTCCAACACTAACAAAACTTGTGATAAAACAGTAAGAGACATGTTGACCAAGTTATCAACATCAATGTCAGGTTGAGTGCTTGTATCGGAAATTTCAGGGTTTCTATCAGTATCTGACGTTTTCTTATCATCATCCTCAAGATTATTTTCCTCTGTAACATTTTCTTTTATACAATTTTCCTCCCTCGTTTCCTCTGATTTAACTAACACAGTTTTTGATGAAATCTAAAGTTATATTGATATTATAAGAAATGATAAATGATCAATTGAGTACTGGACCATAGGAAACCTAACTGAAACAGTAATATTTCATTTCTTAACAAAATAGTTGGTCTTTAACGATGGCTGCTAATCTGGAGAGTTGATCAAAATTAAGATGCAAAAACGAATGAAAAGCCAAAAATATATTTTTTGAGGTGCATGACTTGAAAATTTACATTATTTATATTTTATTGCTTTAGAATACAATGAATAAGATGACAATAGCGATGTGTTGACGTGACACAACCAATTATTCAACTAATTAATAGGAATACATTTCAAGTGTACCCTGTGAAAAACCTACGCAAAATTTGGATCGTGTTGGGGGGTGATCAGATGCATGTTTTATAAGTGGTAAATGATAACTTCCTTGACAACCTGTGTCCCATGTACAGATTACACAGGGTTTAAAGTTCAATGGTGAATTAGCTACGGTAGTTATTCCTAAATATAGCACTGACAATTGGTGAACTGGCGGTCTTAATATTATGTCTTACATAACTTTATCCAGATAAAAATGAATAGGATGTGTGTTTGTAGTCCAACAACATTATTGTACTTTCTGTAAAAATAAATATCAAATTAAATGATATTTATACAACTAATATATATACCTTGCATATTTTCAACCACTCAATTGCAGGAGTTAATATTTCTCTTATTTCAGAGCAAATTTTGTCAGGTTTTTTTCTTTTCAGTTTGTCATCATTATTATAAATTTCTACTGAAGGTTTTCTTGCAGCACAAAGAACAATTTTTTCATCTGGTTGTGATGGAGAAAATCCATCCAATGCAATCAAGTCTGTCGCAGTCTCTGCCTGGAAAAAAGGAAAAATATTATAATTTTTCACAATCCAATCCAAGCATATGCCTAAGAATATTGCCAGATTAAATCAGTAAATATTTTTCCAATGAGATATTTATAAACCTTTTGCTCTGAACAAGACTCTGCACAAGAAGCTACTACTGAGGAGCTCCTAACGCTTGGAAGAACCAGAATTTTTTGATTTGATATCACATATTTGAACCAGTGATTTTAACCTGTGATGCTATCAGAGTTATTATTAACAATAAATAATAGGATATAATGAATTGAAGATTTTAAAAATATCATCCCCACTATTCTGCATCTCAGTTTCAATTTCTATCAATTAACGATGAATTCTGCAAATTTGTCCTTTGCACATGACCCTACTTTGGAATAATATTTGAAATTCTATATTCAGTAATATTAAATTTAAATGCATTTTAAAAAGTAAATTATTCAAATAAAGTCACTTACTCACTTCTACATAAAATATTTAATTATGAATATACTAAATGCTATAACAGGCATGTCCATAAGTAATGACTGTATTAATTGAGACTCATTTCAATTAGAAAAAGAAAAATTAGTTTCAGTCATCAGAAGGGTTCTATTACCTTACAATGAAGTAATCTCTCCATTTCATTGATGTCTTTTTCCAATACTGATGCTGAGCCATTTTCTCGTAATAGCGAACAAGTTAACCCCAGAATGTACGGATTTTTTCCCGCTTTGTCAAAAACCTTTTAAATAATGTAGAAAATACAGTGATACAGTGAAAGATGCCTGACTTAAAATCACAATATTTCAAATTTTTCTACTTGAAAGAGTAAAATTTAAAAAATTCAGATTACCTAAATTACACTCATCCAAATTTAATCTTCCATATGTAAAATTGAATTATATTATTTTATTTATATTTATAAGATAATTTCACATTTAACTCTGAACATGGCTTCATACAAGAAGCCAGGGCTTGGTTTAAAATCATGGCTCCATTCAAACTGTGGCGCCAGCTCGAGTGTTTCATTTTTTATGTCAGAGCTGGGCTCCAGGGCCATTAAGGTTTTTAGCTCGACCACAAACATGGGACATCAGTCCAATTGCAGTTACACAGGGGTTTCAAATTTGGAATTAAGCTTTCAGGTATATAAATTCAACTTGAAACTTTTTATGTAATATTGTAAAATTCATAAATATAATATAGGCAGGAAAGAATGGATTTCATTAATCATATTAGGCATCAGTGTTGAAAAATACTTAGAAGATTAGTTGCTGAGGCCCATGAAAGTTTCAGTAGGCCCAGCCACACTAGTTATTTTTTTCTAAGCTTGGCTCCCGCTCTTGCTTCATGTTCTGAATTCAACTCCCCAGTCCTGCTAGAAGCCACTGAGGCTACTACGTACACTGAAGCTATCGCAAGAAGTTTTCTTTAGATAGGACCAAAAAAAATGGTATGATGCTGCCTAACCAATTTACAGCATATGAGGTGATGAGCACGGGGTTCGAAACTGAGAATATTTCATCTGCTACAATAATATAGGTCCAATGGTGGAACCACTAGGTAAATGAGAAGAATCCACCACAATATAATCCTATAAAAACCAACTATGCTAAAGATATGCCTAATACGAGCTAAGCCAAGTAAAGAAATAATAATTTTTCAAAAGTTTGGCTTTCATACTTAACAAAAACAATTTCATGTTCAAATAAATGAAAAAATAAGTAAAATTAGGTATAATTTCTCAAATTTATCAGTCAAAATGATAAAAATCTACGTTTTTTATACCTGTAAAATCTTTCTGTAGTCACTGGCAGGACTTAAAATCGTATGACAATCATCCAATATCAAAATACTTGCAAATTCAATATCAAACATATTATTTGTAATAGCTTGAGAAAACACTTCTGGCGTTGTCACAATAATCTGTGAATAGGATTAAATTTAAGAAATGATTAAAGATTAAATTCCCACTCTCAAATGTATTTTCAAACACGAATTCCACACGAACTCTTATAGAAACATCTGAAATAACAATAACAAAACTACATAATACTTGAATAATCAGATATGAACAAATTGTTATTTTTTTTGGCTCACCATGTTTTGTAACATAATTTCATCCCATCCCCATGAGTCAAGTTGTGAACCTTTATCAGATGTAATTGATGCAATGTTCATATCAAGATGACATCGTAGCTTTAAACCATATTCACGAACAAAATAATCTTAATATATATATATATATAAAATTGATATTTAGTCAGAGATATTTGAATTACTTATTAAAATGAATGCTGGAGGAAGAATGCAAAAGATATTTTTATGAAATAAAAAAATCATGCCCTATTACCAATCTCAGTACATTGAATTTATAAACCTTATTCATGGTATAAAAAATAATGGTAAAAATTAATAATGCCTAATTTTGACTATGTCATGCTGAAAATATAGGATATGATAATATGTAGTACAATAAAAGTTTCGACCAATCACAAAAAATGAAGAACTAGCTAAAATATCATGTGGTTACAAATAATCAACATGATGCTCAAAAACGGATATACATAGTGTAATAGGATAGGGTTTTCATATTTTTTGTGGGAAGAGTAAAGATGATGAGTTTGCTTAATCCAATGGCTAACCATGGCCTCTCGTTCGATTACGAGTCCAAATCAGATATGCGAATAGTCAATCCAGCAATCTTCTGGTAAATAATTATCCCCACTCTTCATATTGATCATAGTTGATATCATTACAAACAATTTATAACATCAATTCCAAAAATAAACAACAGTTACATAGCCAACACTCACCTGAATAAAACAATACAAATGCATTTGTTTGTCTACCATCACTACTATAAGGTCTGAAAGATTCTCCCAATATTTCTCGAAGATATGTCATCCATACAAATGATTTTGCAGATGCTGAATTCAAGCAGGCAATCGTATTTCTTTTCAAAGCTCGTTCTACCAGCTCTATCTGAAATATTAGTAATGAAGTTGTGGGTTAATACAATTAAAAATTGATCTTAATAAATGATATAAACCACTCATGGGTGACACATTTTACTGTTTTAATGTACTTCACTGTATTATTGTATTTTACGAACCATAAGGCACACAAAAAATATTTTTTATTTCGCAACAATCCGATGGTGTGGCTAATAAGCATGTGCCTATTGTATGGATCAGATGGTGATTTATTGTCTCCAGTCAAAACCAGTACCCATTGTGTCTTATATTGCCCGATGGGCCTTATGTATGAACTTTTTGCTATTTTGTTTTCCTGCCCTGACATCCTAATCCAAGATGTAGTATTAGAAATAATTTGAACTTGCCTAGTTGAAATATTGCACGGAAAGCACACAAGAGTATATCTGCTAAATGAAATTGTTTAAAATACCTAACAGTGCTATCAATGAACAGCATGTTGGGCTTACATGTACGAAAGGCAAAGCCATCCAAATTCTACAAATCTCAACCTCACCAATTTGTTACTACCGTAATTGACATAATTGTGTGGAAAGATAATCATAGGACGACTATAAATATTTGAAGCAAAGATATCATTTCACTATGCAAAAGTTCAACAACATTTGTCTTAATTTCACAAATTTTAAATACCTGATAAGGCCTGGGTGTAAATACATTTGCAGGCATCTTGCTTTTTTTCTCATATGTGGATAATTCGTGAATAAAAGATCACTGACATTTATGATTCTAGTGACCAGTCCATTATTAGTTTTAAACAGAATTTTATTGCAACTTATAAATAGATGAGAAAACCAAAAAGTTACAACAATCAGTGATTAAATGAAACTATGCATTTGTAAGTTAATAATAAAGGAAGAACATAATGCAAGCAAATATTCAGTGTTTCCTCAAAGAGTTGAGATAGGCAACTATAGATTTCACATTAAACAGTTGTTTTCATTCATACAAATGACTACAATTAGATTTTTACAAAAGCTTTTTCCAATAACAGTATTATCAAGAACTTCAAGTTAAGAAGCATTATGGAATATAATTCAACCGGTATATCTAAAGCCATAAACACAATCTACAAAATACCAATTCCTATTATTAGGTGGCTTAAAATATATGGAGATATGATGACCTAGTGTTCAATGATAGACTAGCTTAAAGTATGCAGGTATTTCTTGTTCTAGCCGGGTGTTTCTCCAGCTGGGCCCTCCGCCCCCTATGGAGCCACAGTGGTTTCCAAAGGAAATGAGCAGAGGTGTATCCTGGGTATCATTTGCGATGATTACATAAATAATAGTAAATTAATTTTGATTAGTGAATTCACTGACTGCAATGCTTAACTTTCGTTCGTTTGCTTTTTTGTTTTTGTTAAAATAACAGATTGGCTCTCGTTAAGAGCAAACCTAGTTACATTTTTATAAAAAAGGGGTCCAGTGGCGTGTCAAAAAGATTTTGGAACTGAGCCATGAAGCATAGTCCAATCATACACAGCACTTCACTAAGTCAGATGATGAAGTGAATTAGGACCAAGTTATTCCAATCCCAATAGCTTTCTACATCTAGGTGCAACAGGAGTGATAACTTTTTTGTGACTCTAGATCCAGGCCACTCAAAAGAAGCCAGGCCATGAGAAATTTGGGGCCAGGCCACATTCGATTTGAATGATATGTGCAGAGTGAGTTATGAAGCACGATATGAAAATTTGATAGAGTTTTGAAATGTAAATCCTATGAAGTGAGTTACAAAGCATGGTCTTGAAAATATTGTTAATGTTTTGAAGTGTAAACCCTAATTTAGTGAAAATGTAAAGTCAGCAAAAACACATACGTAAATATACAGTATATCAGAATACTCAAAATGAATATATTTATAAAAAAGAAATGGAGGAAGAGACCAAGTATAAAACATGGGCCACAGATTATACCAATGTCACATGAAGTTGACTGCTGAGTCATTTTATTAATTGAAATAATAATCAGTAAAGGGTATTGGTCGCATCCACTGAATACTGGTAAAACCAAAATGTACTGACAAAAAACATAAGCAAAGCGGATTAATAAGTGGGAAAACACAGATTTTCCTGTTTCCAGACAAGATTGACAAAGAGGCCATGACCATTACAGGATAATAGCGTTCCCTTTAATTTAACTGAAAAGGCAAAAAAGCAGGTCCCATATGACTCAGGAATTTAAAAAATAAAAAAGGAATAGACTTCTAGTTTTTCTTCCATCTGCAAATACTAAAAATATGAAATTTATTGGTCCATTAGTTACAAAAGTAAATTTTTTAACAACAACAACAATAGCAAATCGATTCACAAGTCCACTTAGTGTCCAAAAACAAATTTTATTCATTCATTATATTCATCTCCACTGCAGTAAAAGTGATGAAATAGATTTTAATAAAGTTCGCCAACGAAGTTGATAAACATTATCACTATAGGAACATCAATAATAAGCATTTTCGAATCGAGGATCGATAGGTCGAGGTGATGGTGGTTCTCTTCCAGGTACAAATCTCATGAATCCACTCCTGAAAATTCACAGCATGATAGTCTACGATGGTTTAAAATTAAACATAAGAACATACATCACACATTAAATTAGGACTTTCCCAAATAAATTTGATAATTCTTTCAAAAACTTGTAGATTCATCAAACTCCCAACTACAGGGATATATATACAAGGTGACCCATAAAACAGAGCCCATAAATTTCTTAATTACGGTACTTCTATGTAATTGATATTTATTTAACAATCTTAAACTTCTGTTTGTGTAAGATTCTTCGCAAAAGTTTTAGTAATCTAGGACGCTTTGCAGAAAAGTTATGTTTTTTCTAGAACAGTGGTTCTCAAAATTTTTAGGGCACGAGCCCTTTTTGGAATTTATTAAGTCAAAAAACAACCAGCTAACAATAAGCTACAAATAACAGATAGCAAAGCGAAAGTATATTTTATCTAAAAAACCCGTTGAAAACGCGTGGATGGAACGTAAATAATGAAAAGTTTTGAAATGAAAATATCCAAAATAGATTGGGCAAAATAAAATAGGCAAAATTAAATGTAACAAATATTTTTATTAGCTACACGCCCACTTAAAATTGGAGCGGAAGTGGTGACTCCTCTGAGGCCCATGGGCCGGGGCCACGGCCCATTGAATTGGGCTTCGGCCCATCAGGCTATGGGCCGCGGCCCATTGAGTTGTGTAAAGGGACTATTCTTTTGACTAGCACAGACAGTCCCCAAACTCATAATAGACTATAATGTAAAAAATCTGAATTTTTTTGTCCTAACCCTAACCTGGTACACATACTACAGGAGTATATTTTTTTGGTTCGAATATTAGTTTGAATTTTTCCTGATGGGGCTGCGGCCCATAGCTTGATGGGCCATGGCCCATGTGGCCCCGATAGGATGGGCCCTGGCCCTGGCCCCGGCCCATGGGCCGTAGAGGAGTCACCACTCCTGTAGCAAAATTGTCTATGCCTCTCCTGTGGGGCGCGCCCCACCGTTTAATTAAGAACCACTGTTCTAGAATATGCTCCAATTGACCAGAGCTCTGTTTTTTGATCCCCTTGTCAAAAATATATTTTGTTTTCCCCCCATTTGATTTGACGGTCACCATATTTAAAATCATAAGCAGAAGAAACAAATAACTCCAGATACATGTGTGATCAAAACAAGAATTAAAAATAATCACTAATTGTTAATATTTGATACATAATTTCAGCATAAACACCAAATAATTTAAAGTTCTGAGAAATTGTGTCAAATTTGATACCAAAAAGTAAGATTTTTCCTCAAACAATAATTGGCACTGATTGCAGATTGTTTAATTAAGAAAAAATATTATAACTAGAAAAACAACAGAAAAGGCTGAAAGAAAATGAAAATAAATGGCAGTTTCAAATAAAAAATGATGGTTATCAACAAATTAGATATACCGGTATTAACATATCCACTTGCTCAAATACAAATAACACCCAAACTGAAACTACACCTATGAGCGCTGCATTACAGACACAGTACTCGTGGTCAAATTGGTCAAATATAATTTTGGTGACATTTTTTTGAGAATATATATACGCAAAGCAATGTATCATAAGCAGTGTTCCCTCTAAAGTGTGCCCGCACACACAGCTTTCAGAGGCTGCGCACACGCATAAATTTACTGCGCACAGACCTATTTCGATGTAATGTAACAATGTTCTCGGTTGGCAGGTTGATAAAGTTTGTTGTTGGCCCACCCATTACCCGGTTAGAACGCTAAAATTTCTTCATTGGTATTTGCACAAATATTAGTCATTTCCAAAAAAGTGCGCACACACCAAAACTTCTGCGCACACATACTACAAAAAATTAGAGGGAACATTGATCATAGGTCCTAATCTTCTGCGAAATGGCCACCAGTATTACTCAATGAAGTTGGAGTAAACTTACAGTTAATTCACACCAAAGCTGCTAGCACCTGTGAATCTCATGGTACCACAGTTTCCACTTCACAGCCTGAGCATATTATTCACCATGTAGGCCTGTCCTATACATGTGTTTTTTTGGTTATATGTCAAGAAAAAAAAACAGAAAATCATGTCACAGTAATATTTTTCAATTACGATATGTCCAAGGCATCATGAATTAGTTGCGAATAGATAGATTAATAGCCCCAGTTGCTATTTCAATGGTCCCCTCTGTTAATTTAATATTTAGGCACTGACGATGATTAAAAAAAATCACTGATATCCTCGCATATAAGCCGAATACAAAGCTCAAAAAAGTTGCGAAACTAAGGGCTTATACGCGCATAACTCTAATCGCACTAAAAATTTGGCTTAATAAAAGCGCATAACTCTAATCGCACTCAAACGAAATGATATTATGCTAACTTAATTCCACTCGAACCATGCTAATTTCCTACCAATAAGGGGGTATGATTTGTAGGGTTGGCTTAAATACGAATTTTTTATAAAAATTCACCGCTGCTGAAAACATCGATACCGATATGCCAATATTCCATAATAGACGACAATGCTGAAGGGCCTTTTTACGGGGTCGGCTTATATGTGAAATCGGCTCATATATGAGGATAAACGATAATTATCAATCTTTGTAAGCCACCACTTTACCCTAAGCAATGTCTAGCAATCAAATTTGTGACAATTTCACTATGTATTGCCCTAGCAGCCTATGCTTGACTGAGATGAGCAATACTACATTACCAATCTAAATTAGTTCAATATGCAATCACAAATTTCACTTTATTTCTATATGTACAATTTTTTTGAATATAGCAAATACATAACCATGCCTCAAAATTATATAAATTATAAGACAAGATTATTGGGAACAAAGCATATGCAAACACTCAGAATTGCAAGTTTCGAATTGAATGAAATTAGAAAAAATATTTAAAACTTGCAAACATGCAGAATTTTATTAAAAAAGTTGTCCACCTCGAACATTTCCACCAGCATACCTGATAGTTTGTTGAGAATTAGACAGTCCTTTATCATTGGAGCTATTTTGCCTTGAAACATTGCTTTGTGTTGTTTTATTATCTTGCAAATTTTTCAATGTTCCAACTTTTCTCCAATTATCTAAATAATTAGCTTTCCAGAGATGTACTTTTCCATCATCTCCAGACGATGACAACACCGTACCAAGAACATTCCAACTAACTCTCCATACTTTGCTATTGTGAGCATCAAATTTAGCGACTTCACTCACAGAATAGCTAGACGATTCAGTTCCAGATGTTTTAGAATCACTCAAAAGCTTCATAACAAAAATATGAACACACTTTGACGCTACGGCAAGCGTGTGTCTCATCGCACCGTAATTCGGAGCAAATTCAATATCATTAACAGGATCCGTTATTGTCATTATTGTGTGAACTTTGACCCAATCACGATTGATTTCACTGTATTCGTATATTAAAACCTTGCCGCCCACGGATGGGTTATTATCATCACTACCCACTGCAATCATTGAAGGATGTTTGTAAAAACTTGAGGGGTTCCAGGACAAACAACTGCAACCTAATTTCAATTTGATTTGATGCTGAACAGACCATTGAGCCAGATTCATAACATCAGGTGCTTCGTAAACACGTACAATTCCATCAGCAGAGCAAGTAGCCAGTTGTAGACCGAGATGTTTTGGCGCAAATTTTACATCAGTTACAGATGTTCGACTATCCACAAGAGACGACTTACGAATCCATGATCTATTATTTTTCAATGTTGTCGTATCAGTAACAATCTCTTCCCATACAGCAGCAGTTCTGTCAAAAGAACATGTTGCGAGCACTTGCCCAAATTCAGGGTGAGCCCAACATACTTTCCAGACTGAACCATTGTGGGTTTTCCAGCTGGAACTGCAGTACCAATCACCATCATCATCTAAATCCCATACTTTGACAGTTTGATCACTGGAACAAGTCGCCATACGTTTTCCATAATGATCGAAAGCAAGGTCATGAATAAGATCCTTATGTTCGGCATTGATCTTAATGGCACTAAATTCAGCTAGTGATTCTGTATCATCCATTTTAGCTATAAAATTACTACAAGTTGAGATATCTAAAATATAAATTTTGAGTAAATTTATTGCAGTATTGTGCTTTCATGATTGTTTTGTTTTAAACAGCCTCCTTGTAGCTCTTGGTACTGGCCACTTGGTATTCATTAAGAGATGGGTACCCGCGATGCATGCATGTCTTTAGTTGGTGGTTCAAATGTTTTGCATCATGATTTCATTAATTCAATTTTTTTGGTTGTGTTTGGTTATTTCAAAAAAATAAAAAAGGAAATGACGCAATAATAATAGTAAACGGCAATGGTGTTAGCTTTAAATGGAAATTATGAAAACAAAAATTTTCTGAACTCATAAATATTTTACAGCACTATCCGGCTTGTAGAATTGAATAATAGAGTCAAATAGAATGCTTTTTACACAATAATAATCAATAGGTCTACTTCAGTGGTTCTCAACCTTTTACTGACCGGGTACCACTTCACTGTTTTTCACTATGGCCGCGTATCACCGACAAAGCTTCTTTTTTGGCGTGAGGAAAAAGACACAAGAAACATGTTATTTAGTAGTAACGGTAGTATTTTATAATGTGGCACTACATCCTTTGTGGCGTGACACACAAAACGGACAAAAACATGCCCATATCGCTTCATATAAGGTGGGCAATAGCGGGCGAGGGCGATCTCTAGAGACAATGACTGATAGCGCACCAGCGCTATGGATGTTTCCCCGACCCTTGACTCCGGAAAATCTACCACTATACTTTACAATTGTAAACTTCATGCTTATTCTGAGAGTGCTTTGATGTGTTGGCGCATATAAAATGGTTTACGTGTTTGGAGTCATCATTTTTATTAAAATTAATCAACCATGTGCCGTTTGCAGGTACTGATATAGCTAGGGCTGCCATAACGTCCTTATTTCTAAGATTTGTCCTTATTTTGAAGGCCTTTGTCTTTGAAAATAATTTTTTCCTTATTTCTAAGAAACATCAATATTTCGACATGTGACCTTATTTTACGGGTAGAGGTTCTAATATCGGGCATTTCGATTGGTCAAATCGAATGATTGATTTGCTAGAAATGATATTTTACAACCTCATTGATTGCTACGTTCATTCATTACGTAAGAACAGAAAATTAATTGACACAGTGACAAAACAATAGCCTACCGACCAAAATCACTGCGTGCAACCTGAATCAAAATACAACTTAAAAGTGAGATGGAACAGATTTTTTCTAAGAATAAAGAACTGCTGGAGCAAATCCTTTGCAAAGTATGATTAGACACGCACTAGCATGAATACATTTTGTTTATTACAGTTCGTTCTTTGTTATTGTATTATTATGTTCCCTGATGTCCTATATTGGGTTCATATCGATGGCAGCCCCACATACAGACATATAGCTAAGTTTAGCTTTGTCCATCACAGCATTTGCGAGATTCAATTTCGATTACTGCAACTAAAGTAAAGCTCTGCGGGAGACATAATGACAAATAAGTTAATTAATTCACAATTATTTTCTTAAAATACAACTGAAAACTGACAAATATATTTCAAAACTACAAAAATGGGGCAATGTGGGACATGGTCATTTCATAACGACTTCAAATACAGAAATAATGCCCATAGGAATGGTTCATTACACGAAAGTTTACATTATTACTGAGAACTTTTATAATTAACCAGACATAAAACATTGACTAAGACATGAAATATTTTAGCAATTGCAAAAAACAAAAATTAACATCTAATTTCGTGTCTAAAATAATACTTCGCATAAATTTTGTAATTCCTTTTTAAAGCATTTTTTTTACTCTAGAATTTTCTATATTTTTTTTACACATAACGGCCATTTTTATCTGCTTTTAAAGGAGAGCAATACCAGGAGTTTATTTGAAGTATAATTTCTCATGATCCAAATTTTATATCGCACTGTAAATAATAAAAGAATAATTACATTCAAATCTACAATAGTCAGATAGTTGATAGTTACCTACTATAAGACTAAATAAAGGATCATTAAAATTCAATAATAAGGCAAGAATCCTAATTTATATTATAATTTATTTTAATATAACTAAACAAACAAAATCAATATAAATATAAAGCGCGATTTTGCAGGTATAAACCTTTCTTACATCAGGCCAATCAGCCAGTCTATGCCTAAACAAATGCAACATGTCATCTGCTCGGACAACACTAAAAGGCTGAAGGAAGAAACGGATGAAGTGGAGGGAAAACAGAAGTTGAAGTGTTCCCAAAGGTTGAAAATTTAAAAAACACTAAAAAGGCTGAACACTAAAAAGGAAGAAGTGGATGAAATTTCTTCCGACGGGTAGTTAGGGTGCTGAAGTCACTAAAAAGCTGAACACTAAAGGAAGAGGTGGAATGAAATATTTTCCGACGAATAATGAGGTGGCTTGAAGCCACTAAAAAGCTGAGCACTAAAAGGAAGAAAGTGGATGAACTTTCTTCCGACCGAATAATGAGGTGGTTTGAAGTCACTAAAAAGGCTGAACACTAAAAAAAAGAAGAGGATGAAATTTCTTCCGACGAATAATGAGGTGGTTGAAGTCACTAAAAGCTGAACACTAAAAGGAAGAAAGCTGGATGAAATTTTTTCCCGACGAATAATAAGGTGATTGACGTCACTTAAAAAGCTGAACACTAAAGGAAGGAAGTGGATGAAATTTTTTCCGACGAATAATGAGGTGGTCGAAGTCACGGTTGAAGTCACTAAAAAAGGCTGCCAACACTAAAAGGAAGAAAGTTGGATGAAATTTTCTTCCGAACCGAATAATGAGGTGGTTGAAGTCACTAAAAGCTGAACACTAAAAGCGAAAGAAGTTGATGAAATTTCTTCCGGACGAATAATGAGGTCGGTTGAAGTCACTAAAGCTGAACACTAAAAGGAAGAAGTGGATGAAATTTCTCCGACGAATAATGAGGTGGTTGAAGTCAACTAAAAAACCTGAACACTAAAAGGAAGAAGTTGATGAAATTTCTTCCGACGAATAATGAGGTGGTGAAGTCACTAAAAGCTGAACACTAAAAAGAAGAAGTGATGAAATTTCTTCCGACGAGAATAATGAGGTGTTGAAGTCACTAAAAAGCTGAACACTAAAAGGAGAAGTGATGAAATTTCTTCCGACGAATAATGAGGTGGTTTGAAGTCACTAAAAAGCTGAACACTAAAGGAAAGAAGTTGATGAAATTTCTTCCGACGAATAATGAGGTGGGTTGAACGTCACTAAAAACCTGAACCACTAAAAGGAAGAAGTTGATGAAAATTATCTCCGACGAATAATGAGGTGGTTGAAGTCACTAAAAAGCTGAACACTAAAAGGAAGAAGTTGATGAAATTTCTTCCGACGAATAATGAGGTGGTTGAAGTCACTAAAAAGCTGAACACTAAAAGGAAGAAGTGATGAAATTTCTTCCGACGAATAATGAGGTGGTTGAAGTCACTAAAAAGCTGAACACTAAAAGGAAGAAGTGATGAAATTTCTTCCGACGAATAATGAGGTGGTTGAAGTCACTAAAAAGCTGAACACTAAAAGGAAGAAGTGATGAAATTTCTTCCGACGAATAATGAGGTGGTTGAAGTCACTAAAAAGCTGAACACTAAAAGGAAGAAGTGATGAAATTTCTTCCGACGAATAATGAGGTGGTTGAAGTCACTAAAAAGCTGAACACTAAAAGGAAGAAGTGATGAAATTTCTTCCGACGAATAATGAGGTGGTTGAAGTCACTAAAAAGCTGAACACTAAAGGAAGAAATGGATGAAATTTCTTCCGACGGATAATGAGGTGGCGGAGGTCACTGAAAAGCTGAACACTAACAGAAAGAAGTGGATGGAATTTCTTCACGGGTGGTGAGGTGGCTGAGGTCACTAAAATCTAATCCACTATAAGGAAGAAGTACGTTAGGGTTAGATGATATTTTGTCCTATCAATTTTGAGGCGGTCGAAGTCACTAAAATACCGAACATTGGGAGAGTTAAATAGCCAAAAACATATCCCGACGGAAGTGAGATGGGATGAAGACCTGAAAGCGGACTGATGAGTAGGCATGCCCCTTTTAGATTTATGAATTGAATCGATTCAAATCGCAATTTTTTTCGAATCTGATTTACGCGATTCGAAAGAAAGAGAGCCGTTTAGCGAAGAAAAACAAACACTCCAAATAACACCAATTGTCAGACGGGAATGTAAATGAATTTTTCGTTATTTACTTTTATTGATCTGCCTTCATTCATTTTCATGTTCAGCGCAACACACCCTGATCATCACTCGAGATGCTGACGTGCTGTGTGGGTAATTAATTTCCTTCAATCTGTCAGTTGAGTGACTGACCTATCACACGCAAATTTAAATGGATCGTATACCCGAAAGTTCGTTGCAATTTTGTTAAAAATATGCAACAGCACACCTTCTCTGCGACTAATTATGGTACGCCTTGACATGATTTGATAAACGATCAGATACCGACTTCTAGAAAACACTTTAATGTTTGATTGAAATTAATTAAACTTCGTTGAAATGAAATATTGGTACTACTGAAGTATGCGCACCAAGATGTCGCACAACCTGATCCCTAACCTCGTACACCAGTGATTTTCAACCTTTTTTTGGTATCGCGGAACACTTTTTTTATTCTAAAATTGTGACGGGAACACCAAATGAGATTTTTGGAAAAACTATATTATGCAATTAACTGACATCGATTCATTTCAGAAAAAAATAAATTAACGAGATTTAATATTAGCTTGTCCAACTTCCAGCTGGAAAGACGTTACACATATTCCGATTCAGAGCTACCGATGGGCTAGGAACAGAAAGGGTATTTTAATGTAATATCTGGGCCTGTTGATGAGTTTCAATTTTTTTATTCTGGCTGGAATTTAATGAGAGAGACAAACACGCAGCTCTTTCTCGACGACTCTCAATTTTTCGTGTTTTTATACTCTTATGGCGGCCAAGAAAAGGGTGGGCAAAATCGAATATTTTTTTCGAATCAAATAATTCGAATATTCTTAACAAATACCGAATAGTCCAA